TATCACTGATCCATCATGCATTAGTGCAAAAAATTACTCATAGAAGTCTCCTCCCCCGTCGGTTTGGAAACGTTCTAATAAACAGTCCTTGAATGCTCTCCAGCTACGTATAGGTCTCATTTGATCCCTCCACCAGACCACGACAATGCCTTCCCCTCTAAACATAAGCATGCTTATGTCAGTTTCTCCTCCTCCGTCAACTCATTGATAGTGAAGTACCTCTCGACCTTGTAGATCCATCCATAAGCATCCTGCCCTTCAAAAATTGGCATCTTTAGCTTCCTCACTTTTGGATCTCCCCCATTTCTCCATATTCCTACATACTTTCCCCTCTACCAAGTGCTTTGCTCTCCCCATGTATCCCGATCTTCCCTTACATGTTCATCTTCAAACCCCTCTTCAGTTTCTTCCCTCCTTTCTCCAAAATCAGCACCCTCTACTCCTTGTTCCCTATTTCCTCGTCTCTCTATATACCTTCCCCCTTTCTCCTCAATGATTTCTACATTATTCTCCCTCCTACGAAAATAAGAATTCGTAGTTCTTCCCATTGGTCGCTTCGCCTCTGATGCCGACGTTTGGATTTGATATTCCAATAACTTTTTCACCATCAAATGAAGATCGGAAACCTTGTTTTTCACAGATGAAACATTGTCCTCTACGGATGAAATTTGATCCTCCACGGTGGCTTTTTTTTGGCTCACCTCTCCTTCAAAATGTTCTTCCAACGCATCTGCCTTCTTGGCTGTCATCAAAATTTTTGGATTTTGATCCAAAATTCAGCAAGAGTTCCTTCCTCCGGGTGAAATTTCGCCACTAAACTTTCAAAAAATCAGCCCCCAATGGTCCCAAGACTTGCTTTGATACCAATTTGATCGAAACACTTGTAGATCTCAAGTATTCCTATCAATCTTCAGAAGACAACGAGAACTCTCACAAAAATCCACACAAAACCACGAAACAGTAGATAATTTGTACTATTTGATTAAAGGGAAAAGAAAAAAATACCAAGATACAATTGATCCTATATTCGAGAGGACGATCTTTCTCTCCCAAATCTTTCGACACCGCTGGAGCCCAAATAAACTAAGAGATCTCAAATCTTGGCCAAAATCAAGATGCCCTAACCCTAGGAAAACAAACTATTTAATACATACAATCCAAAAGGAAATCTCTAAATAGACCCTACATTCAAATTTCCCTCTTAACTCCCTCAAAAATCCTTCCTAAATCGCTCTGTGGGATTTACGGTTCAGTCAGTGTGTACAGGGAGGCGGAAGAGTTCTATCTCTATTCGCCTAAGCCGGTGTACAAGGAGGCGGAAGAGTTCCACCTCTGTTCGCCTAAGCCGGTCCTATGTGGACTGGCTAAACCGGTCCATTGGACCGATCTAACATTTTCTTTGTGATTTTTATATGAGAATAACTGGTAGCCATTTCTAACAATCGCAAGAACATGGGATCATGGCTTCAATTATTTCTTCGGTCTCAACAGTTTTTTTTTTTTTTTTTTTTTTTTTTTTTTTTTTTTGAAGCTATTATGTATTGACATATAAATGTTATATTTCAATATTAGAACTGTCTATGGGTGCGATTATAGTTCTTGCACTGGCTCATATGCTTACTGCACATTTTTATTATTTCATAAAAGGAGGAAATTCGAGCCGTTTTTTGACACCTTTATTGTTTGCCGAGATAATGAAAGGGCGCTGGAAATATTTAACGGCTACAAGCTTGTATTAGCTCTGCTTGACAAGCTTGGTAAAAGAGAGGAATTTTGGACCTGACGCCAAAAGATATTATATCTATCATGAGAGTTTGTATTAAGCTTGGTAGATTTGAAACTGTGGAAAGTCTCTTTAATTAGTTCAGAAATTCATGAAGCAATCCGAGCATTGTTATGTGCACAATAGTGATGCATAATAGCTATTGCAGCAAGAACTATAGAGAAAGATTGACCTTAGTCTGAGAGATAGAGGGATTGGATTTTCTTTTGGATCTTCCAGATTATAGCTTAAACATACACCTCATTTATACTCGTTTATTTGTAACATTTTAGTGGACAAGATTTGCAAGTTTATAGTATTATCATGTGATGAAATCAAAAAAATAAGCGGGACCCTTATTTTTTTTATCACAAAAAGACAACTCTTCTAGGAACAAAATAAAGACATAAAATGCTTAAAAGAACACAAATACTATAAAACACAACTTTATATAGAAAAACTTACAACCATTGACTCTTACAAACTTGACTCAAACAAAACTGACTCAAACAAGTTGCTCTGATACCAAATGATGCGGGCAGAAATCCGGGGGATGGGGCACCCGAGGACCTCCGTCGGCAAACGACGCGGACCACGACGAAATAGACGAATACGACGACAAGCGGAAGAACAAACTCTGACATTTCAAATCTAAGACCGACTTAGAAATTAAAAAACAAAATTACAACAACAAATTGAAATTAAACGACTTTCAAACTCAAATCGAAATCAAAGACACTCTAAACTTGCTTCACTTAGAGAAGAAGGATACAGGTGGGGTGTAAACTTGCGGAGAGACGAAAGAGGTTAGAAGCCCGAGAAGAAGGGTGGAAAGAGCTCGCAAGATTTCCGGAGGGGCTGAGAAGAAGAAGGTGGACAAAGCTCGCAAGCTTTTCCATGAAACCCGCAGGTTTACATTTCCAAAAAATCACATATCATTCACTATTTTAAAACATAACAAACCCCTCATATTTATAGGTATGAAAGGGGAATACCAAAAGACAAACATTTTTACGGAAAAACAGCCCAAGCCCAGAAACCGAAGGAGCAACCACGAGAGCCAAGGAGGCGGCACAGAACCAAGGCGCCAAAGCCACGGGAAAAACCCCAGGCTCGGAAAACTAGCAGCTAGCCGGAAATCCAAGGGGCAAAGGCACGGGAAAAGCCAACCCATGGAAGCCAAGGAGCCATGGCACAGGTAAACACATTTTCATGGAATTCCAAAAGCTGGTTTGGAATTTCAAGAGACAAACATAATTAAAAACATAAAAACAATAAAAATTACATTTAATTAAAGATAACTATGAACTAAAATGTTAGCTAATAATGAGCTAACCCTTAGTTCAATAAGTGAACTAAAGACTAGCTCATAAATGAGCTAAAATTTCAGCTCAAATTTGATTGAGCTTGTAAACTCGAGGGAGGCTAAAATTGATTTATTTTGGACATGAGTTGACCCCCCTTTGTCTGCATCATCATGCTGAATTCCTCTTTATCATTTATATATTCAAGCAAGATCGCATGGTGTTTATAGCGACTGAATTTGTGTGATGTTTTTGTTGGGTAGGCATAAGCAATGATTGCACAGTTAAATAAATCCAGAAGGAATCATGTTGCGTATACCTGCTTTAATGAGTTACTCATATGCTACCTGCACTCTTTGACTTGATATGCAATGTAAAATTTAAAAGAATTGACAACCGTTAGCGGACGAATAAATCATTGCAACAATTTTTGTCTATAGTTATGTTGCATTTATCATACAACTGTATCGCAAGTTGGCAGACATCTTTTGGTCATCCAACAAACTCCATGTAGCAATTGTGTGCATGAATTGCATCATTCATTTAATCCATCATATATATTTCAACAGGAAGAAAGCCCAACACAATGCTAAAGCTAAAGGAGCCTAAAGAATATACAATTGATTTAAATATATGGTAAATTGCATTTAGGTCCATCAAACTTTATTCAAATCGAGCTCATAATCATAATTAACCTTAAACCAACTATTTTGGATATGCTTCATAAATTCTAATTTTTCATTTGTTTCTATTGAGTATTTTTAGAGCTATTAACCTATTCTTAGTTAATCATTTTGAACAACTTCTATCCATGTAATCTTATGTTCATTCCTTCCTCCCAATCCATTGACACTAATTTATCTAGTTGCCAAATAGAAGCATTTTCTAACCTTGATTTCGCATATCCAAACACCTAAGTTTAGTTTTAATTACTTTATCTTTGATAGAGATCACGCCAATTATTCCGTTGATATAATAATTATTTAATTTATCACTTATCATTTTGCAGTACATTCATTTAAACATTCTCATTCCATTCAAACTGCACTATGCTTGCATTATTCTCATAAACTTTCAATCCAAGACCTTATGTTTTGTTTCCAGCATTCACTTTGACCCATTGTTGCAAATTCCTGCAACGATTCCCTCAATTGATGCTAGTCAACCACTGTGTGTACTTGCTACCTTATTTTATCATCCAAATACCCTCTTTCTCAATAGCAGTGATTAACGAACCAGCAATTCTGGAGGTTTAGTCAAGGTATGTCAGTACTCTTCAAGGCTTCTCACCATATATGGAAGAGAACAAAGGATGTTGAATAGCGAAACTCAAAGCCAGATGGCGCATCACCCTCCGCATGATGGCATGCATGAGAGAGGGCTGCCAATACTGTGGGGTCCTACCTGTAGTTTCAAAGGCCACCAACAAACCTTTCCAAGGTTTAGCTGTCCATACCACCAGCAAGGAAAACCTTAGTTGTCGTAACAGCTTGATAAGCTGGGTGTCTATGTGGTTGTGAAAGAAAGTTGGGAGCAAATCTACATAAGTTGTAGATTGAATAGATCATATTGATAAAAAACTTGAATGTGATTCAAAAACATAAATCATCTTTGTGGTTGGTCTATTAGGGTTTTTTTTTCCTTAGGTTTCGAGCAATGTTGTGTTAATTTTGGTGTAGCTAAAATTCTCAAACAACATCTAGATAGATTGATTGGGCTGATCATTTCCTCTTCAAAAACATTCAAGAATTCTCAGTCCACGGATCCTACATTACACAATAGACCAATATTTGATGCAAAAACCGCTAGGTAGTTGGTTTATTAGTTTCCCCATGCGTAAAACGAAGTCAATTTAGATTCAAGACTTGAAAGAAATGTTAGCCAAACACAATTTTCAAAGAACCTAAGTAAAGGCATCAAAAGTAGGTGAGTACTTTAAGTCTAGAAACGGCAGCAGATATTGCCCTTCCAGGTGCTTGAAAAGCCTTATTGTAAACCTACAGTTACAGATAGCACCATAATCAGGATCTCTAAGCATTGAAGTAAATTGAAGAAATAATATTCAAACAGAACTTGTGGAATTCGAGAGAGAGATGCATAAAATAGCATGGTTAGCTTGCCGACCTGCAAATAAAGTAAAGCTACAATCTTTGGCAGAAGTACAACTGGATCTGTTTCAGAAGAAACCTGAGAGGTTAAACCCTACAAAAACAGTGAAATTAATCAAAAAAATCTAGTATCAGATACCCACAGCCAGTAATTAAAATTGAATAAATAAATAAAAGACGCACAAGACATGTAAGAAAATCTCGCTAACGGACAAAGAGCATGAAACTATCAGATTGTGCAATCTTGACTGTGATTGAAGTAAACTCAATAAATGACTTTCTAGTAATCTATGAAAAAATAGCTTATCCCACCAGTAATACTCATCAGGCAGCTTATTGTGTATATTTGTAGGAATCACATAAATTTTTTGAGCCCGTGTTTGTTAGTAAGCGACAGTTCAGGCATACCAAACAAGAGCATACGTCAACCAGCATATCTCAAAATATAGACTAGCACAACTAATCCAAGACTTCAGTAACGCACAGTAACTTCCAACACAGTTGATGAAAGAAGCAGATTTCAAGCCAAGATAACTTACAATTACACATTATCACTTCAAAAAATATGACTTTTAGGATGGAGAAATGCTAACTCTAGTAGGTAGTCATCTTTGTTTCAAATGCATGAGATGCATTTCTGAGACCATAACAGAAAAATGTTGAAGGTCACTTACTGATAACAGTCAGATTAACAAGGTAGTACAACATGATGGAGATGAACTTATCTGTCAAGACTATAAGCATACCTTCCGATAAGATTGCAATAATGATTTTTCTAATTTCTTATCAAGCTTCTTCAATAGCAGTCCACTGCAAATAATAGCATAAAAGGTGTAAAAGCAAAAGAATACGTTCACAAAGAGCTCATAAGATGACAAGTAAATTACCTCTCCTCCGCTAGAGCCTTGAATGTAGCCATGAATGTGTCCACACGCTGATAAACATTTGAGTTCATATTAATCAAGACAGCAGGATTGAAAGTATGATAGAAATTACATTCACAAAGCTGCATTACCCATGAAGAAAGATACAAGTGGAAAGCGTGTGCCAAGAAAGAATTGTTTTTACAAAGGGTATGTACAATGACCATGCATTGGTGTTCTCATAGATCTAATCATTAGGCATCAAAGTTAGAAATTGGTGCTCACAATGATCAAGCCATTATTATGCATAAGGGTTTTATCAAAAATACATCCATCTCGGAAAAGAAACAACTCAAAAGTGTGGAAAGAAAGAACTGCTTCATAGAAGGCGGAGAATAAATCCTATGAATTGTTATCTAAAATGGTTTTTTTTTTTTTTACAATCAGAAATTGCTTTAGATTATTGTTATCTAAAATGGTATAATCTTCCTCATGCAAGTTTTTGAGGTTTAGGGTTTATTGATTGCTACAACGAAGGGAACATTAAGAGGCACAAAATCAATACAAATTATTTTGGTTATAAATTTTTTTCTCATTCATACGTTATTACTAGGAATGGTGCAGCACGCAACATGATTAAACATGATATAAACACACCAAGAGGAGATCCATTTCTAGAGCAAACAAATTATAATGAGGCAATGAGGCAAGCAAAACCCTAACATTATTAAGCTTGCAAAGCACCTGATATCAAGTAATTCTCGATTCCTGTGAGAATGCATATCATATTGCATCATGATTCATTCTTTTTTTTCTTTTTTTTTTTTGAAAAGAATATGATATAAATTAGTTGTCAATTTATCTAAGGTTCACATAGCCTCATGAAATTTATCTAATATACAAAATGAATAGAATCACCAAAGTTGTAAGCCTTTAACTAGATTTATTTCATGGAAAATACATAAACTACTAATTTACGAGTCATAAAGGACCGGAATTTACAATACAACAAATGTGACTCCAAGAAAAGGGGTTTTTAGCATAATGATGTGATTCTAGCTTTCCTAGAAGGGTGCTTGAAAGATACAAACCGAGAAAGCTTGTCAAGGAGGAATGAAGTATTAAGAAGCCCAACCATTAAATACATTAAAGATTCTCTGTCCAATTTACCAAGAACAAAAAATTAATCGAATAGAAACATCTAGGAATTCCTAAAGCTTATCCAAGAAAACAATATGAGGCATAAAAAGTTGAAAATAGCATTTGTATGATGAGCATTCAATAAAAACACAAGCAGGAATTATTTCTATCAACCGCTAACCTTCCCTTCAAATGCTTCAACAACAGCTTGGGCCTTCAATGATAGTGAATTGGGCAAGCTCTTTGCCTTAATTACAGAAACAGTTCATTAAAGTTAGTAACCTTAAATTCAAACCATTAAAAATAAAGTCCAAACTAATCAATGCCCGAGAGATGGTTTCAGACCAAATAAATACGATTTGCAGAAGTTAGTTGTAGAGCATCCAGACTTTCACCTTCTTCCATTTCAATTCCATTTTTTAATTTGTTATCCATGACCTAAAAAAAAAATAGCAATATTAAAAAGTGGCCTATGAAGGAAAAATCGAGACAACTATCATAAACATAGAATTTTCCAGTTAATTCCACAAAAAATCCATGATAAAACTCACTGTATTTAAATAGCATTTATTCAATTTAAAGGATGAACTGCAGCTGCTCCATGCAGCCCTTCTATGAAATACTGGATGCACAAGCATACTGTCTTTCTTTCTTTTATTTTATTTTTTATTATTTTCTTTTATTTCTGTTTTCATGTAAGACTTCTGTCAATTGTTACAATTCCATGCTTAATGAAAAAGTTCATAAAAGATTAGTCTTATTTACCAAAGTTTGAAGAAGTTTGTCAATAATGGGGGCTGCCAGCGTTTTGAGCAGATGCCTGTGCAAAATGGCCTGCACGTGAAAAGGGTCTTCTTGTCATTTATGAAACTTTCAGAGTTAGCAGCAGTTCTGTTTTTAGATCATACACAGAGAGAAGGATCATCTTCAAAGAGATCTAGTGCTCTTTCATAGAATTGTAACTCCAAGAAAGCCTAATACACAAGCAAACAAAACACGTCATTGCATGATACATATTAAAAGTTATTTTAAATTTAGCAAAGGTGTAGATAAAACATTGCAGCTCCTGTTTTTAGTGATATTTTGGTGCAAGAAAGAAACCTCATCGAGTTGTTTCTGCAAATTATCAAGCAACTGCCGGCTTCGCTTAGCATGTTCTTGTAGCAGTATTGTTCTCCTCTTCTCCAGGGAATCTAGTAAAGATGGCCTCAAGTGGGAAGACAAAGTACTGAGCATCGCATGTGGATCATCGGGACCTACGATTCAAAACCATTTAATGCATCAGAGTAGATAACAAGAACAAATAATTGTCCATAGCCAGTACAGAAGATAATGCACAGATGATTTAGGTGTGAATCTTTTGATGATGTACCTCCCAACTCTCCCAGATCTGGCGCTACTGCCAAAATCTTTTTAGCAATCCATTCTTCAGATGGACCATGTAAGCTAGCCACTTTCACCTTACTTGAGCCTTTTGCTTCTACTGAACTTGCATCCTTACTTCTCCGTTGATTTTTTTTACCTTTCATATGAGGGCTTTCTTGGGTATTAGAGTCATTTTCTACCTTCACAAAAGCTGTATGCTTTCCCCTTTTCTTCTTTGATCCTTTCTCAGGTATATGTTTTGTACTGACTCCATCATCAAAAGTCTCCTTAATCTCAGAGTTTTTACCAGAGCTAGTTTCAAATTTGACCTCATCAGCATAAGACATATCTGGCCGGTGACCACCAAGGCTTGCAAAACTGAGAATATCCACCTCTTTTTCAACTAGATCAAACAAATCCTAGGCAGAAAATACAAAGTCAACATTCTACCTGCCTAACTCTTCATAACTAAAAAAAAAATTAAACTAGGAGTTAAGGCTGCTAACAAAATATGTAATTATCTAAAAGCCCAAGCAATCAAAGGTTATCATCATCAAGCAGTGAAACCATAGGCTTTTTGCCAAATAGTATATGCATATTAGCAACTGAGAGCAACAGCCAGTCCCATGCCCCAAGGACTGAACCCCCCCTTTAGAATCCCCTGCCCTCAAGTTAAAACTGAGCATGTTAAAACCTAGACTTATCAAACCTTGGGGGTGAGTGATATAGCATTTCTTAGGATCAAAGGTTTCTAATATACATCTGATATGAGATTGAAAATTTATGCAATAAGCACATCAAATTCATGATGCGCAAACTATTAATCAGAAATAAGCATATAAAAAAAATCATGGTTAATTACTTGATCAAAGCATCCTGCATGGTGAGGCAAGCGATCAACCAAGCAAACCCTCAGAAGTTAAGGACAAACCTTTGCTTGGCTTAGCTTAATTAACCCTTGGAATGGCTAAAATCCATTCTTAATGACCAACTCATGGATAAATAGCCTAGGCTTGGGTTAAGTTGGTTTATTAGGGTGGCTTAGACCTTAAGGAATCCACTTAGTTCAATTGTTTTGGCTAATTTAAGCTTGACATGAGATTTAGCTCATGTTGATCCAAATGGATTCACTTGGGTCAACATGGGTCAATTTGCCAATATTGGCTAAACCAAAAATGGATCAATTGAAATAGGGTTAATCTATTGGCATTCAATGGAAGTGTTGCTTTGGGTAAATTAAACCAATTTGGTCAATTTGGCTAAATTGGCCAAAAGGGCTAAGTGTGGGTTCACCTAGGGTCAAATTGGCTCAATTGGGTTGTTTGGCTCAATCAATTTGAGATAACTGGCTCAAATTGGCTCAATGGTTACATTAAGAGTTCAATTGAGCTATTTGGCCTAACCAGGGGACAATTGGGTCAATTCCATATATGGGGATCCACCTAGATCAAATGGAAAAGATGGGTCAAGTCAATTTGATAAATTTGGCCCAAAATTTTTAATTGAGAAAATTGAACCAATTTGTGAAATTGGGTTCAATGAAGTGTCAATTGCGCTCAATCAACCATGACTAGGTCAATTAAAATGGATCCCAATGGTTATCTTGGCCAAATTTGGTCAAACTTAGTCAAAGTGACTTGTGAAGTTCAAATGTGTCAATTTGGGCTAGGTGAGCCAATTGGTCCAATTCAAGGGCCAATTAGGGTTAAGTCATAAATGGTTTAGCTATTAAAATTAGTTTGAGGTCCCAATTAATTAAATATAATCCAAAAAAATTCAAATTCAGACCAAACTTCATCTAAAAGAAGCTAACTGAATATGATAAAATAAATCAAGCAAAAATAAGGAAAATCTTGTAATAAATGAATGTACTTCTAAAAAGACTTGAAAATTAGTGTGATTTAGCACTTTTGTAGTTTGGTTCGACTCCTTTTGGTCAATTTATGGAAACTTAATCTATTCTAGACTAAAATATTTGAATTGTACAACATGATGCCTTGATACTTCAGCAGTGGGATGGTCTGCATGTATACGTTATTAGGTCAAACAACAGATCATTAAAGCAGGAAGTTTTGGCAACGAAAGCACAGAAAACCCATAGTACCAATTTTGCATGATAGTTATAAGCGTCCCACGGTTCATCTCTTTATGGAACAGCGTATATCAGTTGAATTTGTGCACAAAATAAGCTTGCCAGATACTATTTGAAGGAAACTTTCACCATAAATCGTTCTCAAAAATCATGCAAGAAGCACTTGAGAGTACGAGAAAGCAAAAGATGATAGGATGTGCATTTATGCTTAGCAAGCTTTAGCATCTCACCTTGATATATTTGCTGCTAAATACACAGTAGTCTCCCAATATTATTGCATCTGATGACTGCAACACATAAATGGAAATAATCAACAAAAATTTCATGATCAAGACAGTTTACAAGCATAACAAGACCAACCTTAACTGCCCTCTGAACAGATGGACAAAGGGACAATATCTTTAAGACATCCTGACTTCCAACACATTCTGGGAGAAGAGAAAGAGCGTCAATCCTGCAAAACAACTAATATTTCAGCATTTCATATTGCAAATATAACAAAAATTCCAAACCTGTTACTCTCTCGTTAAACAATCATTGCGTAGATTTTCAATGAACAAAATTTAAAAGTTGCCAAACATGAGAAAGCACTTTAAGAATACATAACTGTGATAGTCTACATCAAACAAATTAATATATATCCTGCCAACCAAAACATTTTGATTGGTTTTATAGGAGAATGTAGAACATGACAGTCGCATTCTTGCCCAAATGGTTTAGCTATTAAAATTAGACTGAGGTCCCAATTAACATTTTGATTGGTTTTATAGGAGAATGTAGAACAAGTGGACCCCGTAAGGACTTTTTCCACCAATAAATAGAGGTGTTGCCTTGGTCATTATCACAGCCCAATTCAATTCAAAGTGTATTATGAGAGTTCTAGAGGCAGCAAATAGATTCTATTTGTGATCGTAGGTGATCTATCAAGTTCCCTGTAAGTCTAGTTCAATGTTTAATTCTGCTAAATATATCACATTTTAAATGTTCATTTTGTTCTAATTTTTTTCTTATAGTTCCATTTTGTCACATTTTAATTCAACAACTTAATTTTATTGTACCTTTTTTAAAGTGCATCCAAAAAAAATTGTTGCATCATCCCGACGCTTCCTTCCTACAGGTGGGAGCATTTAAGGTGGCGGAAATTTAGGAGTGTTAGATCTATAAACGTGATGAGCATTGTTACTTACATCAGAAGCCATACACTGAATGAGATTTTCCGGTTGCTTTGAAACAACCCATAGGTACTTACGTGTGTCTCAGCACAACAATTTGTTAATTATACCTTGGCAAAGTGATGGTGTTGTTGACTACAAATTTGAGGCAAGGTGACTATCGAATTTACGGCAAAATCTACCATAGACAACTCTTTTTTTTCTCTTTTTTATCATATCTATACTTTTTTAGTAGCAGTAGTGTCTGTATATATACACTACATACATACATACAGAGAGAGGGAAAGTGTTAATTTTCTACAAAGGAAAGCAGTGATTGCGACTTATTGCTGTTGATTGACAGCAGGGAAAATCAGTGGCTATTGTGACTGATGGTTGATATAAGATGTTGAGCTGGAGCTTGAAGATTTTTGGAATGTAAAGGTGTTGTGAGGTTCCATTGAGAAGATAAACAAATTTTTGGTCTATGATTGCAGGGTTTTGGTAGGTAAAGGGCCATAAGTCTGTTAGAGGGTGATGATCTCACAGTTGGGCAGTAGGGGTGGAGGTGTTGTTTGATTGTTTGTCAAAAACAGGCATGCTGTGAAGTGAACAAAGAGTAACGATGATTTGGATTGACTCACCAGCAACGATTGAGAAGAGTAGCACATGTGGAGTGTGGAAATGTTGAGTGTTATAGAGGTTATCAATGAGGGCAGATGGTCATTGTCAGAGCTAAGATGATGTGGAGTGATTTGACGTCATCAACACCTTTTGCAAGTGTTGGATGTTGGATATAGGCCGAACAATTCTTCTCAAAAGACACTTATTAAAAAGAGATTAAATAACTAAAAGCATTTAAATCGTCTTTATAGTCTTAAAATTGCTACAAAGAATCAAGGGAAAAAATGGGCCAACTTAAGTACATGTAAATAAATTAAGCAAACTGTGTGTATGGAACACAAATATGTCATCTAACTAGGAATTAATAATCAATTTTGGCCTACATTTCTCAGTAATGCAAGGGCAATAATATTAGTTTTACTTTCATGGCCATAACTTGCTCTTGCACCACCATATACTAGTAGGGAAACATCAATTAAGTCAAATAGTCAACTCAACATGGCAAACATTATATTTTAAATGCCGGAATAAATTTTTTACCAGTTACCATGTTCAATAGCATCCTGTATAGCAGCATTTAACATCTCAACCATTGAAGGGTGAATGAAAATACTGTCCAGTGCAATGCCTTCAGGGTATCTGGACTACAATAGAAAAAGTAAACAAGAAATCCACATGTGAAAAAAAAAATGGATGCTCTGAATAAGGATATGAGCTAGGTACTTTCATTAGACTATTTCGTAATGACATTACGATGTCTGAACCAGAGTTACAAAGTACCTGCAAGTACTGTTTAGGTTGAACAATTGCAAGTTTGAGAAGGACATCATAGCCAATGTAAGAGTTCTGTGCCCCAAAGATCAATTAGCAAGCCAATCATCAGACAACTAAAATTTGCAGATTATAGAAACATCAATCATATTCAAAACAAAAGCTCTTTTGCACTCAAAGAACCACCAAATCGCGCCTTCCAGGTATAAACTTCAACAAGTATAGAGGAAAACACTCAAATCAGTTTCAGACCAGAAATATGGAACATCAAAAGCTAAGATGCATCAACACTTCGTTATAAAGCACTATTCAATGCCCGGCATATTCGGACACAAAGACACCCAACATGTCAAACGCATGCCTATCACTATCCAGATTAAAAAAAAAATGGGCACATCTATATGCGTATTGTACAATAAAGGATAATGAGCTCTAATGGAGGTGAATATAGAATATTGTTTTTAATTTTCGTAGGATTTTCGTAAATAGCATTCATAATTATCTCATTCATATATTTAAAGCCTAAACTTCACAATGTAAAAAATATAACAATCCGTTAATGAAGATTAACGAAACCCTTGAAAGTGAATATGAAGTTGCGACGGGATCTCGCAATGACCCTCATTTAATTCAAACAACAAACTCCTAAACCCACCCGCTTTTGTTGTCAACCGAACACCTCGATCTCTCTCTCACCATACGCTCACTCTCAAACTTTCACTTAGTCTGCAGTAAAGTCTCCCGTTAATGAAGTTTAATGAAACCCTCAAAAGTGAATATGATGTTGCAACGGGATCTCACTATGACCCTCATTTAATTTAACCAACAAACTCATAAACCCATCATCTTTTGTTGTCAAGCGAACACCTCTCTCTCTCTCATCATATGCTCCTCTGTTCCTACCCAAATTTCCCAAACCCCCTATGACAAACAAGTAAGGAAGTCACTGGGAGCTCATCAAAGAAGGCATCAACGAGACCTACAACTTCTGAAGAAGCTGTGACGGGATCTCATGACTTCATCGCCATAAGTTCCATTAACAAATTGTTAAATTTTAAAAATAGTGAAGTTTGTGTTATGTAAATGAGACCGTTTTGATTCCTCAAAGTCCAAAATATTTTTCATGAACCTAAATTATTTGTCAAGCTAATATACATTCAAAAGCTAACACGAATTTTCAAATGTAGCATTATACTTTATCCTTCCTATTATATCTTCTAGAAACAAGGCATGAAGAAGACAAATGGGCTTACCATAGAAAAGGATGGTCTCTACCACCTTGAGGAATCTATAATTGACAGGAGATCAATTCAAAAAATTTCACAATCTTAAAAGGCAACTTCTGGAATTAGAAAAGTAGAAAATAAAATATAGAAGCAAGATCTAGCATAACAATTGAATTTAGACATATGACACTAGCAATCTATAAATTGCGATAGTAAAAGTTATCTTAAAAATTTAAAGGTTGAATGAAAAGGTCCTATGAGGCTATATTATGATAACAAATAAGCCATCAATAATGCACATAATCTCATGCATAACCATACAAAATATTGATGTTGAAAGACACTTCATAAATAAAAAATTTGATAAGAATCTAAATTGTACTTCATTCCTAACCACAGACGCACAACTTACTGACATTCTCACCAAAGGTTTTCAGATGCAGTCTTTCAAAAATTAGTAAACAAACTTAGAATGGATGATATACATTCATTTGCTTGAGAGAAGTGTAAAATGCTTGCATAATTTTCTTCATCTGAGACCCACACTCATCAAGACTTATGCCCTCCAACTTATTAATCCACAAGATCTTGTCAATCCATGAACTATGATAATTATTATGTGATTATTATTCTAAATAATCAAATCCAAGGACTATTACAATTATTCTATAATTTTGTATGTTTCCAATTAGAAACTCTCCTATGATTGTATAAATACAACACAAATGTTATAAAGAAATGTTGAATTAATTCTCTCCAATTCTTGTCAACAACTACTATATCGAATGTATTATTAGTAATAAAAGATCTACTAAATGTTTATATTATTGTGTTTAAGCAGAGATATCCAACAAAGGTGGATGAGATATTTTTCTAAACTTCTCAATGAATATTATGAGAATGCGATTGACTTTAATGACCTTACCACCCTAAATGAAAATAAAGATTTTTTTTTTATCGGCGTATTAATAAAACGAAAGTTAGAGAGGCTTTAAAGAAAATGAAGCGTGAAAAAACTGTTGGACCTGATAATGTTCCAATAGAGGCGTGGAAATGCTTAGGAGATGAAGGAATTTCTTGGCTTACTAAACTTTTTAATATTATTTTGAAGACTAAAAAGATGTCAGATGAGTGGAGAATGAGTGTGTTTATTCTTATTTTTAAGAATAAAGGTTATGCAAAAGATTGTGCGAATTATAGAGGAATTAAGTTAATTTGTTATACTTTAAAACTATGGGAGAGAGATATGGAACATAGGTTGAGGCATTATGCTAATGTTTCACAAGATCAATTTGGATTCATGTCGGGTAGGTCTACTATGGAAGCCATACATTTATTGTGAGGTTTGATGGAAAAGTATAGAGAGAATAAGGAAGATCTTCATATGATATTTATTGATTTAGAGAAAGCTTATGATAAAGTTCCAAGAGAAGTGCTATGGAGAGTTCTAAAAAAGAAAGGGGTTAATAATGCTTGTATTGAAGTCATTAGGGATATGTATGTTGGAGTTGTTACTTGTGTTCAAACACAAGGTGGTTTAACCAAGTATTTTCCAATTTCAGTTGGATTACATCAAGGATCAGCCTTAAGCACATATCTTTTTGCTTTAATAATGGATGCTCTTACTAGAGATTTGCAAGAGAATGTTCCCTAGTGTATGCTTTTTGTTGACGATATTCTTCTAGTTGATAAGACTAAAGAGGGAGTTGAAGGTAAACTTGAATTATAGAGGTCAACCTTAAGAGTCTAAAGGTTTTGGTTTGAGTAGATCTAAAAATGAATACATTGAGTACAATTGATGAGGACATCCAACCGTGGAAGGTCTACCAGAGACGGGCCCGACAATCTACGGTTATGATGGCACCTATTTATTTTTGAATTATTTTATGTATTTGATTTGATATTGTACTTTTTTTCCTTTTTACCATCACTTGAGGGCTTAGTCTTATGTATGCCCTAGGGGCAAGAGTGTCTTTATTTTATTTCCTTCATGTATTTGGCTATTTAAAGCCCCCTCCTCCCCTTACAGAGAGGTAATTAATATGAAGATAAAAATTTATGCTTTGTGAGTTTTTGGAGAGCTTGAGAGTCTTGGAGAGAACCCTAGAGAGGGAAACGGATCACTCACCAACCTTGGAAGAGTCCGGATTCGTGGTTCTTTTCTTTTCTTCCCTATCTTTTCTTTTTTCTCCCTCCCCTTCCCTCCTAGCCATCGGCCTAGAGCTCCCCAACCTCATAGCCGCCGACCATCCACTCCAAAATAAACCCCACCGCCGGCCAACACCCTTCTTCAACCCCCACCGCCGGCCAAACTCTTCACCCTCTCCATGAAACCACCGGCCCTCCCTAAGCAACAACCCCATACCCTTAGCCGCCGTCCCCACATCTTGTCCAAACCCTAAGCCTAACCTAGTCGCCAGCCATAGCTCTTCCCCTCCCTTGCCTCCAAACCTTCAAGTCTCTAATTAATTGCTTTCCATATGTAGTATTCTCAAATTGGACAGATTTCAAATTCGAATTTCAATTCTAATCAGATTGAAATTCTTTCCTAAAGTAACTACGTTATATTTTTAAAGTTCTTTAATTGGAGTCAATCTATTTTGGAGTATATTCAAAAGGATATGAGCAATAACTTCCTTCTAATTTAATTGACTTCAATTAGGAAAGTATTTGAAACCTCCTTAAACACCCCATCTCCTTCCCAATGCCGCCGGCCCTAGCTCCCTCCTCCCCTCTTTCTTGAATCCCTCTCCCTTCTACCTTCCCCAACTGATCCCCCAGCCCACTAAGAGATATTTTCTCTTTCACTTAGCAGTCCATATCAAACCCTAGTCTCCTAGATCTTCTAACATCTGCTGTCCAGAATTCTGGACCAAGAATCAGCTGTCCAGAACTCCAGAACCAGCAACATTGCTGTTCAAAGTAGCTTCCGTTTGCTGTCCAGATTTTCCTGGACGCTGTTGGGTGGCTGTCCAGCGAATTCCAGCACTTCTCCCTGCTTTCCAGCTGGCCAGGAGACCATCGTGTGCTGCCCGGAGGTTTTAGTTTGCTGTTCAAAGGTTCCCGACCAAGTTGACTTGTTGTCCACCATCCAGAAATTGCTCCAAGTACTGTCAAGGGTAGCAAGGAAGTCTGTATTGCTGTCCATTCTATATCAAACATCCAAATGACTACACCGGAACTTCGTATCTTACTTCTCTTGGGTAAAACTCTTCCTCCAACTCTTATATCTCCTAGTCACTTCTCAACTTGTGGCTTTAATTTGATTCTCAAATATTCTTGTTAATCCCTCCGCTAAAGCCTAGTGTTTAGTATAATTGTGTGAGGGATCTTTCATAGCATTGCTCTTATTTTTAGATTAGGGATTCCTTGTTGAAACTTATCTCGTATGCAACGTCAAGAGTAATTGATTGTTTTGTGGTTTTTACTTTTTGCAAGTAACTTGGCCTAAGCTTGTGTTTACCGCTCTTTGTGTTTTATTTAATTGTTTAAATCACCATAAAAATTTAATTAACTTGCTCTTAATCATTAAGCATGCAAAATCCTTAGCTAAATCGTAATCTCATATGTGTCATGCATCAATAATTTAAGTAGTAATAGATTTAGTGGGGGGTTTGTGACTTTGGGTGATCAAGTCAATCATAAGAGTACACGTTTTCGATATATTGGGTCTATTGTTCAGAGTGATCGTGAAATAGTTGGGGCTATTATTAGTAGAATTCAAGTTGGGTGGTTGAAGTGGAGGGATGCATCGAGCTTATTATGTGATAGAAAAGTCCTGGGTGAGATATGAAATGCTTTATGGTGCAGAATGTTGGCCATTAAAAGAAAAGCATAATATTAAGTTAAGTGTTGCAGAGATGAGGATGCTCAGGTGTATGAGTGACTTTAATCTTAGAGACAGGATACGAACTGAGCATATAGGTGAAAAGGTTGGAGTAGCTCCGGTGGAAGATAAGATTAGAGAGAGCCACCTTAGATGGTTTGGTCACATAAAATGGTGGCCTCTCGAAGACCTGGTTAGGAAAGAAGATATATTAGATTTTACTTATGTTAATAAAGATAGAAGTAGACCTAAAAAGACTTGATTAAAAAAATGTTAGAAATGACGTTTCCTTATTAGATATTTAGATTTAAATGAGAATTTAAATCTTAATAGGACACAATGGAGAAAAGGATTCATATAGCCAACCCCACATAGTAGGATAAAGGCTTGAAGTTGTTGTTATTGTTGTTGTTTTAACTTCGCCAAAAAAAAATATCAACTTACAAACTTCCATGGACAAAGCCTCCTAATTTAGATATAAAAGTATTCTGATATAAACTAAAATAAGTATTGATAAAAAGTCTCAACATAATCTTTTACATAAATGGATCGTTCTTTCAAAAAGTCTCAACATGATTGGATCTATAGCATCCTCAGATAATTTTCCCCATGTATGTTTTGCACCTTTATTGCTACAAATTAAAGTTCAAAATTAATGTAGGCAAAAGAGGCCTTTTGGTGTTCCCCATGTCGATATTAATTCCCAAAAGATGTCTTTTCAGTTTCCCCTTTATGAGACATTTAATGTTTCAATTTCCCCCCACTTTTGGGGCAATTTTGATGCTTTGGTTTCTTCCCCAGGTAGTTGCCCCTTCGGTCCCTGCTTGTTGTGGTTTTCAAGGGTATTCTATTGGTTAATTTTGAGGTGCATTAAATACATGTATTAATTTTTTTTTTTAACTTTTATTCCCCTATATAAGGACTATTTTGTGGCTGTTTTAGGAGGGTTTTACCAAAAAAATTTTATGGAATGTAAAAACCTACGGGTTTACATAGCTTGCGAGCTATGGTCTTCTTTCCCCTTCTCCTCTTAAAATTCATCTCGGTCTTCTAATCCCTTCTTCTATATCCACGGTTTCCACTCCACATGTATCCTTCTTTTCTAAAATATATATATAAGTTTTATGGTTTATGTTTATCATTTGTAGTTGAAGTTGTGTATCTTAATTTATAATTTTAGTGTTTATATTTATCTATGTTGTAAGAAAAGAAAATTTGTCTTTGCAATATTTTCTTGTTGCATTAATTTGGTATCAGAGCTTTAGGTTGTGAGTCTTCCTTTCTTTAAAAAAAAAAAAAGAGAAAAAAGTCAAACCAGTCAACAAGCCAAAGTTCACTTTAAAAGAAAGATCTGTCATCAGAAATAATGCATTTGGAACATCAAAGAAGCACTGTCATTCAACCTAAGTTTGCAACGTCGTCATCCTAATATTTTCCAACGTGTACCAAGGCATTCTTATTAGGAGATGAGATTTCTCAACCGGAGGAGAATTGATGTTGGCAAAAGAAGCCTTTTGGTGTTCCCCATGCCGATTCTAATTCCCAAAAGATGCCTTTTCAGTTTCCCCTTTATGAGCCATTTAATGGTTCGGTTTTCCCCCACTTTTGGGGCTATTTTGATGCTTCGGTTTCTTTCCCGGGCAGCTGCCCCTTCGGTCCCTGCTTGCTGCGGTTTTCAAGGATATTCTATTGGTTGATTTTGAGGTACATTAAATACATATATTAATTGTATTTTTTAACCTTTTCTTCCCCTATATAAGGGTTGTTTCGTGGCTATTTTAGGAGGGTTTTAGAAATAAAAATTTATGGAATGTAAAAACCTACGGGTTTACATAGCTTGCGAGCTATGGTCTTCTTTCCCGTTCTCCTCTTAAAATTCGTCTTGATCTTCTATTCCCTTCTTCTCTATCCACGATTTCCACTCTACATGTGTCATTCTTCTCTAAAATATATATAAATTTTATGGTTTATGTTTGTCATTTGTAGTTGAAGTTGTCTCTTAATTTGCAATTTTAGTGTTTATATTTATCTATGTTGTAAGAAAGAAAGATTTGTGTCTTTGCAATATTTTCTTGTTGCATCAAAAATATATAGAAATTTCAGCTGAAGCAGAAAAAAATCTAACGTAGTGCCAAAAAAATGAAATTAAAAGGCCAATCCACAGATAATCTTTCTTCTAACTATAATCTCAAGGAGTTAAAATTTCTATTTAAGCATGGAATTAATTTTTTCCAAAATCGCCAACATTTCCTTTAAACTAAAATTAAATAACCGAACTGATGCCTCAAACCTGTGAAAAAAATGAGTCCACGCTCTCCCTTTGAGCATGTGCAAAAACCTAGAAATGAACAACCAAAAAAAATTTGATTCAATCAGTTCAGAAAGAGTAGAGGATGGAAAATGAGAAATGAGATTAAAAAACACTTAGAAATTGACGGTAACAAAAAAATTGATACAATCACTTTGCGGGTGGGAGAGACAATCTCACAGTTGGTGTCCATTGGACTCCTGCTCGAAGAGAGCCTAGAATTTCCTTCTCCTTTACTAGAGCATTAAATATAGAGTGAAAAAGAGTATTTTCAATTGAGACACCAATGCCATCATTAATGTCATGCGGTAAATGCTGCAAAGAGTTCCAAACAGTTGGCAAGTTTGTCGGAACAGTAATCCCCCTAACAGCACCACGAACCATTGCCGTAATTCGTGAAACATATGCAGGAGTGAACAACTGCCCACCTTCCAATCTCCCCTTTATCTGTTTAAACAGACCTCAGAATTCAGAGAAGCAACTAAGAAATAACAAAGGCAAAATGTTATAAATTAAATAAGAAAAAAGAATCCAAGAAACATGGACTAATAAACTATATTATAACATGTCCTCAAGAATCAGAGAAAAGATTTTCCGTTGTGATTATTAGAAAGCTGCATTTTCATATCTATTTAATTCAACTTTTGTTTTGAGAAATAAATTCCAAAGGAAAAGGAATAAATGACAGAAAACAAGATGTAAATAACTAATAAATGAATATAAGGCATATGAACAGGTGCCAACTTTTCTTTTGCCGTTTCCTGTTTACTGGATAGAAAGGGTCACTGGCGGAGCTACAGTGGGGACCCTACTAGCTCATTAAAAAAAAATTCTTAGTTAAAGCAGCTTATTATGGAAGTAAAAACCAAATAAAACATTAATCTAACCTAAATCGCAGCAGCTCCTCACCAAATCACATCTCAAATATCCTTGTCGGCGGCGCTCTCCTTCATTTCGCTCGCTCTCACTAGTAATCTATGGCTCTCTTACCCCTCTCCCATCTCTCTTTGTCTATGCTGCACCGATACACCTATTTATGAAATCGTGTTGTATTTGATACACTGATACATGAATACACCTCCGATACATGTCGAATACGGCAAAGCTGTATCTAATTAAAATATTATTTAATTTCAAAAGGGCACGCATATCAGATACGCGTGTCCATTCAAATATAAAAAGAAATCTGAAAAAAAAAAAAAAAAAAAAAGACACGTCGTATTTACTTCCGCGGCTGCGAGCGAGGTTCTCTCATTTCCGAGATGGATTTGAGACTCTTGATGATATGGGAACATTAGAAATTATTAATCTTTCATCTGATGAGTTTGAATTAGAAGCTATGATATTTATTAAAGATGATATAGAAATTCAAAGACAACCACTGAAGAAGCTAATCATATTATTCCTTCTATTGAATAGTTGAAATTTCATGTGCTAGACAATTTATGTTTATGCTTTTGTTGTTGTACTAGACATTTAATGCTTAATTTAATTTTGATATTATAAGCTACAAGGCTACAAATGATGTTGCTTTTTTTTGTAATTTCAAATATTATGCTTTGATTGATTTCTTAATTTTTATGTATGATTTATAAATTATAATGTCATGTCTGCGCCGTACCCGTATCCTATATTTTTAAGAATTGACATATCATGTATCCGTGTCGTGTCGTATCTGTGTCATTGTATCCATATCGGTGCAACATAGCTCTCTCTCTCTCTCTCTCTATCTCTCTCTCTCTCTAAAAAAAACATTTTTTTAAACCAATTTAGATGGTATCCCTACTTTCCTTAGATTAAGAAAAATTAATTAATTATCATCTAACTGATAGGATATAATGCAAAGATGATATTCAATTGTAAACTTTACTCTATTGTATAATTTATCTTCTCATAATAACAACTCCAACAAATAAAATTTTAAAAGCAACAATGTCAGTTATAAGTCCTAATGAAAAAAATTGAGCGTATTTTTAAAATTGAAATTGTGCACCTACAAAAACAAAATCTAGATCCGCCATTAGAAAGGATATGCTTGTTTTAAAAAGACTGCTCATATGCAGAAGCTAATCTAAATTAGAAGAGGTCATATACCAATTTGTTATATTGTCTAGTAAAGAAACAAAACCTAACACATGTGCATGACAATTTTACAAATTCCAAGCATGAGGGAATGCTAGCCGTTTGGTAATTTCTCCTCCGACTAGAATGAAGATCCCATTGAGCGGCTAATCCCATACTTTGTATGTACATCCGGTGACACTCCTCCGACCAGAATGAAAGATCCCATTGAAGCGGCTAATCCCATACTTTGTATGTACATCCGGTGACACAAATTGCATACTATCATAAATGGCTATTCCTGGTATTACCCATTCGCTTGGAGAATTTATAAACAAATAAAGATCCCTAGTATCATCTTTTATGCTGAGATATACTATGAGATATATATATATATATATATATATATATATGAAGGGTTTGTATTTCACAAATCTCAAATCAAATTTAATAATTTTCAAGCTCATCCAAATATAATATGTATCAAGATAACCTGGCACAATTTTTTCCATGTTAAATTCAAAGCTTCCAACAAGATAGACTGAAATCAAAATACCCTAAGGCCCTACAAAATGTTCAACAATGCGACAATATTCATGCATGGTCAAAAAGAGAATACCAATGCAAATCCATGTATTTTAGATATAAAAGGAAATATAATCAACACAAAAAACCCACAAATCTTAATTTGATTATGAGAAAAGGTGTGTATACATAATCAGGGGGACTGGTTATCCTTTTTTAACATAGTTTAAGGAATGTTATGTTATACAAAGGTAATTAGATGACTATCTTGATTCTTTACAATTATATCTATATAAGATTTGTTGAACCTATGAGCCCATTATATGTATGAACTTATTTTGAAAGTAACAATTACATGTTTAAAATTTTAAATACTTACATGAAGTAATTACACAAATTTTTAACCTCAAAGCAACAACGATTAAAAAATCAGATGATCAAGATATTTGGAACAATATCCAAGAGACTCAAAAGGCGCTCAAGAAAAAATTCATAGTATTAGAGAGTTTGTAGATTTATTAGGCTTGTAATTGCAAAATATGGCTCAAGCTTAAACTTTAACTGACAAAATTTATAAGCCCAAAATAAATTAGAAAATATTATAAACAATCATATTAGACCTAGGTTAGGGCCAAACCACGTAAAAATTTGCATGTTGTCTCTTGCTAGCTTTTACTTTTGTAGTTATTTTAAATTTACAAATACTTATCTTCATGCAAAATAAGTTTTTGATTCTGCACAAATTCAAATTATTGCAAATCTAAATAATTTTTGAAAAAGCACCAACCCCCAAAATTATGTCATAAACTTAAATTAGTATCAGAACTACCTTTTTGACTTAACAACTAATAGTAGATCCACTCACTATGGCACAAAATATTCCCTTTAGCAAAACCAAAGTTCGCTCTACTACAAAGCCGTCATTTTTAGACAATGCCCTATTCTTAGGACTTCAAATAAAGCAACAGGATAATTGCAAATCATTTGTCAAACCAAACGCGTTAATACGGAAAATTCACTAGCATGTTGATTATGGACCTCTTGCCTATTTAAACATAGAAAAGTGTGTAAGAAATAAAATTAGTAACATAATATCGAACCAATGCGTTGAACGTACTATAGTTCCAAGGCGGGGCTCCAAAACGGACATCACAATCTCGGAGCCAACATGCAATTGTGCGGCAATCTCAGCAAGGAATATCTGACTACACTCCTGCAGTTTTTCGTTTATCTCTTCAGCGACTCCATCCCAATACGACTCCGAGATTATTTCCCCGTTTAGCAGCATAAGCCCGGGATCACTAGCCACAATCTGCTGACCCTGCTTCTCGATGTGATATAGGTCAACCCCAAGGACGTCCGAGAGATCAATGAGGGAGACGCGGCCCGACTTCCTGATCTCCGCCACCATCTCGAACTGTACTTGTTCCTGGAAACGAAAGCCGAAATAGGTCATTTATCAAGAAATGAAATGGAAAAATTGGAACCCTGTGGAGAGGCGGAGGTTACAGTGGTTATATACTCTTTGCCAGAGACAGTGTGGAGTAGGTCGAAATCAATGAAACGGAGCTCCTGTAGCTTGAGAATCAACTCAACGATGTTTCGTTCCGAGAGGCGGTTGCTTGATTTTGCCTGTTGTGCGGACTCAAACTGTCGCTGGAGTTCCAATAGTTCGGCATCCATAGCGGAGATGCTTCAGATCGATGAACCTGCTGTGTTCCCCGAATGCGTTAGGAGGACCAAAGGGGAAGAAGAATGAGGTTGGCCGATAGCTGTCTTCAAGGTTTTCAAAAAATCCGACAGAAGGAAGGAAGAACGGGGTGCTTCAATGATTTTATCGGAATTAAGTAGGGGTTATAATAAATATTAAAAAAAAAATAATAAATATTAAAATTATTTGAATTAATTTTAATTAATATAATAATGAATGATTATTATGTGATTTTTTATAGTTGTATAATACTCACCTATAAATTTATTAAACTAATTAATTAAATATTTGAATAATTTATAGATGTAACCTATTTTATACAATTGAATATAATACTCACTTATAAATATGGGGGTTACTAATAGAGCGTGGGCATGAAACAATCATGTAATTTTAGCCAAACCTCTAACTAAAATGTCTCTTAGGTCTTTGTTAGATTCTTCATCCTATATTGAATGCAAAATGATCACATGCTAATGTATTTAATATGGATATGAGATACATGACATGTATATAGTTACTATTCATTTGACAAAACAAGCATTTTGGCATAATGCATATCATATTGATAAGTTTGTTGGATAAATCAACATATTATAATAATTGCATATGATGTGAACAAAATGCCTATTATTTTAATATGCATTATATGAAATGTATGCAAGAATAAGAAGAATGAAAGAATTAATCTGTTATATAAGATGGATGAGATTGATATTAATATGAATGAGAAGACTCATGAGTGGAAATTGATGACCGATAAGATTGATGATAGATGATAGATGACAGATAAGATAAATGTTAGATAAGATCGATGACAGATAATTCTTACATGCATATTATTTATATTTTGTGTATTGATTTTAGTTGAAGATTTTGGCACCTAACTGGGCTTCTTTGCTCATTATGTGATTTTTACATATTGTCATGTAAGGATTAGAAACTCGTGAAGTGAGGTTGATATGGGTGGCAAACTTAGGTTTTATTTCTGCATCTATTGCTTTCTTTCTTTATTTAGTCATGATGTGTTTGTAGTGATGGGCTATTATTGATTGAATATCATGGCTATTGTATATGTTATGTTGGGCTTGGATCAATGTATAAATATTGGATGCATGTATATTAATGTACACATATTTATCACTATCTATATTAGTGTAATGAAATTAGTATACTCTAGTAAATGTTTAGAAGATAAAAGGATGCAATTTTTTCAAATTTTGTTTTCGAGGCGTTACATGAAGTTTTCTCCTTGTGGACAACTACCAATAAGATTCATCCAATATGCGACTAGTACACTAAGACTATGCATGCACCTTTTTTATAGTTTTATCATGTAGCCTATTTTATACAAATGACTTTAATACTCACCTATAAATATGGGGGTCACTAGTGGAGCGTGAGCATGAAACAATCATGTAATTTTAGTCATACTTCTAACTAAAATGACTTTTAGATCTTTATTAGATTCTATGTTCTATAAACTCTCTTAGTTCAATATGACTCACTCTTCTCTATCTAAGAGGTTAACAATGTTACTTATAAACCAAATCACATAAAAGATAATCTCAAAATCATACTCTTCTCTCTACTCATTGGGATCGATTCATATTCAACAAAAAGAATTAAGACTTGTTTTCTCTCCAGTGACTTGCATTAACAAACATAATAAACAGATAAAAGACATTAAACATTATTATGTCTCATCTTCTCCACTCTCACATGGATGAGTAAAATCTGTGTATTTTGGTAATAGTATTACGATTTCGATTAAGTTAGGTTGAGTTTGAATGGAAGTAAGCGGGAATGAAATGAAATAAAGCATTTCTAGCCGATGAGTTTCTCCCAATTATGTCATTCAATAGAGTAGGATGGCTTCCTCTGACCAATAGTCCACTTTTTGCTCCATCCATGGAGCATATGAATTTCTTAGAATATAGATATATCCAAAAAGGGGAATTCATGGATCTTTAGAATAGGAATTAGAGTAACATTGGAGGAAGGGGCACCAATGGGAACATGTCTACTAATGAACAATTGAAACTCTTGGTTTTGATTGACATTTTTCTCTTTTTGAATAAACAAACCCAATTTGCATCTTAGTATATACTGAATTGAACTATGATTTCATTTATGATTGGTGTTATAAATAAGAGGAATACAACTTAAAAGAAATAATAGGCCAACATCAAATTCTTTATAATCATAAAATGAAATTAATAATGTGAGACTACTGTTAGAAATATTTCTCAAGTAAGAATTAAAACAATTTATTTTATCAGCCCCCATAGTCGTGAATGAATCAACAGACTTCCCATTTCAGCAAACTATCTTCAGATGATGATGCTGCCCATACCATCTTTAAATTTGTTCTTAAAATATGAAGAGCATGAAAATTGTACAAATTAGAGGTAAATCTATGTCCTAATATGATTGAGAAGACGCCATCTTGAAGGAGGTAAGAGGGGAAAAAGTTTTTATATTACACATACTTATAACATATTTTATGAAGAAAGTTTTCAAGTTATATATAATAATAAGAGTTATCTTAAATTTAAGGGGGCAAGAGCCACCTATGATTTCATCATTTAAGCTTGAGCTTTAATGCGCATGATCATTCTAACACATTGCAACAAAAAAGAATCATCAAAGCTCACTTTTGTAGCTTTGTGGCTAAATAATCCCCTGGTGTAAGAAAATCTTCATATGAGAATTTAAGATTCTGCTTTGGATAACTTTTTTATTATTTTACTTTATGGACTATAACAACAATTTCTATTCGGCTAGTGGTTTTTCACTGCTTATAAGAATTTCAAAAAAAAAAAACTTTCCCCACATAAGATTTATAACAACCTTTAAAAAATTGCAACCATCTCAAACAAATCATAAATAAAAATAAAAATATATATTTGTTTCACAAAATATCAAAGGAATGAATGAAGAGTATTGAACTATAATATTTTAGTCAATTAAACAATTAAAGACTGACATACCATCAATAAAACGATTGAATTTTAGATTATTAAAAAACAATCGATTAAAGCTGTAGCATTGAAGCGTTTTAGGAGGGATAAAATGGAGAAACTTAAACAGTTAAACATATACAACTCATCTTGATTTGTTGGTTGGGAGCTTAGGCTACCAACTAAGAGGTCTTGAGTTCAAATTTTGTGTATGCGATGTGTGTGTGAGTCTGCCTTGTCCTAAATGTCCCAAAAATAAAAAAAAAATAAACAGCTAAACATAAATGGAAACTGAAGAAAAAGTTTCCTCTTCTTTTTAGTGCAAGTCTGGTATAAAGACCGTTCACTTTACCCTATGAAACATTTGTATCTACATTGTTCAACAGAAAGTTGCAGAGGAAATCACAAGTTAGCTCATCTCATGTCATATGCGACTACATCTCATGTGAACTTCTGGAGCCAACATTCTCAATGAATAACAGCTAGCATTTTTCAAAATGAAGCTAGATGAAAGATAGCATGTTGGAGATACAAGAATGACACACCTGACTCTTGAAATGTTCTTAAGGCTTCATTTGTGATAGCTTTCTTTCTGCTTCTTAAAGCAGCTATCTAATACAAAATTAATTTTTTTTTATTAAAAAGTTGTTTTAAAAAGCAGAAAGAAAGACATCCCAAACGAAGCCTAAATTGCATACATCATCTTGAACTCATCAACATCTGAAACCCCAGAAACAGCTGACCATGATCTCGATCTACTAAGCGAAGAGCGTTTGACGCTCCTCATTTTCCTTCTTTCGATTCGATGTGTGATGACCCAATAAGACATGGTACCCAATGTTGCAGCTAATATTACAGTACCTATAATGGTAACACATAGAGCCATCCACCTGTCATGCTTCCCCACCACAACAAAACAAAGCGCAAGGTATGATATACTTATAAGAACACAAGCCAACCACATCAACTTGTTAATGACTGCAGTCATTTGTTTCTTTGCCTTGCTTTCGATTATAACTACAGAAGTCTGTACCACCACAACAGCAAGTGATATGAAGAGTGCCAAAGAGTCAAAAACAAAGAATATCATGAAGGCTGTTTGTCGGGCAATGTTGGCTTCACCAATGGTTAGGCCAGGAGCAACGTTCTCTGAACCAACATATTGACCAGGGACAGTAAAAATGGCTGCAAAGGCAACTGTGGCTATGAGGACAGCAACAACTGTGTTAGAGTTTATTGCATTGTTGAGTCCTACAGTATGAAGCTTGTTGAGCCTTTTTGCAATACCTTTAACGCGCTTTCTGGTTTGTCGAGTGTGTTCCAACTGGGAATGAACTTCATGCCTTATATCGCTTACTGTTTGCTTCAATTCTCGAACAGGGTTTGAAGGTCTGATCGCCATTGCACTCTGGACTCCATGCTCGAGTAGTATAGCAGAAACATCAAAGTTTCCCAACTTCTCAGCAGTGTCAAGTGGGCTTTCTCCTGACTTGTTGATGACTTTGGTATCAATACCAGGACTTTCTAGTAGTCTCTTCACAACCTGCACAAAGGGCTTGTTAAGGTTTTGTTAAGGCGTTTACAAGTATTAGTGCAGGCTTATATTGAATAGCTAGGACGTCAAATGGTTGGCCCTCACCCAAAAAATTTGAGCTTTTGAGCTAAGAAAAAAAGAGGTTGAACTAATAGAGCTTTGTCAGAATAATATGGTCAGGTTCTTGCTACAAGGGCAAAAGGAAAAAACTGTATTGAGAAAGATATGATTCAAGTAATAAGGGAGATTGTTGGGCTTGAACGCTAAATTACAGATGTTCAGTAAAGATTGCTTATGCATGAACACTATATTTCAGATTGAAAAAGCATACTTCTATGGGAAATTTCACAATAAATTTAATATTATAATCTGTTAAACTAGTTTGACTAAATGATTTGTCACTACTAAATACGTTCTTTAAATCCACATCTAGAAGATTTTCCATTGTGTAAATTATTTATCTTGGGAGTCAACAAAAATGTAAAAGATTGGGAATCTAGTTATGAACATATATCCATCCCATGTAAATAAGAATGCTTGTATATGCCAGATTGCCATTTTAGATAATGAGCAGTTCCAGATGCCTTAGGCTTTGTTTGGGACGACTTTCTTTCTGCTTCTTAAAGCAGCTTTCTAGTATAACAAATAAAAATTTTATACTAAAAACTGCTTTAAGAAGCAGTAAGAAATCCATCCCAAATGAAGCCTTAGTGTTAACAGTTAGTTCAGTTCATGTTGTAAGCCAACATATATTAAATAATGATTTCAGTGCAAAATGTGAAATATTAGTCAAGGAAATCAAGGACAACAAGATACAAAATAAATCAAATGATAAAAGTAGAAATAAACCTGAGAACGACCCTTCCGAGATGCTATATGAAGTGCAGTATTTCCCTTTGCATCCACAAGGTTGATCAGAGCTGGCTCACACTCGAGAAGCTCCTCAACAATCTCCAGACTTGTTCCCTTCACAGCCATATGAAGTGCATTCTGCCCTTTCATATCATTCCTGACAGATATTCCAGGCTCCTTGCTTAGGATAGCTTGCACCACTTCCAATTGTCCACCCCTTGCGGCCGAATGCAGAGCTGTTTTGCCGTTACTCTTCGCAATCAGCGCCAAACTGCTATCAACTTCCAGGAGAAGATTTACCACCTCAATGTGTCCTTGAGCTGCGGCTGTGTGCAATGCCGTTGTGTTTGATAAATCAACAGTCATGCAGAGTTCTGGAATGGCATTGAGGAGCTCCTTCACAACATCTAGTTAAAATTACCACTTACTTGATTGAAACTAAATAATATTGCATTCTGATTTAAACAAAATAAATTCTTTTTAGCAGAGAGAAATATTTCAGTTATTGCTGTTGATTGTCAAAGTTGCTTGATTATTTTGCTAAAACTTGCAGTATAACCTATTATCATCAAAGTAACATAATGACATCCTATCACATGAAAACATAGTTGACATACTCTTAGATATAAGCTTTGTTTGGCTTGGACAAATCAATCAGGAAAGAAAAGAAATGTTATTTACCTTTGATATTACCCTAAGAAATAACACATTAATTAATTCCAACCATTTGATCATGCAAGTCAAAACTCGTTCTCTGATTATTTTGACACAACGAGGGGTTGAGCAAAATGATGATCCTTTTAACTCCTCCATCACTCTATCGCACCAAGGGTTGTGTCGACCTTAATGAAGAACATGTTCATTGGCACCAATCTCTAGGTTTCAACATAAATTCAATCATCCAATTCAAATTGTTGTCCCCGTGGGCGCATAGTATGACAAGCTTATTTTAAGAATAATGATGATGGGGACATCAGAGCTTGGAAAGTCTATCAAAGACATGGCCGTCGATCTACGGCCACGATCGAGTCGATGTATTTTTGAGTCGTATTATGTGTGTCTTTTATTATTTTATGTTATTATTTGCTTTTGTTATTTTTCACTTTTACCCCCTTACTTAAGGGAGGTCATGTGTAAGCCCAAAGGGTATTGTCGTCTTTTTTTTTTTTTAGTCCGTTGTATGAGGCTTTATATGCTCTTTTTTCATGCTTAACGAATGAATGATAAAAATTTTCCATTGCTTAAGTTCCTTGTGAGAGCTTGAGAGTGCTTGGGAGAGAAAACACTTGGAGAGGGAATCACATCACTCACCAGCCTTGGAAGAGTCTGGGCTCATGATTCATTTTATTATTTCATCTTCTCCTTTTTTCCCCACCCTACCCCACCAGCCAACCACCCCTCTCACCACCCAAGCCGCCGGCCATCTTAGCCCCACCCTCACCATCGGCTAAAGCTCCCACCTCCAACCCTTCCGACCCTACCTCCCTCTCCACCAACATTATCCACGGCCAAACCACAAGCCGTCGGCCCTCCACTTGGCTTTTTCTCTATCATTGCTTGCAATTACCCCTTTCCTAATTGGGTTTGAATATTTTAGGTAATTCAATTACTTTGCAAATTCAAATTTATTTGAATTTGAAAATTTACCTAAAATACCATTCCTATTCTAGGAAAATTTCCAAATCCATTCCTATTTGATTTTAATTTAAATTGGGATGAGATATCTCTTCCCAAACTTGATTCCCTAACTTAAGGAAGCATTAAAAGCTTCCTTAAATCTCTCCCTAGCCCCTATGCCGCTGGCCCCCCTCATTTAATCCCTCGGATTTATTTCCTAAAGCTCATCTCCACTTTTGGAAATAATTCAAGCCTTCATACCCCTCTTTGGCCAAAATTCCTAAGAGCTCCCACCTCCTTACTACTTCCAAAATCTCATATTTAGTTTTGGAAATAAATCCCAAACCTCCTCTCTCTTGCCACCACCCCTCCCTCTCTCTCTTCTTTATTACTATCAATCAAAGGGATTAATTAAGGATTTATTTGAAATACTTTCCCTCCACAAAATCTAAACCAAAGTTAATTCCCCATCCCTCCTTCAGTGTCCGCCCCCCCCTTCCCTCCTTCAATTAAAATCTAGAAAGAAACTTCTTTCTCCCTAGAGAAGTCACCTAGGGAATCACTACGATCCTCGTCTGCACATCAACCCTTTGACACCGATGAATGGCCGATCCGGAGATTGACTACAGATTTTCTTACGACAAACAAGGGAATGTCAACATCCTCCACTCCACCTTCTTCGATTTCAACCCAGAAGTTGATAACTCTATTGAAGAGTACGTGGACTGTATTATCTTCACACTCTCGGATGCCATCGACGAGCAACTTGCCAACGTCCAGTGGCAAATTGTTTCGGGACAATAGCAAGGGTAAACTTCTTCCCTCATCAATTATCTTTCTAATCCGCTAACCTTGTAGGTGGTGATTTAATCACAAAGTTCTCGTCTTCGCCCTTTGCCTCCGCTTAGTAAACGTAGGATTTGAGTTTACTTTCTATGTTGCTTATCTCAATGTTAGATTAGGAATTTTTGTTGAATGACTACTTAATTCACATGTTGTTGAGATTCTAAGTTATTTTGATAATTCAAGTGCTTAGCATATAATTTGGCCTAAGCATAGTTACCCCTCTTATGTTTTCTTTGATCGTTTTGATTACTAATAGTCTTAATTGTTATTTGTTCTTAGCAATATAGTACAAGTTCTTATCGCATTCATTTAAAAGCATTATAGTCCTGCATCAAATGATCATATGATTTAAGTTACTAATGTTTCAATTAATAATAATATGTGTATAAGATTATAAGAGATTTTTATTAAATAATAAATCGTATTGAGAAGAATAATGAATTATGACAAATTGTATGAGAAATGATGGTCTATTTTATCAAATAAAGAAATTTTATTTAGAAGATAATTTTTTTTGTCATCTAAAGCTAGAGGTTATTAAATATAAAAGTTTATAAATTAATTTAATTATGATTTTACCCAATTTTAAATAACGAGAATAAATTTTATTACTAGATTAAAATACGAGCACTAATTGGATATATTTAATAAGTAATTAGAGAGAGAGAGAGCATAGGAGAGAATAGTGGAGATTTCATTTAATTAAATTATTAATTTTAAAAGAGAGTATATTTAATTAGTTAAAATGAGAAAATATTAAATACGGAAAATTTATAAATTAATGATTAAATCATGATCCGTATATAAATGATAATGTAAGGAGACCAAATTCTATCAGTAATTTAACAAATTAAATACAAGAGCTATTTATGTGCATTAAATAGCAAATTTGAGAGAGTGCAATTATAATCAATAATATTTAAGATTTTAAATTGAAATTAAAATAACAAGTTAGAGAAATAAAGAGAAAATTATAAATTAAATTTTAACGATGGGATCTTTTTATAGGTGTTAAGTTTATCCACTTAAAAGTAAGGAGGAAAAGTAAAGCAGCATGATACCTAAGTTTAAGGTGAGTATTCCTATATTATGATAATTATATTGCTTTTACTAAGTGCCTTTAATTGTTATTGCAAATAGTTATCTTATTGCTCATTCTAATTGCATTGCAAATGATTTATCTTTTGCATATGAATTGTTTGATTATTTCAAATCAGATGATAATTAGCATGCTATATTTTACATAAGGTTAGTGAATGATTATGAATGAAATGACTAAGATATATATGCTTGCATGTGCATGATTGACTAATAGAGCACATTCTCTTATGGTACTGAATAGGGATGCAATATACCAATACACGTAAAAGGAAAAGGAAAAGAAAAAACAAAAAGATAATGGAAAAGGAGTACCTTCATTGGTTCTATTTTAGACGGTATCTCCTGTGACTGTTGTATTATTTATGATAAATGATAAAAATATGAAATATGCATAATATTGATGAACATGTTTAAATATTTAATTAGAATTATTTTATACTTTGAAATTAAGCATGCATATTATTTTTAATGACTTGTGTTGTTGTAGTATAGAAATATGATTTACTCACCGAGTTCTTTTTAACTCACTTTTATTTTCAATAACATTCACAAGTATTGTATGACTAACTTAAAATGAGTAGAAGAAAAGATAATGTATATCACAAGCGAGATTCTATGAGAGAAAGATATTTATATTATTTTTTGTTTTGAAGTTTTACTGGCTCTTTCAGTTTATTGAAGATAGTTTTAGTAAATGAATTTAATCAACCGTCCGACCGGCTGTTCCTGCCTCGTTAATTCGAGCCTCTGGGCAAAGTCATGATAGATACATCATAGTATGATTAGAACAAAGTTCATGGAAATTTGAACTGATTGTACATACGATAAACAAATGTACATGATCATACATATGATCATTTAAACACCATATTTTTTGGTTTTGACTTACCAAACTTTCATAGATAGTTTTAGCAAATGCCATTTCCATTCCAACTCCCTCACTTTCAAATCCTTCAAAGCAAACATAGTCTTAATTTTATTTTATGAGGTTATTTGAACCAACGCATTCCTGTTGTAAGGCAATTAAGAAATTTTATTTGAGTTAGAGTAGAGATAATCTTCCCAAAATACATATTTTGGGGTTTGCACTTTTAGTTGGCTCAATCAAGATGTGGAGAGTATTATGCACTTTTGCTTAGATAGTATTTTATTAGTCTGTCTAATCAAGTGAGATGATGCGAGGAGTTTGTGTTTTTTTTTTTTTTAATAGCATTTCTCTTGGAGTTGTTACTCATTTATAGCATAATCTTAGATAAATTGAAATACGTACATGGCACTAAGGTTTCTTTTGAGACGTCTTTCTTACTGCTTCTTAAAACAACTTTATAGTAGAAAAATTTTATTTTGTGTACTATAAAGCTGCTTTAAGAAATGATAAGAAAGCCGTCCCAAAAGAAGCCCAAGACAGAATAATGATTTTTGAAATTAAATAAATATTCCTAAAAAAATAAAGAATTTCCATAATTGAATTCTCAAAATTATAAAGCCATAAGACGATTTTTGAAATCTAATTTCCATATACAAAGAAAAATGCAGTATAGTAAAACTGAAAAAACTGAGGATAGATTCCATACCTACATCCCCCTGCCTCGCTGCAATGTGCAAAGCATCATAACCATTCTTTGCCTTTATGGATGCGCTTGTGGCATCATAATGCTCGATCATTTCAGCCACCAGATCAACATATCCATATTCAGCAGCAACATACAAAGCAGTCTCTCCTGGATGATTCTGCTTAGGCAACAAATCAGCCAGCTCTTCTTCTGTTTTCCCTGAAACCATCTTCTTAATAGAAGCAAGATTCCCTGCCCTCGCAGCTAAATGAAGAGGAGTGTCATCTCTCTTCCCTGTCAACTGCTTGGTCATCTTTTTCCTTCGAAAACTTTGATGCCCCACTGGTGAATCCATCTTGATCCCTTCCACCTCCCTCCCCCTCCTCACCCGATTAAACAGATATGAATCTGATATCTATGCTCTTCAATCAAAAACCAGTAATCACGAAACATTCTCTACAAGGGAAAAAAAATTATGCAAAAAAATGTTCACAAATCGTAAACTCTCAACAATTACAAGAATATGGAAAGCGTTTCTTCAAAAACATAATAAAATCACATAAAATAAAGGAGAAAAGCTATCGTCTATCGACACCAAAAAAAAAAAAACTGATAACACATTAACACTTAAGTAGGTGGTTCAATAAAAGGAGGCAAGAGAGGGGGGCTGGAGAGGGTTGTGATGGGTTCATGGCATCTATGTGAGGAAGAATATGCTAGTATATTTCATATCAAAAATAGTTGCTTGATAAATTTTTAAATTTAAAATTAGATAAGCCTGCAAACTAATACAAATTTAACAGAAGAATTAAATAATAAATGAGAAAATCAAGGAACAAAAATGAATTAAGTCTATTAGTTTCCTACCAAGAAGAATAGGAAGAAGCAATATCACAAAATAATAAAAAGCAGCTTTCCTAACAACGTTTCCCATCTTCTCATCCAAAACATAAAAAAAATAAAAGCACTCACATTTGCATTCTTTTGGGCAAAAGAACAAACATTTAACACACCACGAGCTGAGACCCAAATCATTCATGGCCTCCTTCCTCTCTTCGTATAATGATGATAAAACCCACAACAAATTACAGCAACAGCTGCACAAAAACTGGAACTTTGAAGTTTACTTAGGGAATAAGTGGAAAAGGAGGACGAAGGGGAATGTCCAGTTGCCGTTGAATAACCAAAGGGAAGATTCGTTGAGGAGAAGAAGGAGAGGTTGAGGAATCAGGAATGCATGCGGCTTACAGGCAAATAAGAGCCAGCCAAAGGAGGAAAAGAGGTTCCTTTCTATTTCTACTAATTTTAGAACGTCGACGGTGCGCATTCCCGCGTGAAGAGGGAGATACAGAAATAAAAATAAAAAATCTTATTTGTGCTGAAAATTATGAGCTCTGGTCAGTTTATTCACGGAGGGATTAAAATGATAACTGCATCTCTGCAATTAATATATATAGTTGTTTGGGCAAAAAAAATTATATATATATATATATGTTGCGTCCTGGAATATTCGCGGCGGTAGAGAAATATATAGTTTAACGTCTTAGCGTTGTACGAAGATCCAGCACACAATCAGATAAGTGAGAGGGTGTAGCGTTCATAAGAGACACCAAAGTTTTTACGGTTTGGGGAGTGTATTAATTCTAATTTTTGCAGGTTGGGTTAAATATTTAGTTTAGGAGGTAAAAAATAATTTTTTTGGAACATTTAGGTTAATTAAAATAAACTCATATATATGCCACATAAGCAAGGAACAGACATAAGACCACTTAGTTGATAGTCAAAACTCTCAGAAGGTCAAGATGAGCTGTCGGTAAAAAAATAAATTGAATAGATTAATTTGATTCCGAATAAAAAATAATGTAGTTTATTTATTTCAAATTAAGATTATATCAAGCTAGCTTATAATAAGATATGGTTCAACTAGAGATACAATTGAATAATTTCGAGGTGATATTCAAAGGAAACTGATTTAACACGCGATTGATCACTAAAGATCTTCCTTTTAGAGAAATTTTAATTTGCATGGTCAAAATTGGAGAAATATGTTCGTTGTTTCGTTTTGTTTAGAAATATATTTGAATATTTCATGAGAACTAAATTTTAAATAACCCAACAAGAATTAATTCGAAAAACATTTGAGCAATGTTCAAATAAATTACAATTAAGATTGATACTATATGTAATAACAATTCAATCCATAATTAGATATCCATCGAATCATAACATAACTCGAATCGGACACAAAAAATTTAGGTTTAGATCAAGCTGTATAATATTTGGGTTTGCTTTAGATTAGCTTGAGTGACAAATAAATCAAGTCAAATCTAGTTCAAATTAACCCAAAAATAATGATGTAATCATTTGAATCCTTTTTTAAATGAATAACTCATATTAGATTATATATTTTTATTATTTTATTAAGTTTAGGGTATCCAAATCAAATAATCATGCTTATTTTGGATCCGGTTGACACTAATCATCAGAAACTATTTTTATTTTTGTGTGGTGTCAGGTCAAGTTTTGAAATTGGTAGAGTCCAATGTTTCGTTTGGGACAACTTTTTTATTATTTTCTAAAAATGCTTTATGATACATAGCTTTTTCTATCTTAAGGCTTCCTTTGGGACGGCTTTCTTACTGCTTATTAAAGCAGTTTTTTAGTATAAAAATTAAAATATTTGTACTAGAAAGCTACTTTAATAAGCAATAAAAAAAGCCGCCTCAAACGAAGTCTAAATCCCAATAAAATAATTAATTTTCACCATTCACACAATGATTTTGAGAGAAATAAAGACCAACATGTCAGAGTTTTGCACATAAATATATTTGGCCATTCCGAATTACTTCCTTTATAAGATCATTACAGTATTATCACTTCATAGATGAGAATACTAATAAGCCATGAGCTTTTTTATAAAAAAATCAATCTAATATGTTCTTTTTTTTTTTTTAATGTGGAAAAAGCTTAGGAGAAAATATAAATGTAAATAAAATTAAGTGAATATAATAAAAAAATGTATGACTCAATAAAATACAAAAGTTATTGCGCAACACATTAATCTATGTGAATAAATAATCCTAGGAATACCATAATAAAATATAGTCTAATAAGATGAATAAAGTTCTCAATGAACGTGAATGAGCATAAGATTTACATACATGTCAATAAACATAACGTGATATTTAATCAATCAAGGTATGTTAGTTGCACTTAAGTTCCGTTCGGGACGACTTTCTTACTGCTTTAAGAAGCAATTAAAAGCCATCCAAATGAAGTAGTAGACTTCATTTGGGACGGCTTTTTTACTACTTCTTAAAACAACTTTTTTGTACAAATATTTTAATTTTTTACTAAAAACGGGTTTAAAAAGCATTAAGAAAATCGTTCCAAATGAAACATTAATTTTGAGTTTCTTGAATAAGTCTGTATAGGCAAAAAATAATGCTTATCATATTTAAATTTTTTGTACTTTCTAACATATGAAAAGGCAAGAAATATCTTATAAGAACAACACGTGGACAACAAACAAGTAGCCCAAACATGATAAATGAATATATAAAGTGAAGGAAGATCATATATAAACCAAAATGTACAAAGCAAGATTTATTATAAAATGATGTCTAACGGAGGAATATTTTGAACTCCGTTTGGACTCCGTCTAGAAAATGATGTCTAACAGAAGAATATTTTGGACTCCGTTTCACTTAATTGTACAAGAATATGCATTGTAGTTGTATTGAACTTCAATGAAGGAAACCAAAAACTAGTATCCATGTGCTTCATGCTCACTATTAATGCTTGTGTATTTCTTCCATTTCCTCCTTGATGCAAGTTTCGTTCATAGTATCAGAGCATTAAAGCCCTACGGCTTTAGCTCATCATGTCCGAACGCGAAGCTTGTAGCATTCAGTCGGCCTCGCAACCGGTCTCCTCCCTCTCGGCATCAATGGCGGAATTCACCGTACCTTCTCCCCTCAAATTTCTCATGCCCAACATCAAGCAAATAGTCACCACCCAACTCAACAATGAGAACTACGCCATTTGGAGAGTGCAAACACTGAAACTCTTTTCAGCCAACAGATTTGAAGGATACCTTACTGAGACTCAGCAACAGTCACTCGAATCTAGCACATTGAGATCGACTATCACTTTATCAGCTACCACATCAAGAACAAGGAAGTTGTTGTTCAACACATCAATTCTACGGACCAACCTGTTAATATCTTAACTAAACCGCTTCCAGTCACACGGTTCCAGCAATTATGTACCAAACTTACTATCCTTCCCAAAGATAGTTAGTTTGAGGAGGACATGTTAGTAAGCTAAGGCAACATGTGCCCACTACTTTAGCCGCCTGACAACAGTAGGCATTATTACCTCTAGAAAATGATGTCTAACGGAAGAATGTTTTGGACTCCGTTTCACTATATATGTACAGGGATATGCATTGTAGTTGTATTGAAATTCAATAAAGGAAACCAAAACTAATATCCCTGTGCTTCATGCTCAATGTTAATGCCTATGTATTTCTTCCATTTCCTCCTTGATGCAAGTTTCGTTCATGGTATAAGAGCATTAACGCCCTACGGCTTCAGCACATCATGTTCGAACGCGAAGCTTCCAACACTCAATCGGCCTTGCAACTTGTCTCCTCCCTCTCGGCATCAATGGCAGAATTCACCATACCTTCTCCCCTCAAATTTCTCAAGTCCAACATCAAGCAAATCGTCACCAACTAGCTCAACGATGAGAGCTATGCCATTTGGAGAGTGCAAATGCTGAAACTCTTTTCCGCCAACAAATTCGAAGGATATCTAACCGGGACTCAACAACAGCCACTCGAATCCAGCACATTGAGATTGAGTATCACTTTGTCAGTCACCACATCGAGAACAAGGAAGTTGTTGTTCAACACATCAATTCTACGAACCAACCCGCTGATATCTTAACTAAACCACTTCCAATCACACGGTTCCAGCAATTACGTACCAAACTTACTATCCTTCCCAAAAATAATCAGTTTGAGGGGGCTTGTTAGCATGCAAAGGCAACATGTGCCCACTACTTTAGCCGCCTGACTACAGCATGCATTATTACCTCTAGAAAATGATGTCTAACGGAAGAATATTCTGGACTCCGTTTCACTATATATGTACAGGGATATGCACTGTAGTTGTATTGGGCTTCAATGAAGGAAACCAAAACTATTATCCCTGTGCTTCATGCTCACTGTTAATGCCTGTGTATTTCTTCCATTTCCTCGTTGATGGAGGTTTCGGTCATATAGAGATATTATCTCATATAGTTAAACTAATGGATATTCATCTAATGTTGAACCAAATAGATTGAGAATATGGGGGAAGGAATTTACACGGTGCGACTCTAAACCTCAAAGCATTTATGGCTTTGATTAAAGAGCTTCACCAATGAAAAAAAAAAAAAAAAAAAGAGAGAGAGATTCATGAATAAACTAATTTATAAAATGCAAAACCAATAGCTTTTGTTATTTAAATGAATACTAAATATTGTATTATTATTTTATTATATGTGAATGAAATTTTAATTTCAAATATTGATATTAAAAAAAATCATTGATATGAAAAAACAACTGTCAAAGGGCCACATCATGGAAGACCTATCAGAAGTTAAGAAAATTATCAAAATTAGAATAAATCACAACAATGTCACATAAATACAGTATTTCACAATCATAGTATATTAAAAATAGATTAGACATTCATTAAGATAAAGACAGATTTTAAATACATCACTTATAAGGTCCTTCAATTTGATTGAAGAATAATCTATTGCAATCAAAGAGAAAAAGGCATGCATAACCTAGGGCGTAAGTAAGCCGAGCCAGTTCGTGAGCCGACTTAAACTCTTCTAGTTCATAAGCTCACGAGACAAGCTTATCAAGCTCTCGAGTTAAGCTCGAACTTGTTTAATACACGAGCTCGAGTTCGAACTTGATGAAGCTCGTCTCATAAGCTCAAGAGCCAGCTCGAATAATTAACAATATTATTTCAATAATTATATTTTATTTATTAAACTTAAATATATAAAATAATAATAATAAATATTTAATAATATAAAAATTAATTAATATTTAATGTTTAAAAATAATAATAAATGTTTAAAATATTTAATAAAAAATTAATATTTAAATATTTAAAAAATTAATAATTAAAAATATTTAAAAAATCCCTCCGAGGCTCACAAGCCAACTCGAGCTCATTTATAGTTGGACAAGCTCAAGCTCGATATTTCACAGTTGCGCTCAATTCGAACACCCCTGACTCGAGCTCGGCTCGACTCATTTGCACCCCTAACCTAACCTAACCCCTTATGTTTTAGTCATTGGATCTCTTATATAATAGTTAGCGCAACATCATACAATAAAAAAGTAACAATTAACAGAAACAATCAACACATACATGTCTAATCAAAGACAAACTTTTTAATCTTTTACAAGGAAAAAAAATCCCATTATCATTACCACATCTTTGAATCAAATAAGCTTGTATGTTTACAATCTCTAACATTCCAATTAATAATAATATTTATTCCACATCTTCCTTGAGGTGCTGAACAAAGAAGTGCCACAACATCTTTCAAAAATCATCCTTTACTGTCATACAGGATTTTCAGCAGCTAAGTTTGATGAAGGTTCGCTCAGTCACTTGACAAGAGACTGCAACTGCCAAGAAAATTGATGGAATTCACTGTGTTAGGCTGTTAGCTTGCAAAATAACTTCAACCATAATTGATGAATTTCAAGCATAGTAGCTTTGAATACAAAACATCAGATGTAGTTATAATATCTCATAATATAATAAAATGAATATTATGAATATTTATGGAGGAATCACTGGGTTATATTTAGGGCATCTCCAACCGAAAACCCCATTTTCCACTGCAAAATACAGCAAAACTTCAAAATGCTGTAATTCTGCTCCAATTGAACTCCATTTCGCGGGCTTCGTCATCTCGTAACCGTCTTTCTCCATTTTGCGGGTAAATCCCGTTGACATAAAAAAATTTAGCGGTTGAACAGTGCGACGCCAATCACCCGTGATAAAATAGCGGCAAAATTGTCGCTCGGTTGGAGCGACGGAAGAACTACAAACAATTATTTGTCGTTCCATTGGAGATGGTCTTAATCAAGGTTTTTTTTCATTGTTACAAATGAAAATAAGTAATATATATTCCTCTATGGTGATCTCAATAAAGTCTTTTATGGAGAAACCACCAGGTACTTTGCTCAGATGGAAGTTTTTCTGTTTTTGTATGTGCTCAAGGGCTTTCATTAATAAAAGCCCTTAACGCCAGGATCAACGAATTTCGCAAAGTTCTTACTTAGCTTGGCCTTCAAAGCAACACAACATATCACTCTCCACCTTTGTCAAACCCATTTGATCTAGCTATATTCTTTGCAATTTATATAGAAAATATCTTATTAATAGAGATCGATCAAAAAGGGCTTACAAAAGTAAAATATTATCTATAGTAGTGTTTTCTAGCCAAATATTTAGGTTGTCCTGAATACTATATAAAAATAAAATTTGCTTACATCAAAGGAGTTTCTTTGTAACAATGACCTTGAGGAAAGTGGTATTTTGGGCTGCATAGCTACTGACACTCCCATGGGTACTCATGATATCGCTGATAAACAGAAAATTTTACAGGATGCCTCTCATTATCGTAGATTGGCCAAAAATTTGATCTATTTTATTTCTCTAACCTCAAAATTTTTTTCCTAGAAGAACAAAGTTCCATTTATTCTCAGATATGTTAAGAAAAGGCCACCACACTAAGAATGGACAGCCTAATGTGGTAGCCCTTCGGATGTTTATTATGTTAGATCTATTGATTAAAAAAAACTATTTGACTACTGTATAATTATGTGAGATTAATCACATTAAATAGTAAGAAACAAATAATTCTGGAGAGTTCAAGCACTAAAGAAAGATATAGAGCCATGACAAACTATGTAACATAAAATGATGAGGGTTACACTCCTATGGGAATTTGGTTTTCCAATTGCACAATATAGGGTTCAATATCATAAAAATGTGTTATCTCATTGCCAATTATTCCATATTCTATGAAAGAACTAAAGATATTGAGGTTGACTGTCACTTCATCCAAGATATGATGTTGTGAAAGAAAATCATTACTCATATTTCCAGCAAATAACAACTGACAAATATATTTATCAAAGTTTTGGATCTAAATTAATTTTCCAAACTATGTAAAAAATTAGAGCTTATTAATATATATACTCTAACTTGACAAGGGGTGTAAGCTCTTATATATTATTGAGGGTCCTATAAAATAAGACACTTTTTTTTTCTCAACAACAATTATAGACCAGGCAAAAACTACATCTTAAGATGCATAGCTCTCAATGAAATATTCTTATGTATGTAATGACAGGAAAGTAGTTCATCCATTAAAACATCAAGCATGAATGAATAAAAAAGAGAGATCAATCTTGTTATGAAACAACCTACCAAATTGGGGATCAACAAGATTCGCCATGGTCATATTTATAAGTCGCCATGGTTGGCTTTCATCATCAGCTCATACAATGCATATCCACCCCGATGGCAACCAGGCATTCTCTCTGACATCTTTAGCAACTCTTCCTAGAGAAGCGTTCTCAGTAAGCAATGGAAAGAATGAAAAAATAAATCGAATGTAAATAGTAGAAAACAAACTTAAACTCAACATAACTAACCATTGAGACATCAAAAAGCTGGGTAGATTCATAACCATCTTGGGCTCTTGAATACAGCTGCTGAATTTCATCCGACTTAAGACTACAATTAACAAAGAAAAATGCAGTTGGCCTAACATTCAGGTTCCTCCTTGATATTCCAATAAAGATGGGATCACTCTGAAAGAATCATACACCTGTTAGAACTGTAAACATTGTTTATGGTGGGCATCCCACCAATTTCGACGGCACTATGAATTATTCTCTCATGCAAAATTTTTCAACTGCATGAATTAATTGTGTTTGCATTTTGCACACATTTTGCACATTGCATAGAGTTTATATTACATGTATGGCAACAATTTATGGAAGTTTGTATTGGCCAGACCAGATAAACAACAACACATCAATCCAAGTGATCAACCCAAAGGATTCGTGTGGTAGTTATCAGAAATCAGACATTCCGATACCTCTTGGGATGTTTGAACACATGTGTATCTCATCCTTAAGATTTGGGACACTCAGGAGTTGTGGGGAACAATAAATCCTGATCTCAGGATTGGTGCCAGGGAGTTTTCTCATGATTTGTTCAAGAGGGGTCAACAGCTATAAGATGGGGGTGTTTGTCTAGAATTTGTGCACAAAAAGTATGGATTGTTTTTGTTCTTCATCGGCATATCCTCCCAACGGCTAGGGTTTCATATAAGGATTGGAGATTTCTTCAATGCATTTGTGAAAAGAAGGCTTAGTGTTGAGGTAAACCTTATTCAAGACTATTTTGGAGATTCGTCTTTGTGTATCTGGTTGCACTTGCGAATTAGGAAGTACAACAAGTGCTCTTATTTTATACAAAATGATTGTAGCTTTTTCATTAAAGAATCGGTTCATCTCTTCTCTTTTTGCAGATGTGGGTGTGTTTAAACTTTAAAGTCAAACAAATATATATTTGTGTTCTCTTAAGAATTGTGTTTTCACTCTCCTTTAGGATAGCTTGTGGTGCACCATTCTCGATCCTGCTAACATTTTGCATCGTCTTTTGATGCCCTCGTTACAACAAGCTCGTATCAAAGCATAATTCTAAGGTTGAAAGTCATGAAATTCAAAATCAAGAAGTTTGAGGGGTCAAAGAATTTTGGCCTTTGGAGAACCAAAATGTGTGATTTTTTATTAAATAAGGTTTGGTTAAAAAACTCATAGCCCATAGGGCATTCGAAAATGCCCAATACGGGAAAATGAAAATGTCAAGATAGATGGAAAAACACTAATAAAAATCAAACTATGATTGGTGGATGAGGTCATAATTAAGTTATTGGAGGGTTAATCACAAAAATTTATTACTCAAATTGGAATCATTGTTCATGACAAAGTCTCTCTAACAAATTCTATCAAAACATAAACAACAACAACAACAACAAGCTTTTATCCCACTACGTGGGGTCAGCTACATGAATCTTTTTTCTCCATTGTGTCCAATTAAAATTCAAATTCTCGTTTAAATCTAATAAAGAAAGGTCATTCCTAATATTTTCTAACCAAGTCTTTTTAGGTCTACCCCTACCTTTCTTAACACAAGTCAAATCTAATACCTCTACTCTCCTAACCGGGTCATCAGAAGGCCGCCTTTTTATGTGACCAAACCATCTAAGGCGACTCTCTCTAATCTTATCTCTACTGGAACTACTCCAACCTTTTCACGAATATGCTCATTTCGTATCCTATCTCTAAGGGTAAAGCCACTCATCCACCTGAGCATCCTCATCTCTACCACACTTAACTTAGTATTATGCTTCACTTTTAATGGCCAACATTCGGCACCATAAAGCATTGCAGGCCTCACTACCATCTCATAGAATTTTCCCTTAAGTTTGAGGGGTACATTTTTATCACATAACAAGCCCGATGCATTCCTCCACTTCAACCATCCAACTTGAATTATGCTGATAATATCCCCATCTATTTCACCATCACTCTGAACAATAGATCCAAGATATCTAAAACGTGTACTCTTATTAATGACTTGATCGCCCAAAGTCACAATCCCCTCACTAGGTCTATTACTACTAAAATTACACTCCATATATTCCGTTTTAGATCTACTTAAGCGAAAACCTTTAGCTCTAAGGTTGACCTCCATAAATTCAAGTTTACCTTCAACTCCCTCTCTAGTCTTATCAACAAGAAGAATATCATCACAAAAAGCATACACCAGGTACATCCTCTTGCAAATGTCTAGAGAGAACATCCATGACTAAAGCAAAAAAGATATGGGCTTAAAGCTGATCCTTATGTAACCCAACCGAAATAGAGAAATACTTGGTCAACCACCTTGTGTTTGAACAAAAGTAATAGCTCAGCATTCATATCTTTAATGATTTGAATATAAGCATTATTGATCCTTTCTTTTCAAGAACTCTCCATAGCACTTCTCTTGGAACTTTATCATATGCTTTTCTAAATCAATAAATATCATATGTAGATCCTCTTATTTTCTCTTATATTCTCCATCAAACCTCTTAATAAATGTATGGCTTTCATAGTCGACCTACCGGATGAATCCAAATTGATTTTGAGAAACATTAGTATCACGCCGCAACCTATGCTCCATACTCGCTCCCATAGTTTTAAAGTATGACACATTAACTTAATACCTCTATAATTCGTACAATCTTGTGCATCATCTTTATTCTTAAAAATATGAATTAACACATTCATTCTCCACCCATCTGACATCTTTTTAGTCTTCAAATAGTTATTAAAAAGTTTAGTAAGCCAATAAATCCTTCATCTCCTAAGCATTTCCACACCTCTATTGGAATATCATCAGGTCCAACAGCTTTTCCACCCTTCATTTTTCTTAAACCTCTCTAACTTCAGTTTTACTAATACGCCGATAAAAACATAAATCTTTATTTTCATTTAGGGTGCTAAGATCACTATAGTCAATCTTATTTACACAATCTTCATTAAAAAGTTTAGCAAAATATCTCATTCACCTTTGTTGAATATCAGCTTCTAAGAAAAGTATTTTTTAATCTTCATCCTTAATACACTTCACTTGAACTAAATCCTTACTACTCCTATCTCTTTGTTTGGCTAACTTATACATATATCTTTCTCCCTCCTTAGTATTTAATCTATTATATAAATTCTATCAAAACATAAAATATGGAATTTCTTACGCATCCACATCAATCAACTAACAACTATAAATCTAAAAGATTGTTAAAAGATTCATAGCAATTTTCATTCAGATCAACCTCTATTATAATAATGCTAGAAATTCATAAATAAATAATATCTTTTGTAATTTTAAATTTAAAAATCTTCAATTTTAAATTTAATTCATATTTAATATAAATTTAATTTACCTATACGCTTATAAATTTAATATATATTATTTAATTTATATTATATGTTCAGATATAATTCACATCTATAAATTATATACAAAATTCACATTATAAATTTGGATTTATATATCATTCATGTTAGATCATTTATTATTAATAAATATATAAATAGTTATTTTTATAATGTATAATTTAATAAATTAAATAGATAAAAAAATTAAATATTAACAAAAAAATAAATAATATTCACATTATAAAAACTTAATTAAAAACATATAATACATGTGTTATAAACTTGATAACTTCAGCTTAATTATTAGTCCCAAATTACTTGGGAACTTTCTCATATTATTATTTATAAAACTTTTTAGGTTAGCATACATTAGGAACTCACATGGAGTACTGGGGTCATGTGATAATGGTTTGTTGGTGCTTCTTTGGAAAATATTTATTTTAGAAATTTAATGCTTATAAAAAAATAAAGTTTAATATTTTATATAAATTTATTTAAATATTTAAATGGTTCAACAATTGAATTGACCGATTTTTGAAAATCAGTACCGGTTCGCCAGTAACCCGGTTGAACTGACGATTCACTCAAATTTTGACTGGTCCAAAGCTAAAGCGGTTCTTGATTTTGAAAAAACTGGTTACCCGAACAGTTCATGATTGAACCATCTGGTTTGATCCAGTTTTTAAAGCACTACTAATTTGTGTCAAAAGATATTATTTCTGAGCATGAATGTGCAAATGAATATAGGCAGGTTTGAGATTATTGTTGAGAGGAAGCCTCATCGAAAGAGGGCTTTTCAAATACGGGCCGATCATATCCATACCCTAGCTTTCAATGGCCACCAAGCAATGGTTGGATGTAGAATATTTGGTGATTGATGTAGCACTATACTATGCATCTGACACTGATGACAACAATGTGCAACATTCATGTAGTCAGCTACCATTAACGACTAATAGTATCCCATTCGTTTAATCTTCATCTTCATTTAGGACCGAATTGGTGAGCACCATATAATACAGCAGACACTTCTATGATTTTATAAGCTTCGGGTTTGCTAAAACCACACAACCACATTTGATCGAATGATCATTGATATAGGGCATCGTTGACTAAGGTATAAGACATAGATCTTCTTTTAATCTAATTTGCAACAAGACCAAATATTACTGCAAGAAATAAGGGAATATCAAGAGAAATTATATAACATTGATTAAAACAAAATAGCAATCAGGTTACAACTATAATAAGTACAATGCAACACATGAAAACACAACCAATATAGATTCTAATAATGTTATTTATGTGACTGCAAGTTACATACGCAACAATCAATGGGTACTTGATTTGATATATTCTTATATGTATCATGATTGGTCATTATTTTTTAGTTGTTACAAACGCAATGCATAGTTGCATTATTGGTCATTGTTCACTAACTATAAAGCATGAAATGGACATGTGCATGTAAAAAATAATAGTGTAGAACCATAAATATTGACACTCATTACTTTATGACACATTATGATGCATCTAGGATTTTAACTAGGGTAAGATATATACATGATCCAAGAGTGAATCATATATCTTTGGGTACTCTTAAGTGATGTTGGGTGCAAATTTTTGGGGATGCTGAGATCTTCAAGATTTTCAATGTTTCTTAATTGTCATGGAAACTATAAGAATCAAAACATCGTATTTATTGTAGACAAGGGCCACATTATGTAAGATCCAAAATTTTTCAGGTATGTGAAAATTTAACTACAGTAAAAATATTGTAAAGTTTATTATAAGGTTAATGAAAAAATTTCGGTTAAGTTAATATTAACAGTAACTAAATAATATTTGATTTAACTGAATGATATTTAATTAAATTTTAAATCTAATATTCAACAGCAATTATAGTTCCTTTATAATTTTATTAAAATAAGCTCTATGTATTACTGTAGGGGCATTAGACAAGACTATTGGAATGGAATATTTGGCAGTGAAAGTTCCGATAATATCAATAGTCCGTTATTTGACTTTGTGGGCCCTCCTTGTCCTTATCTGCCACAAGCCATCAAAGCATCTATACAAGAGAAAGGTGAGGGCACATTATGGCACAGTACACAAAAAAACTGTAACAAAAATTCTGCACAGAAATTCTGAGTGCTGTGGGAATTCGATAGTGTAGAAGGAAATAGTGTAGCAACTATCGGGATAATGTTGCAAGTGGTGGAACTGTAGCAAAGACTAGGGATTTCAGCAGAATTCCTATAGCAGAAATTCGGCCAGAGAGGATATTTCTGTGGTCAATCAGGAAGGGAATCCTGTAGTGGATTCAACACTGTACTGAAGGGAGCAATTGGGAATAGAGTATTTCCGAAATCTCTGTTTTATAGAATTCAGTTAAAGAATTTTCTGAATTACAAAAATATGGTGTGTAAGAACAATTTTAGTGAAGGAATTTAGTGACTGTGAAAGAAAGTGGCAAAGTATGCATATGCTAAAATGATTTTTTTTTTTTTTTGTGGATGTGAAAAAAAGTCAAGCATACTGCGGCTGATTTGTGAAAGAAAGAAGTTGGTGTAGGGATTTTGGCTTTGATAGGAAACAAAGAACAGTGAAGGAAGAATAAAAGGGAAATTGTAGGGAAATAAGAGGTGAGCACTTTTGGTATATTTTTAGTTGTCTTTTATATTTCTTAAAAGTGATAAAAGTTCTAAGTGCATACAATTATAAGGTCAGGATTCTTCAGATACATGCAAAGAGAAAGTTTTGGGGTGACTTACAATCGTAGAAGAGTCCGTAGTAGGGAATTGGAGACGACGACTCGGCAAGAATGTAAGTGATGTAATTATATTACAAATATGATGACTTTCATTTATAAGCATGGAAGTTAATTAGGAATACATTAGAGTAAATGGTATTAATTTCGCTTAATGCATAGAAAGGTTATTTTTATCCAAGTTTTCAAGTATGAAGAACCACTCACATAAATTTAGCATGTGAGTTTACAATAATGCTTAACATGTTCATCTAAATATTTTCCTAATTGATGATATTTTAGAATGATGTCAATTCAATTACATATTGTATACATATATACTTTATAAACAAATGGCAACAGAATTATCCGTATGGAAGCATGTGAAAAGTATGAAATATGAAAATATAATGTATTGAATATCAATTTAAATTAAAGTTTGGCTATATATAATGTATAACTTACAAGTGTAGTTTGGGCAAAAGAGTTCTCAAATATGAGACTACATTGTAAGTGAGGCAAAAGGGACCCCAAAGAAATGAGACCTGCATAGCAGGTGGGGCAAAAGGAACCCATAAAGAGGCAAAGGGGACCTCTATGTAATTCAATGGCGATAATATCAGGTTCACCTAAGCTCCATTGATATGTTTATGAAAGAGTAGCCAAATTTTTTAATGAATAAAATTGATATTCATTATGAAGTTAAGAGAAAATAAAGGTTAATGTTAAATGAGATTTTTATGAAATTTTCTCAAGTAATTTAACTTTTATTTATGTTTTTAATGATCTAAATTTTATAATCATGCAAGTTTTTTTTTTTTTTTTTTTTATAATTATGAAGTTTTTTTTTTTTTTTTGCATAACTTATGAAGCCTCATAGTTCACCGGTATTTTTTTACTGGCTGTTGTTACAGGAAATGGCAAGAAGAAGATCATAGTAGATTAACTTGTCAAGTATTTCATATGTTATGTTATGTTATGTTAGTATTTATCTTTATTTGAAGTCTAAACTTGAGGTATGTAAACTTCTCAGTGATGTATTACTTTGGATTTTTATAACGGCTTTGTAAGTAGCTTATGTTGAAATTTAAAGTTATTAGTTGCTTTCGTTTGATGAAATGTTGGATGTTTTATAAAGATTATCAAATGTTTAAAAATATCTTATGATCCACTAATGAAATGTCTACGTTGATAATACACATTAGTTATTTATTCGCTTGAAATTTAAAGTTATTAGTTGCTTTCGTTTGATGAAATGTATGAAAACTGAAATGTTGGATGTTTTATAAAGATTATCAAATGTTCAAAAATATCGTATGATCCACTAATGAAATGTCTACATTGGTAATACACATTAGTTATTTATTCGCCTACATTGGAGCATTGCATTTTGGGGAAGTAGAGAAAAGTTATCTTTATTGATACAAGAGAAGTTTCAAAATGAGATCAAGAACGAGATGATAAAAAGGGTTCAGATAATCAGATGGATGATGTTTACCTTTCACAATCTATTCCAATGTTAGTTCAAGCCATCAAGTATTCAAGAGGTGCCACAACCTGATACAAAAATTCATGGTGAGTGCACATTTATGTTTCACAATCTAACCTTCAAGTACACAAGTCTGTTGTAGGTATTCAATTTAGGTATCATATTGTCCTAGTCCTAATGAAGAGGAAACATTAATAGAATCTAGTTTTGCCACAACATCGAGTGAACGTAAAGACTTATTATCTTCGTGGTTTAAAATTGCGCAATAAGAAGCGCGCCTAAGCACAATTTTAACCTTTTAAGCCTCAAAGCCTACGCAATGAGAGCTGCCATTGAGGCGTACGCCTCAAGTTCACTGAGGCGCGCCTCACCTCATGTTTTAGAGGCGTTTGCCTCTTAAAATTAAAAAAAAAAAAAGCTCGGTACCACTCGATACATGCTCGGTACCGCTCGATACATGCTCGGTACCGATCGAACCCCGCCAGAGGGCAGCGCTCCCTTAGACCCCCGGCTGCCCGACATATTGTTGTATTCATCATCTTCAGTAATAGTTGTTAGTGTTAGTATGCTTCTTTATGAGTGCATGCTTTGTAGAAGTTTTCTTCATGAGTGCATGCTTTGATTGGGAGACATTGTACTCTATAGAAGAGGAGGAAAGGGAGAGAGCAGATCATCATAATGCTTATTCAAATGAAGAATTTCATATTATCATATTATTGGGATATTTTGATTTCACTTCATATATTGTGCTTTTTTAAGTTTTATATTTTTTACTCATTAGTATATAAAAAATTTATCATTTTACGCAATCTTTTGATTTTGAGGCTTACGCCTCAAAACGCCTTGAGGCTTACGCCTCGCCTCACGAACGAAAAATGCCTCAATACCCGATTACGCAATTTTAAACATTGATTATCTTGATTCAATTATGTTTTGTATTTTGGGCATTGCATCGAACTTATATCACATTACATGGGTCCTATTTATGGAGGAGACGGATAATGCCATCGACGACATTAATCTGTCTGACTGACCCTAAGGATTCATTTGACTTCTATTGAAAATCAAGAAACTCAATGTACCTTGAGATGCATACACAATTGGGGAATCCTATCCTTGAGATTTGAACCACATGGGCGTTGGCCCCTAGAAGCTTCCACTTTGGAATTTGTGAAAGAGGGGTCGACCCCATAAGATGAAGGTGTTTGTATAAGTAGTGTAAAAATTTTAGATCTATCTCACTCATTGAGATACCTCTCAGTAACTATGATTTCATTAATGGATTAGAGAATTAGAGATTTTTTTATGTATGCATGAAGAAGGCTTTGTTTTGAGGAATTTGTATTAAGAGATTATTTTTTAGCTTCATTTATGTGCATTGGAGTACTTGAAATTTGAGAAATATTGTGTGCTCTTATTTGTACACCTTGAATATGCTTCTTTTTTAATGAATCGAATCCTCTCTCCTCCACTTTCCTCTACTATGAACGTAAGCTTAGTTGAAGCTAAATCACGTAAACCTTCATATCTCCTCTAGGACCGTGTTTACGCTTTCTATTTTAGGATAGATTGTAGCGCATCATTCTCAATCCTAGTGGTGCTTCAACGTTATCTTTTGGCACCCTCGATACAACAACCACTAAACGTGTAACCTTGATTTACTATTCTTTCACATTACTTATTCTAGTTCATTCTTCAAAGGTCAATATATGCAATTGACTTTAAAAATTCATTAAACCCAGTGAACTATATTACTATTTTAAAAAAAAAGATTAAAGACGTATTTAATAAATTTAGGCATTTAATCACGCAAATGTAAACAAAAATGAAAAACAAGGCATAGCAGCAAACTTGCCAATGATTCTGCAGGGACTCCAATTTCTTCAACCACTTCACGAACAATACCTTCAAACATCTCTTGAGAAACCCTGTCATTTAATGCTTCATGTTCTGTTGAGTTTTTGTTCATTTGATGGAATAAAACACCAACTTCTTCAGGCTTCAAAGTGAATGAAACCACACATTCAAATAAATAATTACCATACAAAGTTATTCTTAAATGGGAGGAAAGAAGGCCGTGAATAAACAGAAACAACAAAGAAACAAAGCCAACGTAAACATAAAAAAAAGAAAAGAAAAAAAAAATAATAAGAAATGGAAAAGCAACTATGGGTTAACAAACGCATGCTTGCTAAAGAATTACATAAGTAAGAACCAACTGATGAAATAATAATAGATAATATTCCATAATTTTTAAAAAGAAACACAAACCTTCCTCCCTCCCCGACACCCCTCCTACAGTGTGAAAATCCTTAAGAAAATAAAGTAAAACTCTTATCCATATACTTAGTTTGTTACTTCAAAATAGTTTGTTACTTCATCCAGCTCATAGCTTCACGATTCAAAGATGAATAAATGGATTTTGCAACAATAATAGAAAATTGACCGATTCAACCTAATCTAGGAAAAGATTGAGTTGAACCCAACTTATCCATATACTTAGGCAACATTCAATACACGTTTGAGCTTATTGACCAACGCAGATGCTACAAAACAATACAAATTAAGCATAATCAAATGTGAGGACAATAGAAAACACGCAACATTGCATGTGGTTGTGTTTAAAAAAATTCCACCATTTCTAAATCAATTTTCTATTGAATGCACTAACAAGTGTTAAATAGGACGCTTCACGTGGAGAAGGGATGGACGTCAAGCAAATTGATAAAAATCTCAACATAAGTCAATCGCTTCTCTCCCATTCCCAAACAGCCTATGCTACGACACCAACTAGCACCTCACTTCAACATTTTTGCCCTTTCTCATCATCATCTCCCTCACACGAGCTCTATACCCTCCATCTCTCTCACTCGTGCCATCTCTCTGCCTCTTGCTTTATTCTCCAAATCCCTCAACCAAATACCCATGCTACTCTAAACTCCCTCGTGCACAGCACTCGCTACTCGATGCTCCATCGCTTTTTTCTACCAGGCACCATCATCTCTCTATAGTCAGCGATAAGCATCTCTCCCTAGGCTCCGACAACCATCAATCCACTATCAATAAACCTCTCAGCCCCCTCTTGTTTTAAACTAGAATTCTCCAACAAATCCTACTCGGATCATCAGCAAATTCTTCCTTTCATATTTAGCTTTAAACAAGAGATCCAAGCCACTTCTCAGCCTCTCTAGTCCTCTAAAAACGGTTAGCCAACAACAAAATTTTGATCCAAATCATAAGCGCACGTCTCCAACAACAATTGAGCATCAACAAACACCTATTCTACAATCTCAATGACAACCTCTAGCCAACCAAGTTGAACCATGATTGATGTTCCTCCAACAAATTCTCCACTTAGTGACAATCTCATTGACAACCATGATAACAATTCCTACTCAAGTGGTCGAACCACAAGCCATTTATAAGTGCACAACCATAAGAAAAGAGCACAACTCTTTCACATTTAGATTTTGTATCAGAGTTGTTTATCTTGATGAGTTTTATAACTCATTAGATTATTATTCTAGTTGTTGCTATAGGTAGAGAGGACAAGATTGATCTTGAATGAGGATCAGGTTTTTAATTTAAATTTATAAGTTTGATGTAAGATGTGAAGAATATTAAGATAATGTATATGATGAAAGTTTATTTTATGTGTATAAACTTTAAAAATTTATTAGCTCTTTAAATGAATGAATAGAAAATTTTGAAATGCTTCCACTCAATAAAAGTTTAATTTTATTGGATCCCTAGGAGTTTAGGGTTGTGTTGAATAAATAGTTTAGATCATTTAGATTATTACGTTTATCACTCGCTTTAATGAAGTTGGTAGAATTCTAGAATGGGTGTTGATAGTAGATTTAATTGGCTAATTCATACCCGCCTCTATCTTGTCTTATGCTCGACCATGAGGGGGGTTAGGCATGACATTTCTAAAAGAGTTAAATTTAGGCAATTGAAAACATGTCTGGAGTACTTTCCAAAGAAAATATATAGTTAAATAGAAACAACAAAAAAGAAGCTATTTCTATGAATGATAAAGCTAAATAATAAAGGCTATATAAATAAATGATATGAGAATACTAAAATATGGAAATGAATGGAAATTCTAAAAATGAAAACAAAAATTAATTTATTAGAAGAATAAAGTGTAAAAATTATGCAAAAAAAATATATATGTTGAGACGGGAAAAGTAGGCACATAAAAGAAATGGAGAGATAAAAGTAAGATGATCACATAAAGAGAAATAAGAACTGATTTGATATGATTTGAGTTCAAATAAATCTTCCTGGAATTTCATTGGCATCAAAGAAAGTAGTTTGATTACTGTTGAGACCCATGTCATAAAAAATGCTGGGTGACCTCAATGTGACATGTTTGCCCAATGTCAAAGGCATCAGGTGCCACCATAGGTGCTCGCCTAAGTGAAGACACACTGGATGTAGAATAGATAAACCTATTTCTATTTTGAAGAAGATTTTTGAATGAGATAAAATGATAATCATAATATGGATTTGTTAGGTAAATCAAACTATTGTCCTTAGAGTTTGTCGTTGGTTCCAATTTGGCTCCAGTAATTTTGAGTGGTCCCTATTAAGTCCTTGAAATTAAAATCGTTATGATTGCATCCAAAACTCAAATAAAATAATGGAAGCCAAACTATGCCCAAATGAGAGCAGAATGTTTACTTGTCATGATGGATTTTTGGCTAGCGTAAGTTAGGTGATGAGCATTTTGCCATTTCATATGGATGGAATTTAGCTTCCTCAGTTAAAATCATCTATGTTTTGGATGTGACTGGAATATGATAGGAAGTGTAGTAGAAATTTAGCAAAAGCCTCGGTTGAAATATGATTTCAGCAATTTCAGAAAACCAACAATAAGAAAACTAGGAATAGAACACACAAAAATACTTTTTTATTGAAAATTTTATAAAAGAAAATACAAGATACAAGTGGATCTTCAATTGGAGAGGAAGATCCGGCTCTCTCAAATCTCTAGACGCCACTAGAGCCCAAAACCTAAGAGAGGTCTCAAATTTCGGCCAAATTCAAGATGCCCTAACCCTAGGAAAACTAACTATTTAATGCATACAATCCAAAAGGAAATCTCTAAACAGTCCCAACATTCAAATTTCCCTCCTAAACTTCTCTTAAAAATTTCCTAATCTACTCTTTTGAACTGGGCGATTTGATCAGCATATGTAGGAGGCGGAACTTCTCCGCCTCTGTTGTCTATAAGCCGGTCCCGTATGGACTGGATGGACTGGTCCAGTGGACCGGTCTAACAATATTCACCTCCCAAAACCCCACCTTATTCGCAAGGTGGAAAGACAACACCCTCCTCCATTCCCTCGTCATCATAAACGGTAAGAATATGAAGAGTTTGATTCTTACATCTCTGCCCTGGCATATACCTCTCTTTACATTTGAAACAGAGCCCCTTCGCCCTCTTCTCATGTAATTTCGTTTCTATGAACTTCTTGAAGTTGTCCCCAGGTATTCCTCCTGCATTCTTTTCCTTCGAAGTCCCACTAAGAGTATATGGTGTTGGCTCCGTAGATGCCAATAAGTTGGTGGTTATCTGATAGGAAATACTTGCGTTCGCAAGTAACCTAACCAAAATCGGCGAACATTCAACAGCAAAACTGATGTCCGCAGCAGAAAACAGCATAAATATGCTGTTTACAACAGAAAAACAGCAAATTCCACAAGAAATCTGAGAAAAAACTCAAAGAAAAGCTTGTATTCCACTCGTCGATGAATAAAATAGCAAAGATACAATTGATCCTCAATTCGAGAGGAGGATCGATCTCTCCCAAATCTCTAGACGCCGCTAGAGCCCAAAGAAAACCTAAATCTAAGAGATCTCAAATTTCAGCCAAATTCAAGATACTCAAACCTTAGAAAAATCAACTATTTAATGCATACAAATCAAAAGGAATTCCCTAAACAGTCCCTACAATCAATTTCCCTCCTAAAATCCATTCAAAAACCTTCCTATTCGGCCCTGTTTGATCCCGGCGGGCGTGCGGGAGGCGGAACTTCCGCCTCGTGTAGCTGGGCCGGTCCCGCGTGGACCGGTCTAACAATACTCCCCTCCCAAAGATCCACCTTGTCCGCAAGGTGGAAAGACGACACCCTCCATTCCTTCTTCATCACAAACAGTAAGAACTCGAAGGGTTCGATCCTTACACCTGTGCCCCGGCGTATACCTCTCGTCACATCTGAAACAAAGCCCTTTTGCCCTCTTCTCCTGTAATTCTGTCTCAGTGAGCTTCTTGAAGTTATCCCCACTCCCTCCTACTGACTTCTCCCTGGTGATCTCATTATTGTTGACTGATGCAGGCCCCTTTGGTGCTAAAAGAGTGGTCGTAGTCTTGTAAGAGCCTCCTGAGCTACTGCTCCTAGCTCCCTTCTCCATATTATTCTGATTTTCTACCAGCTGTGCCAACTTCATTGCCTCCTCCAAATCACTAGGCATCAGAACTTTAACTGCCGCTCGGATCTCTGCCTTCAACCCCTTCATGAAGTTCCCCTCCAATACGCTATCTGATAATCGCTCCACCCTACTAGCCAGGTGCTCGAACTGCTCACGTAGTCTGCTACTGATCCCTCCTGCACCAGAGCAAAGAATTGCTCATAGAAATCTCCCTCCCCGATCGGTTTGGAAATCGTCTCTGATTTGAACAGTTTTTGATTACCTCCAGGTTCCTGATAGCTCCCTCCTGTCACGCCACTGTATACCATGACAAGTCTTCTTTCTCTCTAGACACAATCTGCCGCCGTCAGCTTCTCATCCTCTTGATCAACCATTGACAGCAAAGTAACGCTCCACCTTGTAGATCCAGCCATGGCCGTCTTCCCCTCGAAAATGGGCATCTTCAATTTCCTCACCTTGGGATCTCCCCGGTATCCTCATGGCCCCCATTCCCTCAGAGAGGCGTTCCCCAATTGTCCTGATCGTCCCTTCGACGAATATATCTAACCCTCTTCAATACTCTCCCTTCTCCTTTCAACATCATCACCTCGACGCTGAATACCTTCAAATTCAGGCACTCTACGATTTGAAGTTCCTCCCTTTCTTCTTCAAAATCCCCCCCTCGACACTGAATTCTTTCGAATTCAGCACCTCGGCGATGAGATCCCTTTCTCCTCCATCCACAAATCAGCCCCCCTTCTGTCATATATCCCAATTATCATCTCTTCCCTCGAAAGAGGCTCTAGAGGAGGCATGTTCATTCTCTTCCTCTAGGATCTCCACCTCCGAATTTCTCCTCCCCCACAAGGGGTTCGGATTTCCCTCTCATGCCATGGCGTCGGTGGTTCTCTTACTTCCGATGTCGCGGATGATTTTCATCTCAAGTAGTTTCTTCAGCATTTCCTCCATTGCGGTGAACTTCCCCTCCAACCTTTCATTGTTGGAGGTGATTTGATTTTGTGAGGTTGAAGAATCTTTCCTCCAAATCGGCTTTTCAATTGGCTGACTTCGCATTCCAAGACGTCAACCTTCTTTTCCGCCATTTCTTCCCCAATGGATCTTCAAGAAAAATCACTTTCGGAAGCCAAAAAGCTCGCTGAAAAAATCAGGATTTCAGCCGCCTAATGTCCCAAAAACGACGCTTGATACCAATTTGATAGGAAATACTGCGTTCGAAGTAACCTAACCAAAATCGGCGAACATTCAACAGCAAACTATGCTGTCCGCAGCAGAAAACAGCATTAAATCTGCTGTTTACAGCAGAAAAACAGCAAATTCCACAAGGAAATCTGAGAGAAAACTCAAAGAAAAGCTTGTATTCCACTCGTCGATGAATAAAATAGCAAAGATAAATTGATCTCTCAATTCGAGAGGATCGCATCTCTCCCAAATCTCTAGACGCCGGCTAGAGCCCAAAGAAAAACCTAAATCTAAGAAGATCTCAATTTCAGCCAAATTCAGATACTCAACTTTAGGAAAAATCAACTATTTAATGCATACAAATCAAAAGGAATTCCCTAAACGTCCCTACAATCAATTTCCCTCCTAAAATCCATTCAAAAACCTTCCTATTCGCGCCTGTTGATCCCCGGGCGTGCGGTGCGGGAGGGGGAACTTCCGGCTCCCTCATGGTAGCGCTGCGGCTCCGGTCCCGCGGCTGGACCGGCTGGATCCGGTCCATTGAGCCGGTTCTACATATCCTTATACGGGCTCCGAGCTACTCCTCTCGTTCCTCCCTCCAGGTGCCTTGATCCTCCGCAACTAGCTAGTCCATAGCCTCTCCCAGATCACGAGCCATCATCACTCTGAAACCGCTGCATGAATCTCTGGTTTTGCCCCTTCATTAAAGTTCACCCTCCAGTACAGTTCTCTGGAAGTGCCAATCAGGTTGACTGGCAGTTACTCAAATTGCTCATGGTACTCCACCATTGTCCCCTTTTGAATCAAAAGCGGAAGAACTTCTTCATAGAAGTTTCTCTCCCATGCTGGTTGAAAAACATTCCAATAAGCAAGTCCTTAATCCCTCGAATCTGCTCAGCCGCTCGTATCCCTACAGCGAGTTTACCATCGTGGACCGGCTTGACCGCGTCATTGACCGGTCTAAACATTATCCTATACAAGTGCCTCGCCGAATAGGTTACTTTGCGCTTCTGTTCGTCCCTCAGGGCCTTTGCATCTCCGGCAAACTGAGCTAGCTCCAATAGCCTCTCCCAGATCACGAGGCCTCCATCACTCTAACCGCACGCAAATGAATCTCTGGTTTATAGCCCCCTTACATAAAAAGTCTCCGCCCTCTCAGATACTGCGTCTCTGGAAGCCAATCCAGTTGACTGGCGAGAGGGACTCGAATTGCTCATTACTCCACATTGTATCCCTTTTGAATCAAAGCGAAAGACTTCTATAGAAGTTCTCTCCATGTTGGTTTTTTTGAAAACATCTCCAAATAAGCAAGTTCCCTTAACTCCCTCGAGATTCTTTGCATCAGCGCCTCGTTTATCCCTACACGGTAGTTATCCAAGTCTAAAGACCTTCTCTCCTCCCAAGCCCGAACTTTGTCGTCTATCTCCCCACCAACCGCTTGCATCCCTGACACTTTCTCCCTCTCCCTCCCTCCCTCCCCCCGCCGTCAAACTCTAGTGACAGGTATATGAGCGTACCTCTCAACCCTGTGTAGATCCACCCATGGCATTCTCTCCCTCAAAAATAGGCATCTTTAGCTTCCTCACCCTCAGATCGCCTTCGTTCCCTCTGTTTACTTCATAATTTCCCATTCCACAAGGGAATGGTTCCCCCCAAGTGTCCCAATCTTCCCTTCTATGTTCATATCCACATCTTACATCAAATTCTCACATTCTCCTTTCAAATTCAGCACCCCTTGGATCGTAACAAACCCCTCCCCTTTCAAATACAGCCTCTCTTTGGTCATAATTATCCCTTTCCCTTTTAGATCCCACCCCTCTCCTCTCCAAATCAACACCCCTTTGTTCTTTCCCTACCTTCTCCTGCCTCTCCCATAGCCTCTACCCGACTCCTCCTTAGGAATAGGCCCTCGGGGAGGCATTTTTTATGTTCCCTCCAAAATCTCCACCTCTTGATCTTATGTTTATCTGATTGGGTTAGGATTTTTCCCACTTCCCTAGCTGTCAGTGCCTTCCCTCATCTCCGACGGCAATATTTTGGTTTGGCCCTGGAGCACTTTCTTCAACTTCTCCTCCATGATGGAAAATTTTGAATCGATCTTATCATGGATGATTGAAATATCCTTTTTTAAATCTAAAACTTGAGTTTGGAGATTTGAAATTTCAAATTTAATTTGTATGATCTCCCTTCTAATACTTCTACCTTTCTTCCCTCCATAAGTACCCGGACCTTTGTTAGGCTAGAAAATTTGGATTTCCACCACAAAAACAGCAAAATTCACGGCCTGAAATAGAAAAAACTGCTGCAGGAATTCTCAAAAAAAGCCCAAAAACAGTCTAAAACCTCTGATACCAATTTGATAGGAAGTGATTGTAGAAACTTAGGAAAAGCCTTGGCTCAAATATGATTTCAACCCTTTCAAAAAACCAACAAGAAAACTAGGAATATAACACACAAGAATACTTTTTTATTGAAAGTTTTATGAAAGAAAATACAAGATACAAGTGGATCTTCAATTGGAGAGGAACATCCGGCTCTCCCAAATCTCTAGAAGTCGTTAGAGCCCAAAACCTAAGAGAGATCTCAAATTTCAGCCAAATTCAAGATGCTCTAACCTAGGAAAACAAATATATTAATGCATAAAATCCAAAAGGAAATCTCTAAACATTCACTATATTCAAATTTCCCTCTTAAAATTCTCCTAGAACCTTCATAATCTGCTCTTTTGAACTGGGCGGTTTGATCATCATATGCAGGAGGTGGAACTTGTTCGCCTTTGTTGTCCGTAAGCCGGTCCCATATGGACCGGCTGGACTGGTCCAGTGGACCGGTCTAACAGAATAATTTGAAATTATAGGGACTTAACGAAAAATTAAAATTGTAGAGACAACAGTGGAACTAAAGCCAAGTTCCATATTAAAAACAAGTTTTCCCTAATTTTTATGTTTCTTATGTTCCAATTTCTAGGACTTGCTAAATAGAATCTTAAATATTGTAGCCAAAAGAAATGTTTAAATAACTTAAAGATTTAAAATACTTAAAATTTTATAGCATATCAAGGTTAATTTAATTTTCACTACCATCTTTGACATCATTTATGCCCTCGTTTCTATCACTAGGTTAATGACCTAGTTTTTAAGTTTGTTGCATTCCAATTTCCAGGATCTTGCTAAATAGAATCTTAAATATTGTACCCAAAAGAAATGTTTGAATAAATTAAAGATTTGAAATACTTAAAATTTTATAGCTAGTATCATCAAGGTTAATTTAATCTTCACTATCATCTTTTTCATCTTTGACATCATCATCTTTTTCATCTTTGACATCATTTATGCCTTCTTTTCTATCACTAGGTTAATGAGCTAGTTTTCAAGTTTGTTGCATTCCAATTTTCAGGATCTTGCTAAATAGAATCTTAAATATTGTACCCAAAAGAAATGTTTAAATAACTTAAAGATTTGAAATACTTAAAATTTTATAGCAAGTATCATCAAGGTTAATTTAATCTTCATTATCATCTTTTCCATCTTCGACATCATTTATGCCATCTTTTCTATCACTAGGTTAATGACCCTCCATCTCTTCGTTTTCACAAACTTATCCTCTTATTCCTCAAAATTTACTAATCCAGAACTTGATGATCTTGCAACTACAATTGATCTAAATTATTACTTAATCTACATCCTTATTTCTCCAACACATTAAGATCTTTCCGCATCACCCATGTCAGTATACATCTTCTACACTTTAAAAAGTTAGCATTCATTTTCAAGGCAACGTGTTGCCTCGCTGTGAGACACCTAAAGGCAAAGCACTCGCCTAAGCAACACCTTGCTTAATCACCTAGGTGAGTGCCTATATTTCCTTTAAGAACCATTGCTAAGATAAACATAAAGCTAAACTAGAAACAGCTATAAGCTTTAATGTTGACAAGAAACTATATTGTAAGAACAGATAGATACCTCTGAATGGCCTCCTGGGAAAACAAAGTATCCTGGAAACTCACCCACGTTGAGGCTTCTTTGCAAGACAAGTACCCTTTTATCAGCTGTTTTAACAATAGCTCCATTACCCAGGGGGCTAGCTGAGTGTTGACAACAAATGGAATCATCTGCAGATGGTTATGAAGGTAAACAGTAATTCTATGATTCATTAACCTTATAAGAATTCGCATAAACTAAGTAATAATTCATAACCTAAAGAAGCTGTAAGCCATGAAAAACTGCTTGCTTAACTTATGCATCAATTTCTATCACAAAAAATATAAATGAAGTACACATTACAGTAAAACATTTCTAGAATATTTCTTCATAAAAACTCTTGAAAATTAGAATGAGAATAGAGAAGAATAAAAATAATAGATTTTATAACTAAATTTTAATCACTTAACCAGTGTAAATAAAAAGATAAAAAGATATACATAAATATATGGAGAAACGACTATCTAGAAAAATAAATAAATATGAAAACTAATTTCTAATTCTAGAATCTGGAATTCAGTACATAATAGAAATAGAATTGATATATCATCAAAAAATTATCTTGATCGGGCATGAATCTCGGAGCAAAATCAAATTGGAAGCTTCAAAAATTAAATTCGGGACCATCTGAACTCCGATTTCAGCAAACTTATAGTCGAACTGAACATCTTAGAAATACAAACCCAACAACACCAAATTCGACTCAATTCGAGCCTAAATGAGTCCAAATCAAAGACCTGAAGCACATTTGGAAGGTTCAAACCATAAGTTGAATTACCAAACGGTTTCCAAACGTGACATGCTTATAGTCGAATTGAGCGGATCGATGAGAAGAATCAAACGAGCCCAAGATCTTTAAATTCTAATATCCTTAAGACATTCAAATGCTCACTAAATGGCTCACGATCAAGGGGATCAACATTGGTCGTCCATTCAAACCACTCTCAAATTACCCTTGATCTCCCTCCTATTTATTGGTCATGCCACCCACAGAAAACTATAAATAGACCCCTCATTCCTCATGAAAAGGCTCCGAAGTAAGGAGGGAAATAAGAGAGGAGAGGAAGAGAAATCAGATATTTCTCTTGCAACCAAGCTCCTCCTCAACCACCTCCCGGACACAACCGACATCGAACTTCTGCCCAACGCCGGACTTCTACCCGACGCCGGACTTTCGCCTGTCGTTGAACTTCTGCCATTCGCCAGACTTTCGTCGGACTTCTACCCGACGCCAGACTTCCGCTCGTCATTGGACTTATGCCCGTCATTGGACTTTCGTCAGACTTCTACCCGACAACAAACTTATGCCCATCGTTGGACTTTCGTCATACTTCTACTAGATGCCGGACTTCTGCCCGTCACCGTACTTTCGTCGGACTTCTACCCGACGCCGGACTTCCGCCGGTCGTCAGACTTCTGTCCATCGTCGAACTTCTACCCGACACCGGACTTTCGCCCATCGCCAGACTTTTGCCTGTCGTTGGACTTCTACCAGACGTCGGACTTCTGTCTGTCACCAGATTTATGCTAGACAACGGACTTCTGCCCATCACCAGACTTCCGTCGGACTTCTATCTGACGTCGAACTTCCATCCATCATTGAACTTCTACCTGACGCTGGACTTCCGCCCATCGCTGAACTTCCGACCTCCATCGCCAGCTGACTACGGTCCATCTGACCTCCTTTACCAGAAAATTTTTCTGACCACTGTCGCCTGTCGATTACAGTCCTTCCAACCTCCGTCATCAGAAAATGATCTTTCTGGCTCCTATCGCCCGTCGACTATGGTCCTTCCGACATCTGTCACCAGTTAATGGTCTTTTTTACCACTGTCGTCCGCCAACTACAGCCTTTCCTATCTCCATAGACAGATTGCGGTCCTTCCGAACTCCATCGCCAGACAACAGTCTTTTCTAACCACTGTTGACCGCCGACTACGGTCCCTCTAATTACCGTCACTAGACTATGGTCTTTCCGACCTTCGTCGCCCACCGACTATGGTTCTACCGACCAAACAAACATATCAAAAGTTATTCTTTCAAGTCCCATCATGTAATGCATTTTATATGATATACATTTATTACATCAAGCCGGCCTCCCCGAAGGAAGGGCCTCATTTGTAATCGACTGCAAATAATAGTGGATTCATTCAAATTGGGTCAGGCCCAGTGGTTTTTCCCCTTTTCAGAGGTTTCCACGAAAAATCTTGGTGTCTCTTATGAATACTACACGCTCTCTCTTACTTGATTGTGTGTTGGATCTTCATACAAAGATAAGACGTTAAACTTTATATTTATCTACTGTCGTGAATATTTCAGGACCCAACAAGAATGTTGTTGTTTGCAAGCTTATAGATTGTTGTAAATGGAAAATTATTGTCCATAACTTATTGTGGGTGAATAGATGTTGCCGGCAGATTAATGGATTGAAGCAGATGAAGACGTGTAGGCCATAAATTTAGGATTATTTGAACACTCCCATGAAGCTAGGTTGCATAAATTGATCACACCTAACTTGTTGATTAGATAATCAAAATCCATTACGTGTAAAGCTTTGGTGAGGACATCTATAGTTTAAGACTTTGCTGGAATATAACTTGGATGGACTAATTCATTTTTAATTTTTTCACTACTTAACCACATTCCTTAGTAAATATCAAGCGTTACTATTCAATATTCAACTTTATCACTACTTCTTGACATCACATATTATTTCTTATTCCTCCATATAGCCATATTTTCCCATACATAGAAGTGGATCTTCGGTCTAATACCCCAGTTCAATCAACAGCTATTAAAAATGTTGATTTCCTTATTAGATTACTTTTTATGTAACAGGGCCTTTTAGGTGTCATCCTAAAATACCTTAGAATGCTGCTCACAACCTTCATGTGCTCTTAAGTAGGATTGTTCATTTACAGGCTTACAACATTAACAAAAAACTCAATATCAAAACGGGTATGAGAAGTAGATGAGCTTTTCCACAAGATGTTGTTCCATACCTTCATTAGAGGCCTGCTGCTAATGATGATCCCCATTTAGTTTATTGGGTCAATTGAAGTTTTTGTGGGCCAACAACCAAGCATGATCAAGAATATACATCGTCTAGGAAATAAGGATATCATAATTTGACCATGCTACTTCCTAATAAAGAAAGTATTTTAGATTGTAACTTGATTGGTTAATTATGCATTAAGGGGTATTTATACATAGAGTTGTCTAAATTATATTAGGAATATATGAAAATGTAGATAATATTCATATGTGTTAAATCCTATAAGCCTATAAGCATATTAAAGTTTTGATAATTAAAAACATTATTGGTTGTAGTTATTTTTTTGGCAAATAAGTTTTGTGTAGGTTTTCTATTTATACTAATATTTTAGGTATATAGTCAATGAAGGCCGATATAAGTCTGAATATATAATTTTGATGGAAATCACAATATGAAGATGGTACAGTCAGTCTAAGCTCGAGTAGGAGACATCTATGAAGAAACTAAAGTCATCAAGGAAAAAGAAGACCGTTGAAGAATGAAGGAACTTGTACTTTTATATTTTTTAGCCATGTGTCTTTATGTATTTACCAGGTAAATATTTATGAGAAAAATCAAGCACACACACGAGAGCAAAATTAAAATAAAGAATGTTTTGAAAAGTAGCTTAAAATGATTAATAATGACAACTTGATCTATGAAAAATCATGTTGTATAATGTGGATGACATATTTGATAATTTTGAAAGATTAAGTCGAATTAATTATGAGAAAATTCAAATTTAAAATCTCAATAATAATCATATTGTATGATGAAAATCGAATCATACGATCGTTTATATTCAAATTGCATAACCAACATATGCTTTTTTTCAAAATTAGGTGAATTCAAAATTGGAATTGTTGCAAGATAGATAATTCATACTTATAAAGTGTGAGTCTTGTGTCATAGGTTTGCACAAAAATCCAACACAAAAAAATAATGAAAGAACAAAGATAACACCTAATTTTTATATGGAAAATCCAAAAAAAAAGGAAAAATCATGTCCCTGGCCAATTGAAATGATTTCATTATGTGAGTGTTAATTACAAAGCTTTGCCCGTCCCTTAGCTTGGATATGGCAAGATTACATGAGCTTGGAAATTGACAAAAAATGTGACAAAGTCTACTCGGGCGTTTAAGGCCGAGTCATAATAGGTTTGGCCATGGTGGTCAACGAGCAAGGACCAACAGCGGCGGTCGAATTGCGAAAGGTCTAATGGCTACAGTTGGGTGGGGTGGCGAAAGGTCCGACGACAGCAGTTGACCGAACAAAGATGGTCGGTCGATGAAAGCTCCAATGACTGCATTCAACCGGTGGCGATATGGTGGTGGCCAGCCAATAACAACGATTGGCTGACGAAAGGTCTGACGGCAACAATTGGGCGATAAAAGATCAGACGGCAACGATTGGGCAGCGAAAGGTCAGACGGCAACGATCGGACAACAAAGGTTCGATAGTGGTGGTGCTCGAGTGGAGCTCCAGGATTTTTCAAGCTTTTAAACTATTTTGAATCTCAGTCAAAGGGGTCTCTTTCATATAGAGAGTGAGGGATTATTTACAAATTGTTTTAGTAGCATGCCAGGTAAATGTGGAGAAAATCCAGACTTAATGAAAGATTTATTTATCACATGCTAGAAGTGATATTGCCTAAATTATTGGTGTAAGGAGTCAATTCATGCACAATTATAAAGCTAATTTTCAGCCCCTAAATGTTTACATATCATATTAGAGATTCCCTTAGACTTGTATAAATAAAACACAAATTATGAAATGAAACACAATAAACTCTATGCAATTCTTTTCAGCTAATCCAGCACTAACCACTACAGCATAATAAAAATGAGGACCATAGGACCACCACAACTCATCCAAGCAATGGTTTTGCAAAAGTCCAATAGGAAACAGCCCACTCATAATAGATAAGGGTAAAATATGTGCTTTAATAAGTTGAGAATTCTAATCTCTTTGATTGGAGCAATTAATTTTCAACTCCTAATATAAATGCGATTAATGTGAGAGATAGGAAACCAAAATATTAGTCAAATAAGAGAACAAATTATATTTTTAACCCCTAAGTTGTAGTTAGTTCTAATTGTGATTACTTATATATTTATTTTTCAGCCCCTAAATAGTGTATATATTCTACGAGAGGTCCCCTAAATTTGTATAAATTTAGCACAAATGACAAAATGAAACACCATAAATTATCTCCTATTTTTATCAACCAATCACTACAACTTGATAAAAATGAGGACTATATGGTTGCCACGTCAGAATTCATCCAAGCAATGTCTTTTCAAAAGTCAAATAGGAAACAGCCCGCTCATGATAGATAATAATGGCCATACACATTTATAATAAGTTGCAAACTCTAATCTCTTTGATTGGAGCTACTAATTTTCGGGCACTTGGTATCTCCTTATATATATATATATATATATAATATGGTATCTCCTTATATAAATGTGTCAAATGTGAAATATAAGGCACCAAAATATTAGCCACAATAAGAAAACAAATTATATATCTTCATTTATCTGAATATTTCTATGAAAATTTATAGAATTTCCAAAACCAATGTTACAGTACGGATATTGAAACTTAATAATCTGACCATTGGACTGTCTTTTGATAGATGGCAGTTGCATACATTATCGATGAAGAACTTATGTTGCAATACGAGAAGCCTGCTTCCAATCATAAATCTTGAGCCTTTAGTTATATTAGTTTAGTTCTCATTATTTATTGTCCAACTATAGCCTATAGTTATATTAGTTTAGTCATGGATCATCATCCTTATTCATCATTTTGATATTTGTACGGGAAAGAGGGTTGATTGCCATTTGGACATGTTCGATATCATCTTAATGCTTTGGAGTTAGATTGTTTTATTGCTCTTGGAGTTGGATTGTCCAACTATAGCTACAAATATAAATAATAGGTCTAACTAAGATTGTCATTGAAAAAGGTAGTGGTAGAATAAAGACAACTTTTATCGACATGTTCTCGTAGAACAAATTCATTACTCTTTCTCGCCATGATGATATCTTTCTCTTTCTTTGGTATTGTCACCATCCCCATCAAGCATCCATTCATCTTTAATTCCAAATGTCTTCTTAACTTTCTTGATGACCTTCTGCACTGAATTCTTCCTTCTTAACAATCAAGCTTTAATTCCGCTACCCCACTAAACATAAATTGGTTTCAGAACTGAAGTTCCCGAATACAAGAAGTTCTCAATGAAGAAATTTACATTAAAATGTGTTCTGAACATGAAATCATCTTTTTCAATTCGCCTTTATTTCTTCAATCAGTCAACATCTAACAGATTCACAACTGCACTACCAAAAAACTAAATTACCGAAATCAAATTCCATCCAAATTTGATTTCATGTCCCAAACTAAACCCAAATAAATGCAAAACATAATAAAAAACTCCTCTTAATCCGCTTATTTGAGAGTCCCTCTCCAATGAAATGCCATCGTTAAAGACATCATCCATCTTCCCTTTTCAATCCCCTCATCTCAAATACACCTCACAGCCCCCAGCCCCCTCATCCCACTCAACTAACTCCACGAGACATCATCGACAAATTCAAATTGAAACCACCTCCACAAATCCTCTTTGATTTTCTGTTAAATTTAAATTTAAATCCCCTTCATAAAAATATCTCAACTCCATTCAACATTTAAGTTTAAACCTGAATGCAGACTCTACTCTAACTAGCTCTTTCTCCTCCTTTTCTAAAAGAGGATCCCTCCAGGCCTCCTGTCGTGAATCTATGTTCCTATGTCTTTTGCACCCTATCTGAGCTCTCCTCAGCCATGCAGACAACCCAGTCCCCTTAATTAATAAAAGATATAATTTATCCAATCAAATCTATTTATTAAACCTCATGTTTCCCCAAACAAACTCAAAACAGCCAAACCATAAGACCAAGCAAAATAAAAATAAAAATATCAGCATCCAAATGCCAATACTTTAGTCCAATTTCCAATCTTTCAGAGATCTTTCCAAAGCTATCGGTCTTTTAAAATTAACTATGAAAAACTATTCTAAATATTGCTGGTGATTATATTGTTCTTCCATTTCATCAATGGATTAATTCATCTCTCTTTCTCATAACCATAAGGTTTTTTTCTCTTTATTTACCCCTTGCCATCCCCTCTAGAAGTATTCATTCATATTTCATCTCAATCATCTTTTACCACCACAATTCATCTTTTACACAAGATTCATCTCTTCTCAATAAATTAAGCATTTAAATCAGCTAAATTCATCACTTATGTTGCCCTGCTAAGCATTGATTGTTATTAGAATTGAACTTAATGAATAGAAGTTCTTGATGAAGAGATCAACATTGAAGAGTATTATGAACATGCATCACTTTCTTATTGTTCTCTTCATCTTTACTTTTCGATCAATCGACTTCTTCCGAACGCTTAACACATATGCTTGACCCCTCAACAGCCGAGCTGAATTGCCTAAACCAAATTCTAACCTAAACTGATTTCTTACCCTAAATAAAAATCCAAAACATAATCTAAGATCCCACTTAGACGAGGACCCCCTTAGCCATGCCATAAATGCCATCATGAAAGGTGCTAACCTGACTACCATTTGCTCCCGCCCTTTGAAGCATTCATTCATTTATTCTTCCATTCACCTTCCTATTCTTCTTCTAGACCAATTATTTCTTTTTATATGATCAAGATAACAAAATTTATCGTATTCATCACTTTTGATACCTCACTAGACATCCATTAACAGGCTGTAATCTTTGACATGCTGAAGCTCTTACTATTTGCTAAGTGTTTGATTTAGTATAATGTCAACTAAACACTAAGCAATAACAAAAATTAATTTAAATATTTGGCTTGAGTGAAGATACCTCGCCAATATGTGGCAATATGACCTAACTGTGTTTGATAAACGGAAGAGCTATGCACATTTTAACAAGGAAATATTACCTTTTGAGGGAACAAGGAAATTCTCCCAGAGAGGGCTCAAGTTTGTGCCAACAAATGTCCTGATTGATAAATAAAGTTTAGAAAAGCATTTTCATGTAGAACAACACTAGAGCATTATTTCTAATGATTTTTGTAAATGCAAAGTAGATTGACAAACACAGAAGAATGTAAACTTATCCTAATCAATAAAAAAATGTTAGCATCCAATTCACCTGACATTTCTGAGATATTTAAGAATCAGAATTAACAAGGGATAAATGATATGATACACTAGCCTTGAACTGAGAAACCTAGTATGAAAAATCAGTGAATTTTTGTAACATTCCATATTTGTTGAGGAAAAAAAAAGTCAAAATGGGCCCCTGGACTGTTTCTGAGGTGTCGTTCTGGTATAACCTATCTAATGATCCATTTACTCCTCAAATATGATCCAAAATAATCTCTTGACTCCTCAAATCAGTAAAATTAATCCAACAGAAAGATTGTTTTAGATCATATTTGAAAGAAATGGATTAAATTGGAGGCATTAAATAGCTGGGACTAAAATCGCCCAGACAAATAATCTGACCAATTTGGCCTTTTTTCCATGTTTGCTACATCGAACCCATGAATTTTCCATTATATATCTTATACTGCCTGGCCAGGACAATATGAAGCTAGAATAAAAAACATTAACATTGAATTGTAGGAACTTGGCATACCCGCATATAATGAAGGCCATTTCCACTGACGCCGTTGCATAGCAGAAAAAAAATTAAATGACGAGACTTACTCAGAATACTTGACACAAAACCAATGGATCATTAAATTACTGGAACTCTTTTCTTTTTATACACTTTCATAGTTTCATTGTTCACTGTTTAAAATTTTCAGTAGGTGGTTCCCCACCTTTCCAAAACCATCATTTATTAAAAAAGAATAATGTAATGACCGTTCATTTCGATATCAGTAAAAATGAACTTTACAAGGAAACAAGATACACAATGGAATACTCTACAAAAAGCTTTCCTCGGATGCTTTCTACACGCTAGTAGGCGAATAATAAATGCTAAAAAAAATGACTGTCCTAAGAAGGTAAAACAGTTAATGAGGATAAAGAAAGCATAAGCCAAGAACCTGTAATCCGTTAGACCCAAGTGAAGGCATACAGAGGATTTATTGTCAGCACCATCTGCATGATGAAGTGTGTGTCCCCCATACTATAAATCAGAACAAGTGAGATGTCAGAAGCATCACAGAATCTAAAAAGAAAAGGAAACCATGAGCGCATCAATATCGCACCCTAAAAGAACTGCACTTGCAGTTGAAAGTTGAAACTAAAGCAGGCTTGTAATAAACGATTGGGTCAGCTCCTCTTTTGAATGAGGATAAAATAGAAAAAGCTTCAATAAATTTCTTGCATCCTAAACCTGTAAGAAATACAATAGATGGCCCCCATCAAAACAGTATCCATCTTTTTGAACAAATGAATGTTCTGTTTTTTAAATAGGTTCAGCAGTGTTGCTTAATAATAAAAATAAGCTGATACACAAGTGTTTCGATCCTCCTAATGCTTCTAATAAAAACCTGGGTTACACCAAACAAGAATCACTATTATTTTAGCTCAAAAAAATTATTTGGATTAGCAATTCACCTCGTTACTGGACAATGTAGCTTTGAGTTATTTCAACTTGCAGTTACAGTTTCACATGATATTTATTTCATATTGTAGTGCTGTTAATTAGTTGATTAAAAACAATTACCACGAAATTATTTTGAATATACTCAATCAGGCTTCTAAGAGCATGTATACACCCAACTTCTTTATTCTTAATTCAGTCCAACTTCGTGAAAAGCTATATATCATGCGAACATGTCTTATGTATTGACATTCATTATCCACAATTGGAGAAATTTTTAATAAGACAAAAGAATTCAGAGTACGCAGAGCAAAGGCTGCATCTATAATTTGTAATTTAGTATGTATGATATTGATAATTATCAATCCATATCACTAAAAGATCAATTAAAAACAAGGTGTAATCAATTCAAACATCTCAGATCCATTATATGAGAGAATGAGAATATAGACGACAAAATATATTCAAAAGTTTAAAATGGACAACTGGCTTAGGAGCATCATACTATAAGAGAATATCATGGAGAATTAACGGACAATTTTATCAACTATATGCAATTAGATCAGCTCTATAGGGTTCAAAATATTGCGTGAAACATAAGCCATTGGTAGGCAAATCAAGGGTAGCATAAATGACAATGTCTAAAGAGATGTGTGATAGAACTAGCAAGAATAAGCTAAGAAATAATTATATCAGACAATGGTAGGAGTGGTGCTAACTGCCTATTGAATAAGATGCCGAAAATTAGAGATGTTATTTGGGCATAATAGAGAATAGTAAATGCACCAACATAACAAAATAGATCAAATTAATTTGAAATAATTAAAAAATAAAATTGGTAGACTAAAGATGACATGGCTAGAAATTCTGCAAAAAAAATTATATAAACTAGAGTTAAGAACTCATGCCAATAGTTTAAATAGAGATAACGATGACATTGACAACCAACCAGTGAAACAACATTTTGATTAAACAAATTAATAGGGCTATCAAGTCAATTTAGATTGAAGTTATATTAACAGGCAGTTGAGAGAATTTAGCTTGGAGTTATCCTAAAATGCAACTTTAACTTCTACAGTAATTTATTGACTGTTTTAGCAACTGGTTATTCAAAATTCAATACATAAATGTTTTCCACAATTCAATGTTTGATCTAAAACATAGTCTTTAGAAAAAGTGGTACCATGCCTAAATATACTACATTCCTCTTAAGGAGAAAAAAAAGCAACCACGATATCAAGGCTCCGTCAAAGAAGTTCTATGTAAACATCAATCCTCAAAGTACTACGTGTGTGCATAGGCAACAAACCATCTATATCATTGCAGGCAATGATTGAAATGATGCAATCCCATCATCAGCAACAAAATGTTAAATTGCTCTAATATTTCCATGGGTAATTTGAAAACTTTTCACCATCATGGAGAAAAAAAATTGTGTTTAAGGTCATAAAGTAAAAAGAATTAAAAAAAAAATCTCATTCTTTCAAATTTTGATTTGTATGAGAACCTTTACCCATGACTTGTTCAGAGACTAAAGGCAGGACAATATGGCTCCTTATCCATTTTAGATAATTTTTTTTCTACGAACTGTCGAGCGTTAACACAAGCATCAATATGACATTAAGATGAAGAAACTAGAGCAAAGGAATGTTGAATTATGCATACTCTGAATTTCTTTCCATTATAGAGTGATTGGTTCTTTTCTGTTTGAAGGGTCCATATCTATAAAATATGAAATCAAAAGCAGTAAGTAAAACTAAACAGCAAAGGTTCAAAGCAGCATTTAATTTATCAATATGTGACATGCTTGAAAATGTTTCACTGTCTCCACTAAGTGTCAAGAAAAAGAACAGTTGATGAACTAGTTTTCTACAAAGAATGTGTTAACTGCATGTTAACAAAACTATGCTATGTCACGAATGATAATATTAGATATGGATTGTCTTTTACTTTCTATAAAGCATAGATACTCATCTTTTGTTGAAAAAAAATGCTACAGCACAACTCTGATGAGATCACTATGGTCTATAAATTAAAGTGATGAATGAACCAATTATTTTAGTAGTTGAGCGAAAAAAAGCCATACCTCATTTATAGATTCTTCCAATTTAGTATCTGGATGAGGAATCCTGTCATATGATATGCCGAAGTCAACATATACCTTCATTCAACAAAGAAAGTCAAAGGCATTTTGAGATCATACATGAACCAAAATGTTGAAAGACTGGGAAAAGGGACCTACATGCATCTAATGAAGCAAGCATGAAATCATAAAACAGAAAACAAAAGAAAAAAAAATTGTAACAGAAAGTTTGATGGCATTCAATCCTAAAGACAATGAAAAGTAATTTGAGCAAAATCAAATCCAAGGCATCCATCAATAAGTAGATGAAACGAATCAGCAAGAAAGGATCATCATATATTAAATTCATAAATAATCCAAATAGCGTTGAATTTCTCCACTTCTTTAATTAATGTGTCAACATAAAACTTCATCCAACAAAGAAAGACAAGGCCACCTTAAGATCCTATCTGAGCCAGAAAACCTAAAAGTTGAACGGATGGGAAAAGGGACCTTCATGCATCTCGTGAAGCAAGCATAAAATAATAAAGAAGAAAACAAAAGGAAGAGAAGGAACAAAAAAGGTTGATGAAATTCAATCCTAAATACAACGAAAAGTACTTTGAAAAAAATCAAATCCAACATCAAAAAGTGGAAGAAAATAAATCAAAAAGCGGGCTCACTACGTATTATGTTGAAACATAATCCACATTGCATTGAATAGCTGCGTATCTTGAATTAATGTACAATTATAAACTATTCATCTTAAATACCTACAGCTGACTCAATTAAGTTGGAAAAGGGGACTACCATTTAAGATATTTCAAACCTGAAATAGCCGTGACGTAACTTTGACTTCTGTATAGGTAAATCTTTAGGTCCATGCAAAATAGCTATTGATTATTGAGGAACAATTGGAGATATTAGAGCAGCTTAGCGGCATAGTTAACAAATCATTTCTATAAAAGCTATATAATAGGATCATTACAAATGACTGGAGTTTAGGACTGACAATCACTATTAGTTGGATTTTGACATTCTTGTTGTGATTGGGCGTGTTTTGATTTCAGAATTCGTCTTGTGAGGTGTGCTTGTTGTAGGTTTTTCTAATGGTTGCATGAGGAGAAGTTTAATTGTTTTCTTTTTGTGCTCAAATGCATAAGAACTTTCTCTCAGTGTGCCACACTCATGTCATAGAATCATGGTCTACCTAACATGATGTGGGATATATCCATTAGAAACACAAAACACCAAGCTTTATCTTTGTACTTCCTATGACTACTAAGATTTTAGATTGGCTCTAATAAATGTATAAATTGCAAACTGCAAACATATTCATGGCACTACCCACCATATCACTAACCAATACGTCTTTCATTGCAAATCACAATCAAAGTATAGATTTTCTTTCTCCTCTGATCTTATAATTATGACCTAGCTATAGTAGAGAATAAGGTTTATATGGATATGACCAAGATTGAATGGGAGAGAATGGTGAAACAAAGAATGAGAAAAATCAAGTCAGCATAGAAGAATCAATGGATTATTATATCAAGATCTACTATGAACTTTTATGCTATGAAAATTAATAGATAAAATAAAAAGATCGCTATATTATTTTTGTTGATCAAGAAAATGCATGACCACATGCCATGATAATTATTTTTGTGATCATATAGGAAATAATTTTTGGCTAAAAGTATATTAAAGTTATTAAAGATGTATATAATTGAGCATGGAGTAACATTAGAAGTGATCGTAGAGAGTGACCAATGAATTTTCACCCTATTAGGGGTTATATCAAGGATATGCACTACTTTATATATTTTCATATCGATTATAGAAATGGTTATAAAATATATTCCAGATGAGATATTTTGGTGTAAATTATCTGAAAATAATATGCTTCTAATACTTTAAACCTGCTGTGATCTATCTAAAACTAATCAGAATATGGTAATTTAAGTAAACAAATAACTTGTGATAATTTAAACAAAGATTGAGGAGAGAATATACATTTTTAGCATATTGAATATTGAATTGATTGCGCTGGGAAATTATATAAAATCAAGATCCTATAAGTTTCATTATCACGGCTTAGTCCATATATAGGTGATGAAGGAACTTCAACATTAAAGCAATATGATCAAAATGGAGATATACACAAAAAAAACTATGTGAAAATAGAATATCATAGAGAATAGATAAATTTTACAAAACTATATTTAAACTAGCTATACTAAGGGGATTTGGGACTAGGGTGGAGAGAGAAAGCATTGACAACCAAGTTGAGTCGGACCAAAAAAAATAAATAAAGAAGAGCAAAATGTGTGGTAAAATAAGAATTGTAATATGATAAATGATTCCACCGAAGAGAGGATAGTTGTTATATCCTGGACCGAATCGGTCAAGGTATTTATTGCGACGAACAGTCCGCCCGACCTCTTCCTCCCTATAGTGAGAACCGAAGCCGCTCGCACTAATCAAACGCCCGTCCTTCATCCGTGTGCAAACGAAATGGCCTCCAGCTAGCTCCATCTCTCTCTCCAATTGCGAAAATCACGCAATTCTCCCACCTCTCGTGATTCTCCTGTCCGCGAGCCTCTCTCTCGACATTTAAGGCAAATTGAAACCTAGGGCATCATATTCCCCCCCCCCCCCCCTTTCCATAGCCACCAAACCTCCCTCTATTCTCCCTCATAGCTGCCATTTGGTTCTTTGGCAATAACAAAAAGCATATTCTTCAATTTTTTTCTCCTTCAATAGTAAGCTCTTTCATCTTCTCCACTCTTCTCCAGACTCCCCTTTTATCTTCATATCTATCAAATTATATAATCATGCATTCTCTTATAATATTTAACTATATTCTAGTAGTGGATATTTTTGTTTTAGTCTTATCATTTATATTGGTTTTTGTTTCTTATAGGATCGTCATTTGGCGTTGTTGAGCAAACCATAATCAAATTAGGATTGTGTCAATCGTAGTAAGTAACTATTATTTAGTTTGGGATAAAAGCGTGCCTTTCTTTATTAGGAAAGTAATCCGTGCTATTTGAATTTTGGTGCTTTGATAATTGCTTAAATGCTAGTCCTATTATTACAAATTATTCTATTTTATGCATATGCTCATAATGAACAAACAAGTTTGATAGATAGGTCATTATTGACGTATTGTTGCATAACCTCCCGTACATTAAATTATGTAATCCTCATTGAATGCAATAAATATCAAATTTATAAATCATATTATATTATGAAATGATAATCATCATATCAAAAATATAATGTATGTTGAAAAACGTTCTTGAAAATTTGGAAATTATAAACAAGTGTGCAATGGTATGTAAGTTGGTAGAACTCTATTAGATATTGGCTAGTCGGGTCGACAAGCCCACATAGTGATCACTCTATAAAAAATTATTGGATTTATTTGGGTTGGTATTTACCTTGCCGGTGAGGGGTACTTGACCAACCGACTATAGATATTTATAGATATGTATCTATATATATATACATAGATTTGAGTTAAATAACAGAAATGACTGATAAGTCATTTTGAGGTACAATGATATCTAGTGTAATTGTATTTATAAGCATTAAAAGAATTTGACATTTATTGTAGTTTAATATACACGCTTATAGCACTAGCATACTAAAATATATTTTAAGAAACATGACATATGTCATTGCTACTTTGATATAGTGAATATAGGTTGATACTTTCACCTTTTGGTTGTTTATACTGCATGCTCAATTTCTTTGTCGTTTATGTTTTGATAGATAGGAGTTACTTGCTGAGTATTATTTATCAAACTCACCAGTTGTTTCTTTTTATAGCAAGTCCTGCCGATATACTTAATGAGCTCCCTTCAGGAGCAAATTTATCAGCAATAGATTATTTTGGTATTTTATTATTTTCTAGTAGATTTTTACATATTTATTTTGTGGGTTTGATAGGTTTCTTTCATGTTGTTATTTCTTTCAAAGTTATGTTGCATGTAGTAGTCATATTGCTTTAATGTACAATTATTAAATCCTTATTAATGAAATAAATATTTGAGTTCATTTCCATTGCTTCCTCAGCTATATTTTATATTATTGGTTTAAGCACTCTTTCTTCTGTGAGTATAAAACATGATCTTTTACCCCTTCATCGCATCAAATATTGCCGGGGTATACCACCTTCCGGAGCCAGGGTATGACAATAGGAGTAACATATAATGAAGATATAAGTAGTGAAAAAATAGACTTAAGTGCCTTGCATGAAGATAATGAGCAAAAAGTACAAAAGTAAGCAAAGTATGTAAGTTAATACTTAAAATTTTGAAGAAGGGGGGTCCTCCAAATATTGGAGTTGTAATAATGAATAAAAGAGAGTTTAAAGCCAATCCAAAATAGTTAGAATAATGTTCTAACAATGATGGTTATAGTTCTATAAAAGATTATGATGACCCATTAGAATCGCAACAGACCGAAAGCATCCTGTGCCCAGGGATTAAATTTTTTAAATAAACAAACAAAAAATTACAGGGAAAAAAACCCTAGTTGTTTCCTCTTTTTCTCATCTTCTAGAGAGCACTCACAGAGTGTTTACAATACTGTAGGGATTCCTCAAAGTAGAATCCAAGGAAAAAACTAACTAACGATAGGAGGCTTATCCATGTTCTGTGATTCCTTCGATCAAAATCACGAAGAAGAAGGATTGGTTGCTTATGAAATGGAAGTATAAAAAAGAACTAACTCTTGATCTTGGAAGGCCGTCAGGGCATGATAGCAGAAGAGTGAAGGCGGCCCCCGGATCCATCACCATAGTGCTTTCGCTCATTCCGGCTGTTGTCATCTTCTTGCCAGAGCGTAGCGGGATTTGATACGATGAAATAAAGGACCTTCCATTACCTAATATAAGACAACAACGGGCATTATTACCTAATATAAGATAACAACGGGCATTATAAAGGGCTGTTTGGTAGATCCTAGAATTTCATTTTAGTAAGATTTTATAAATCTTTTAAATTTGGATTAAATCCTAAAAACTGTTTGATAACATTCATGATAAATCCAGTTAAATTCTCTGTGACTGTTTGGCTATGCAAGTCAGGATTTAACGCAGTTAAAAAGAAAAATAGCTGGAAATATTCGTACTTCCTCCTCTCGCGCGAATAAGAAGTTAAATCCGCCGAATGGGTAGATTTGCGAAATCCGGGATTTATCGCAAAAAGTGGTCTTTTTCCGTCAACCGCGGATTTCATTTGCCGTGAGATTTGGATTTGCATTTTAGGCCGTTTGGCTTGATTTCGTCCAAATCCGACCTAAATCCACATACCAAACAGCCCCAAAAAGAATAGTTCACGGGCACGCTTGGCCTTCTTTAATTTGTATATTTATTTATATAAAATTTTAAATTTAAATGATATTAAAAACATTATTGTATATATCCCATAATAATACTAATTAGATAATATATCCATTCTTTAATTTTTTTCATGTCTACAAATTTCTTTCGCATCAAAATGTCCATGCTTTTGAATAAATATGCATAAAGCTAATTAAGTGAAGTTAGGTGACATTTATATCATACAAAATTTATAACACATCATCTTAGAACCATAATTCAAATAATGGTCAATTCATATTAATATTTAGATTACTTACTATAAACTATAAATCTTTAAGCTTCAATTATGTTTAGATCACTATTTGAACATGATCGATCATTATTTCAAGGTGCTTCAAAATCATGATTAATCACTTTTGAACCATGCTTCAAATCATGATTTAAACAATGATCGTTTCATATTTATATAGGAGTTGATATATACCTTAAATCTTGAAACTTTGATATTTGTTCAAACATGATCCATAATCTTTGAAATTTTAAACTAAGCTTCAAACAATGATTGGTTTGTATTCATATTTTGATTACCTGCTATAAACCATGAAGGTTAGATTCTGGTTTGATCATTATTTGAACATGATCAATCATATATAAATCGTGTTTTGAACCATATTTCAAATGACATTTATATTTAGAGTTTCTATTATAAATATTGAACTTTGAAGTTTTGATCATGTTTCAAACATTATTTGACTATGACCAATCATCATTAACTCATATTTTGAACCATACTTCAAACAATAATCAATTCATTTTTTATATTTGGACTACCTACTAAAAAACTAAACCCTAAAGCTTTGATTATGTGTTAATCATCATTCAGACACGATATATCATTATTTCAAGATGCTTCTAACATGAACAAATATGTTGAATATGGATTAAATACTGCTTAAGTAGATTTAACATCATTTAAATAAGGTTCAAATATTGTTCAAATAAGGTTATGGTTGATATAAATGTGATGAGCAAGTGTAAGATAAAATAGTGTTACATGGTAGAGAGCAATCATAGGAGCTATGACACATAAATTTATAGAAAAAAGGGGGAATAAGGGGTTGTTTGGTTTGATTAAAAAGAAAGCATTGCATTTTTTTTAGTTCTATTGTAAACTTTTTGAGTTTTTTTCTCTTCTAATGGCTAATATTCTACACCATAATAAAGCATTGCAAGTCTCACCACAATTTTGTAGGATTTTTCCTTAAGTTTGGAGGGACTTTTCTATCATACAATAAGTCTGATGCATTCCTCCACTTCAATCATTCAACATGAATTCTGCTAATAATATCTCTATTCATTGCACCATCACCGAGAATAGTAAACTCTAAGAGTAAAGACATTCATCCACCTGAGAATCCTCATCTCTGCAACACTTAACTTAATATTATGCTTCTCTTTTAATGGCCAACATTCTGCACCATAAAGCATTGCAGCTCTCACTACCATCTTATGGAAGTTTCTCTTAAGTTTGAGAGGGATTTTTCTATCACACAACAAGCCCGATGCATCCCTCCACTTCAATCATCTAAGTTAAATTCTACTAATAATATATCCATCCATAACACCATTACCATGAATATTATACTCTAAGAGTAAAGCCACTCATCCACCTAAGTATTCTAATATGTGCAACAACAACATCAACATCAAGCCTTTATCCCACTATGTGGGGTCAGCTACATGAATATGTTTTACAATACCAAACCATCTAAGGCGACTCTCTCTAATCCTCATCTCTATAGCACTTAACTTAATATTATGCTTATATTTTAATTGTCAACAATCTATACCATAAATCATTGAAGGTCTCACCAACAATATTTTTAGAAATTTTCCTTAAGTTTGAGAGGAGTTTATCTATCACACAATAATCCCAATGCATTCCTCCATTTCAACCATCCAACACGAATTCTACTAATAATATCTCCATCTATTACATCATCACAATGAATAATATACTCTAAAATTTTATGCAAGAAAATGGATACCTTCTCAATGAATAAGCTTTGATCGGAAGGAGCCAGGCAAGTTGGTTGTCGAAGGAGGAACTTCATGGAAGGAACATCGAAGGAAGTGTAGAATGGTGAAGAAGAATGAACTTTAGATGTGACACAAAGGAACATCGTCGAATGTGATAAGAGGGGACACGACAGCTGTGAAGACAATGAATGACAAGGAAGTGAAACTTCAGAGAAAGGAACATCATCGATGGAGACAATTCCAAGCAAACTTTGTTGAAGGACCTCGTAGGCATGGTCAAAATAAAATGTCGAGCAAATGAAAGAAATAGCTAGGTAACCAGTTTAGATAGGGTTTTTTACGTTGGATTTGCGGCAAATTTGTGACGAATTTGCAACAAATTTGCGGTAGAAAACTCACCGCAAATACGCCACAAAAAATATGACAGACTATTCCGTCCCAAAACCATCACAATTTCAGAGAAAATAAATGTGACGCAAGTTGATGACTTTCCTGTAGTGTTTTGTGTCTATAGTAATTTTGGATTCAACATGTAACACTCCATCATTATGGTGCTACGCAATAAAATTTATTTATATACATATTTTTCTCTCATTTCTCTCCACTCACTCACCCCTCATTGCCACCAACATTGTGACTTGTCGTAGAAGGAAGAAAGGGAGAGAGATAGAGAGAGAGAGAGAGAGAGAGAGAGAGAGAGAGAGAGAGGAAAGAGAAATGTTACATTTTAGTTGCCGATCCAATTTGTGGCTTTTACGAAAATCGCTCACATCATGGTAGGTGACCACTATTCTATCTCCGTTTTCAAATATTTTGATTTCGATTGTTCTATTTCTTCTAAATTGAATTTGTTACATTTTTTCTCAGATTTAGTAAACTTTGACCATATAACTTTTATATATTATAGTACTAATTATATTGATCATTTTGGCTGATTTATTATGTGATTTCACTAGGCAAAATGAAAGTTATTATATTTTATGTGATTCGCAAAAAATAAAGATTTTTTTATTTTAATATAAGCATATTGTCACTACAGGAAAACCCGCTATTACCGGCGGATTATATCCGCCAGTAACATGTGAAATCCGACGGAATTCTGAGTTTCCGGCGCACTTTCCGGCGGCATTTCGTCCGCCGGTTTGGTTCGCGTCGTAAAAGGACTACCGACGTATGTGATTTCACTAGGCAAAATGAAAGTTATTATATTTTATGTGATTTACAAAGAATAAAGATAATTCTATTTTAATATAAGCATATTGTTAATCAAGCATTATGAATGAATATGAGCATGTGATCATTTTCATTTATTTTCAAAAGTTTGGATTGTTACTATGTGTTTAATATCTTAGCTTTTTATGTAGACTAATCATGCATACAAATAAAAGAGGGTTACAATATACACTAAACTTTTTATATAAAAAAACAAGAAAGCAAAAAAATAAGTGGATTGTCGTGGTTGAAATGGTTACACCAGTAATTGCCTTCAATTTTAAATTATAAATTACTTGATGATATTAACATGTGCAAAATATACTTAGTGAAAATTATCAAACATTTTTACCTATATGAGGTTATTTACTTGAGCATTACTCGATGATATTAACCTACTTGGAATAGGTCATTAGAAGACTTGTTTATAGTTGTTTGTTAGTGTTACTCATGTAACGACCCATAATCTAAATTAGAAGGCGCATTTTTTATCTTTTAAGCATCAACTAGAGCTCACATAATTCAATATAAGCAAAAAATATATAATTACATTATTTTTTATTAATATTTACATATCTGACAAGTTTCCAAAATAATATATACAATATCCAACAATATACTACAAAATAACATACAAAACTAAATAGCAAAAAACAAAAATCTAAACTATCAATCATTGACTAGCCTCATTTTGTAGACTTCTTATCCTAACATAAAATCATAATTATATAATGAACATATAGCCCAGTAAGTAACCAAAGGCTATATATCACTATATTTAATGTATATATGGTAAAAAAATTAATATGTATGCACCAATTCTAGTTAATACCAATCAATAGGCTATTAGTATGAATAATAAGCAATCTATGGAATTAATATCAATCAATGATAAAAACTAATATGACCAATAAAATTAGAGTACTTCAATAAGTAAAAGGAGTATATCAATTTATAAAAATATGATAAAAAAAATTATCAATCAATAACATGTGTTATAAAATAAGCTAGCCTCAATTATCTATCAATTATAATATTCATATCAATGGTTCTATCTTATGCTTCCATCAATCATTATGATATGCATAATTGTCTATTAATGTTATATTAATATATTGTATCAATATGTCTATCAATATACTATATCAATATGTCTATAAATATCTTTATGTCATATTATATATATCTTAATATTGGTTCTTTCGATTCAACATCAGTTCTATCTATCAATATCTTCAACCAAATCATATGATGTCATGCAAATGCAAACATTAATATAATTACAAAAAATAAGGGAGAAAATTCATCTTTAATATGGTGTTTTAAACATCTTTTAACCCCAATTGTTGACTTTTTATCATCAATCTTTAATATAACCTCAATAAAACAAAAATCTAAACTATCACTCATTGACTAGCCTCACCTTGTAGACTTCTTATCCAAACATAAAATCATAATTATATAATGAACATATAGCCCAACAAGTAACAAAAGACTATCATTATATTTAATGTAATGTAAAATAATTAATATGTATGCACCGTTCTAGTTAATATCAATTAATAGGCTATCAGTATGAATAATAAGCAATATATAAAATTAATATCAAGCAATGATAAAAACTAATATGAAAAATAAAACCAAAATACTTCAATAAGTAAAAGGAGTATATCAATTTATAGAAAATTGATAAAAAAAACTATATATCAATAACATGCATTATACAATAAGCTAGCCTCAATTATCTATCAATTATAATATTCATGTCACTCGTTCTATCTTATGCTTCTATAGATCATTATGATACGCATAGCTCTCTATTAATGTTATATTAATATATTGTAACAATATATCTATCAGTATAATATATCAATATGTTTATCAATATCATTATGTCATATTATATATATCTTAATATTGGTTCTTTCGGTTCAACATCAGTTTTATCTATCAATATCTTCAATCAAATCATATGATGTCATACAAATGCAAACATTAATATAATTATAAATAATAAGGGAGAAAATCAGCTTTAATATGGTGTTTTAAACATCTTTTAACCCCAAATGTTGACTTTTTATCACCAATCTTTAATTTAACTCCAATTATCGACTAGTCGGCCATCAAATTTTTATATTATCATCATTATTCATGAATCTTAATTCAACTCACAAGTTTCTTTCAATAAATCATTAAAAATCATGACTCTCTACCCATCGATGTAATTTGATCAATCAATTATAGGCTAACATTTAATATTACACCTAAACTTCTTTATTTAAAAGAAAGCATATTAGCTCACCCTCGTGTATAGGGTATCACCGTTTTGAGTGTTAACTCATATTAATTATAACGTTGAAAGTTAGCCTTCCTTACTTACATGTAAATACCACATCTTTTTATATTAGTCTTATCATTTTCCTCTGTACAAGTAAATATCATGTAAGAAGTGCACTAATATATAAAATGTAGGAAAATATGTACCTTATGCATTAACTTTAAAAAATCATAATTATCAGTTTACATGGTAAAAATTAATAATATTATAGCCAAAATGTTCATCACAATTATACTATCATATACTAAAAGTTATGAGATAAAAGTAAAATAAATTAAGAGATAATACATTTTTTGATAGATTCAAGAGAAATAGAAGCCATATAAAAAACAAGAAAAAATAAGATTATAAGAGTAAGAGGATAATCACTTACTATAAGTAGAACAACTTTTGTAACATGAATGAGTAGACAGAAAATGCCCGAAGAACTTCCTCTCTTTTCTCTCTCCTCTTTCTCTCCCCCTTCCCTTCTTCTTCTCATTTATTTTCTTTCCTAACATGCTAAATATGGGATGGGGTGGTAAGAATATTAATTAAAAATAGTAAACAAAATATTTTTTAGTGCTTGGAGCTGCGATGCCCAAGATTCACCGCCGTTGTGTTGAATGATGCTCCCAGAGTTACTGTAGAACATAGAGCTCATTATTGCAGTGGTGCTTTCCCAAAGCTTCTTAGCACCATTATGCTCACAAGCACAGTGCTGCAGTGCTTCAAGCAGAATTTTCATACTTTCAAAGTAATTATCATTTTATAAAATTCAGGGTTATTATAACTTGGTGATGTTAATCTATATAGAAACAAAGAGAGAGAGAGAGAGAGAGAGAGAGAGAGAGAGAGAGAGAGTATTTAATATCTTAGCTATTCATTTAAAACAAATTTCAAGATGAAAATAGAAAGAGCCTTGCAGCTTGTGATTATCTTCAATATATCATGTATTACATGTTCAACCATTCATCTTTGATGATAAGAGATTAAAGGCCAATAAGTCTAACATAAATCTTTGTCTTAATTTCAATAGTTCTAGTTTGTTGTAGATAGTGTGCAACTACCTTATAGAAGATGTCATGCATCGATGGTATTGATGATGGTAGACAATGAACTTAACAAGTGTCAGAGTAGTCAGACAATAATGATAAGAAGATTATAATGGGGTGATAGTGGTTTAGGTGAGGTCGAAAGGCCGTAGCTAAGTGATAATGGTCAGATGGACATAGCGGAGCTATGGTGGTCGGAGGATTGTAGTTGGATAAAGTTGGTCACAAAATTATAATTGGATGACGATGAATGAGTGTAATTGGGCAACAATTGTCTAAGAACCATACTTAAAAGATGGTTGTTGGAAAATCATAATCGAACCCTGATGTTTGAAGTATTATATTCTGCCAACAGCAGATGGAGGATCATAGTTGGGAGATGGTGTTTAGAGGATTGTAGTTTGGTAATGTTGGTTAGAGGATCATAGTCAGTGAAAGTGGATAGATAATTATATTTGAGCATTAGTGGTTGGAAAACCGTATTCAGATGATGATGGTTGAGAGATCATAGTTGGACAATTATGATCAGATGATTATAATAGTTGGACAATGATTTGAGGATTATAGTTGGACATTGGTGGTTGAGAGGTTATATTAGGTAATGAAGGTTGGATGATGATAGTTAGGTGACTGTGGTCTAAGGATGTTAATGAAATAAATGTGGTTGAGAGATTGCAGTCGAACATTAGTGGTCAAAAGATCATAATTGAGTGAAAATGGTCATATGGTTGTTGTCGGTCAATGGCAGTTGAATGATCTTAATTAGGTATTATTAATCAGAAGAGGGTAGTTGGGAGATCATAGTCTATTGATGGCGGAATAGTAGTCTCACGATAGTAGTTGAAGGAATACAGTCAAGGGATCACGATGGTCGTAGTTGGACAATGTAGTTGAAGGACTATAATCGAGTGACAATATTCAAAAGCCCGTAGTCGATCCCGTTATTGGTCTTCTCCTAATTGGATTTTGGTTGGGCTTCCCCTCCATATATGTTCTTCCCTGTGACATCCTATCCTTTTCCCGCGTGTGCATAAGACATGATAAGGGCGTCAATTTTTGACATGACCCGAACTTGACCAGGAAAAATCCGGGTTAGGGTCAAACCGGACCTGAAACGGGTCGGGTTCGGGTTCAACAAATCAACCTGTTTTAAAAATTGGGTCAGGTTCGGCTTGACCCAACAACCTTAAAATGACCCGAAATTGACACGAAAACTCCTATTTGACTTGGAAAACCCGAGATTGACCCGAAAATCAAAGATTGACCTGAATTTTGACCATAAAACTAGCAATTTTAGGTCAACTTCGGGTTATTCGTGTCGGTTCGGGTTGACCCGGGCCCAAATCGGGTCGGGTTCGGGTCCGGTAACCCGGCCCGTTTTTAAAAACAGGTTGGGTTAGGGTTGACCTAAACAGTGCCGAATCAGTTCCGGGTTCGACCCGAACCCGATCCGTTGACCCGAATTGACACCCCTAAGACAGGATCAAGGGAGTGGCATTATGTATAAATGATATAATTTTAAGTGTTATATAGATAAATTATCTTAAAAGTTAAAATAGTTTTAATTTAGACATGCAAATAAATAGAAGAATTTAGATATGAGATGTTAAATGAAGATGAGCGATATGCATGTAAACCCTCAAAAAATAACATGGGAGCAATGGATCCTGGACCCTCCGAGTTGGCGGCTTTTACTCCCTGCTTGCTAGAACAACGTCACTTCTCTCGATCAAAACTACATCTTCACCCATCTTCTTCCCTTGTCCGTCTCTCTCTCACTGAACAACGAGAGATTATTCTCTGCTCTCCCTTTACGTCATGAAGCAAATCCACAAGCAGTCAAGCGCCAACCAGCACCAGATCCCAACCCACAGCCCCACCTACCCCGTAAAAAACGCAAAGCAGCACAGCACTCGCTCCTCCCTTCCCCGTTCCGCAGCCTCCTATCTTCTCCGCGAGCAGCGTCTCCTCTTCGTCCTCGTTGGGGCCGTCATCGCCTCCTCCTTTTTCCTCCTCCACCCCTACTACCATCCTCCCACCCCTGCCGCAACCCTTCCTTTCTTTCGCCGCTCCGCTGTTGCCGGGGATTCGACAGCGATTTCCACCTCCACCGTCATCGGTCGAACCAATCCTGGCGGAGGGAGGAGGGTTCCAGTTGGCCTCAGGAAACCGCCGAAGCGGATTGTGGTCACAGGCGGGGCGGGATTTGTTGGGAGTCACCTCGTGGATAAATTAATTGCGAGGGGGGATAGCGTGATTGTTATCGATAATTTCTTTACTGGAAGGAAGGAGAATCTGGTGCATCTGTTTGGGAATCCGAGGTTTGAGCTGATACGACACGATGTTATAGAGCCGATATTGCTGGAGGTGGATCAGATCTATCACCTGGCGTGTCCGGCTTCGCCGGTGCACTACAAGTACAATCCTATTAAGACTATTATATCCTTTTTATATATATATATATATATCGTATCAGACGTTTCTGTTCAGTATTGATATTTTGCGGAATTTGTCAGTGATTGTGGTATTCAGGTTGGGAGATGGGTGACGTCTTTTTTGGTTTGAATCCTGGGGATTTTAGTAGAGCTAGACTTCAGCTTTGTAATCAATCAGATTCTCTTGGAAGATAATTTGAATATTTCTTTCTTGGATTGGAAAGCTAAACCTTAGACGCCTTAAAATTACGTTCTTTGATCTCTAGCATTCTTTGTTTCAGGCTCCACTCTCTAAGTTGATTCAATATATTATATCGTTTTTCTGATATTTCGCTTTGTTCATAAGCATGAAGTAAGGCAATTTAACTTTGACAATTTAATTGAACTCTGTTCATTGAAGATGTGCCCTTGTTTTTTAGGTATCTTCTTTGTCATAGATGATAGTTTGTTTGTTGAAATATGGTTTGCATTCTTAACTATGTTTACAAGACAAATGTCATGGGAACACTGAACATGCTTGGCTTAGCAAAGAGGATTGGAGCTAGGTTCCTCTTAACGAGTACTAGCGAGGTTTATGGAGATCCACTTGAGCACCCTCAGAAGGAGACTTATTGGGGACATGTCAACCCTATTGGTAAGCTACATAACATTTCTTCATCTTAAGTAAACTGTAAAAGATAATTCAGTTCCATGTTGTCCTTTAAATTTTTTTTTTGGTAGGAAAAGCATAATTAAAGTGAATATTTCCTTATCCATGATTATAGTTGCCTTACCTAATTAATATGTTAAATTCGAGTCTTGCTTAGGTGTTAGAAGTTGCTATGATGAAGGGAAAAGAACAGCTGAAACTTTAACCATGGATTACCATCGAGGTGCAGAAGTTGAGGTGATTTCCATTTTATATTATGCATGTGTTACTATAAAGTATAGATGTTTTAACTTATGTAGTGTTCTGTTTCATCTCCTAACCAAAAAGTGGATCTTCAAAATATGCAAAGTTTTGTTTGATGACATCTCAGTTGAAGTTCTGCATTACTACATGTCTTCATTTTGCATTATATTTTTCTTCTTTCTTACGTAAATAAATATTAACTTGTTTTACTGTTTTGAGTTGTTCTTTCTTCTTGCTCCAAAATTACTAATATAAACTCTAACATAGGTCTGTAGTCCATAAACAAAGTCTTTCATTCTTCCTTCATTAAAAGTCCATGAATCTATTCAAACGAGGGAAGCTTATCTAACAAAGTATTAGATGCTAAATGAAAGCTATTATTCAAACGCCTCATTAAATTTAGATGTTCCACTTATTTTGGTGGGTTGGTGTTGAGAGTTGAGCCTCTTAATAAACTTGTATGGGAAATGAAATTATTAGTTGTATTTGTGATAATCCTAAATGAAAAATGCATTGCTATATTTCTATTACGTCCATGCAAGACTTCTCGCTTTGCCACCGCACGATTTGTTGAGCATGCACTTCACATAGGCAATGGCTTCATGTGCATTTGATTTTTTTCTCAGCATTGGTATCATCCTCTCAAATGACTGCTAAAGTATTTTGATCTGCCATAATAATAATGGACCCATTAAGAGATTATATATATATATTACATACAAAAAATTGTGAGTAGATATTAAAAATTGTGCAAAAAACTCAAAAAAAGTTTGTCACAAGCTTTTAATTTTTAACAATTATTCATTGCATTTGATGAAAATAGAAATCACAAGACAAATTAAATCACACTATTTCGATGGCCTTCTAATAGAAATAATAATTATAAATTGACGATTAAAAAAGCTACGAAAGCACTCTGAAATTCATGCACTTGGTGATAAATAATACTTTGTATCAAAATTCAATTAGACTTGATCGCTCTTTTAAACTATTAACAAAATATGGAAGAAATCAAAAGAAAAAAGATTTATTAAAACCGAAGCCTCAAAAATAGATGCTCTCAATTGTAAAATTTTCATCATCATATTTTTTAACTTTTTATATTGAAAATCAGAGAAAAAATTTAAATGCTCTAATTGCTGATCCCAAACCCAAATGAAAATAGTTAAGATCTTTTTAAAACCATCAATATGTGTCTCCACTAAAAAATCTCTTGGCTTCTGTCACTCCAAATAAGTTAATTAACTCTACACAATCATGATTATTTCCCATAGCAAATGAAAGTTGAAAACTTGATTGAATACTTGAACTTGAAACCTAAGCTTGCAAGTTATAAATAATGAATGTGAACATATACGTGTAAGTAAATAAATGATCAAGAAAATAAACAATATATTTACATAGTTGGACCTACTGTAAAGCTTACGTCCATATTTGGCCTGGACTAAGATTCGAACTAATTGGAGCTTATCTCGCAAGCTTCCTTCTTAACAATGGAGAATGTCAGCACTGACATTCTTTCCTTCTTGGCAAGCGCAACCCAACATACTCCCCTTCATTGGGCGAGTACAACCCCTTTCTTTTACAGGAAAATATTCCATTCAAAATTTTAAAAAATGATGGATATGAATTGAACACATTTGTATTCTATTATCTTAAACACAATCTCCAAAAAAATTGATTATAAATAGACAATGAAAGTTATGACAACTAAATGTAAAATAAATAACGCACACAATACACATAAGAATTAAGAGAGATTTTTCCAAAATAATTTATCCTCAATGAATATTATAAGTTAATGAGCTGATCTCAACTTTCTCTCCTCTTACGGTCATAAAAAAATATTTTTACATGAAAGCTTGACAAAGAGGAAGAAAAAAGAGATTTAAGGTTTGGAGAAGTTTTTTCATTTAGAAATTAGATTTTTCCCATGGAAATTCTTGGTTATTTATAGAAAATTAGAAATGCTTGGGAATCATTTTGGGACAATTTCTAGCTATTGGAAAAGTTTAAAAAATATTTTATTTTTTGCATTTCTGGAAACTCACCAAAATTTAAAAAAGCTATTATGATCAAATTTCGCTAACGGGTCCATTTACCAATAACATGATCCATTGTTACTATAAATATCTTCAAGGCAATAATCATGGCATGTAGAGGCAAGCACTGTATCACGATAAGCAAGTTCATGTCTGTGGGAGGAAAATAGAGTAAACAATGTGTGGGTGCTTAGATGTGCGCGCATAGGCTAACTGGTATGTCTGTGCGTGCAATTATGGATTGGCAAAGGGAAATGGATAATGTGTGCAATGAAGTGATTATTCTAAATAACTGATAATCCGATATGAATAGTAAATCCTAAAATAACCATAAGAAAAGTATTTTTGCTCATTGCTGAAAATGATTTTGGAAATGAACAAAAATGCGATTTTGGAAACTATAATCAAAATCATTTGACAAATATATGATTTCAGGTCTAAACGACGTTCCAGATACGATGGTGATATTTTGAGATGTAATTTCAAGTATTTAAAATGATTATGTAATTATCAAATATTTAAGCTTATAATTAGTTTGTAAGATATGTGATATGGATTTTGATGAAAAAAATTTGCTTGAAATTTGTGCCATCAAAGTTTAAATATATTTTGGGTTATGCAAATGATTTTTGTTATATTTAGATGTTTTAAAAATTATTTTGATTATTGTGAGCTAAGAGCTAAAATGTGAATTTTTTTTTTTATGATCTCTATGATCTTAAAAGACTTTTTAAATCAATGTTTAGGTTTGTGTTCATCATCCACAATGCTTTGGACAAAAAATCTTTAGTACTTGATGTGGAGCCTTCTTTATTGAGCTTGTTGTTCACACTTTTAAGTCCTCCTACAAGTATCAAACACTCCAAGTGTCCATAGGGAGTTTTCATCATCATCTAGATCATCTCCATGGTTGCTGTAGATTCATTTATCTATAGATGGCACTTAATAGACTACATCATATAAATTTGGTATCCTCAAATCAATTAGTGAGATCCGCATATTGTATGGCTTCTATCTCTCTAATTTCACTATAATCAATTTATTGATGCAGATTCCATCAATTGTATACTTATTCCATATTTTATTATGTGATAGACAAATTAGTTCACTTTGATAGCAACAAAGTTTAACGTACTTGTTTGAAACATAAAATTTTTGTGTACCACTGCTGTGTTGTTGTTGATGAATCCATGGATTTATAATGTGTTTATATTATTTGTTACCTTTGATATATAGAAGACTTTTGATAAAATCTTTAATGCATTGCTATTTGAATATAATATTAGAAAGTAGCTCAGCTTTCTTAATAATCTAGTATACGGCTTCATATAAAGAAAGTGAATGGAGCCTCCCATGTATTTCGACACTTCTAATATTTTCATTTATTCAACAATTTACGACACTTCATAGGTTCAAGTGTTCATTAACTACATCTATATGAGGTTTGTATTCATTACTGATGCAGTGCTTTTTTATGAGGACTTGGGTACAATTTGAGCTGGAATGCATAAAATAGTAGAAATAGAGATGTAAATGATGCAATGACTGAAAAGTAAGGTGAGCAACAGGTGAAGTCTTGATTTGGCTAGGACTTGAATTCTTGGCTGAAGATTTCACTAAACATGGACCTATTTGAAACAAACCTTATACCTATGAGATCCAAATGCATTTAAAGCATCAAATAGCAGAATCACAGCTATAAGCTTCAGCTCATTATTTATCTGTATAGTCACAATGGTTATTTCTTTAGGGAGAATGGACACGGTCATAAATATGCTATCCATTGCTGAATAAGATATTCAATACTTCAACTGTGGACGACTTTGGTGGAAAGTTTGTCAGTGTTTTGGTACCAGACAGCGTCTAACAATACCTTTTGCATGAAGGTTATAGTTTAGAGCGGGCGATTTTAAGAAAGCTTGTATCACAACTTGATTCAGCTGTTAGAATGTAGTTTAACTTATGAAATAAATATAAATCAATTGGTTTATATTTTATGCTATCAATAATGAACAGGTTACATATATATATATATATATATATATATGGTTTCTTTTGTAGTATTGGTTTGAATTTTTTATTTCTTTCCCTTTTAGATATAGAGTAAGGAATTGATGAATTGGAAGCATATCCTATAATCATAAACTCTCTTGCATAGTCGAAGTTTGTTTAGGTGGAATTTTGTTTTTTATTTGATGCTCATCTTCTATCCATGCTGATTTTTCTGACCTATAATTCTGCAAAGCTCTAAAATGGGGGGCTTCACATAGTTTTTTTAATATGATGAGAATTTCTCGATTTAATTTGTATTTTTTATGTTATTTATAGTTGCAAGTATTTGATAAATATTATTCATATTCAGGTTCGTATTGCTCGCATTTTCAATACTTATGGGCCTCGAATGTGTATAGATGATGGGCGTGTTGTTAGCAACTTTGTTGCACAGGTGCTTTCCCTCTTTTGAGTGTCATCTTTGTCCTCTGAAATTTACAAATTCTATTAGTGTTTAGAAAATAAGAATGTGCTTTTCTTAACATGAATAATGCACAGGCCTTACGGCGACAACCAATGACTGTTTATGGGGATGGAAAGCAAACTCGAAGTTTCCAATTTGTTTCTGACTTGGTAATGAATATCTGTTATACGTTTATCATCTTGAGAGTTGAATTTGTACTTTTTTTTGTGTATCCATTGTTCAACTATTGCATAAATTGCTCATTGGTTCTTTGATAGCCTTCTGTAAATCTTTTTGTTTTAAGCCTATTTAATTTCCTGAGTTAGGCCATGAATTACTTAAGCTATTCAGTCACAATCCAGTGGATTATGTGCATAATTTTATGACAAAAAGCTGTGATCTCTGATCACTTTCTCCCCTTATTAGCTATTAACTTGGAAATTCTATAGTATAACGATAGTATTTTCAAGCTTAAGTATGTAGCTAAGAATAGTTTGATCCTAGTAGTGGATGCACATGTAATAAATGACTTGTTGTAATTTTGATCTTGTTTTTGATAGTGTCAAAATCTCAGTCATCCCTTGGCACTTGATCTCATATTTAGGATGGGAATCCGTGGGAGGCTCACCTGGATCACGCCAATCTCCTTCTATATTTGGGTGGTTGATTTAGGAAGGATTATATTGAGGCAATTATGCATGATTATGTAGTTATTGTTTCTTTATTAAGACATATTGTATAGATTTATAAATAAGGATAATTTTGTATAATAATTAGAAGGTATTTTTTTTCCTTCTCAAATTCTATGAATTCTAACATGGTATCAAAGCCAACGGCCTTCATTGACGTTGTAGAACGATCGTAGATCATCAGAGGAGAAAAAGAAGAAGAAATCGAAGCCTTGCCAAAGCTGCGGAAGGAGCCCCTTCGGACGAAACTCTGTAGACTAACGTCAGACGAAGCACTGCTAAGGATGGATGCTGCAGACGGAGCCCCCTACCGACAGAACCTTGCCGATCGACGTCGAAGTGTAGCGCTGCCGAAGACTCAAGAACCCTAGCCTATCGGAAGGGGTTATTTACCCGATCCAAATGTCGTAACTTCCGATCCGACAGGAAGGGAAAGTCGTCGAAGGAGCGTAGTCGAACAACCATGAAGGAGACGAAGAAGCGACGCGTGCCTACACCTCCTACGAAGCAACGAAGCTATAGACGGATGCAGACGAAGCTTGCGAATAATTGAAGCATGTCCGACTCACGCGTGCGGAAGAAAGGCATCGTGCCCTAGCTTCTCTCGGTCCGGTCCTTTAAAGCTCAGTTCAGTTTGGTTCGGTTTACTAAACCGAGAGGTTATTTCAAAAAAAAAAGAAAAAAAAATCGGCCTTTATTGCTGTAACTAAAGATCGGAGGGATATTATTTTTTGGAGCCTTCATTGCTGTCCAAAATCAAACAAATAGTCTTCATTACTATCATTTGACCCAAAAATGTCAGAAATTAATTTTTTCTGAACATTGACTAATTGGAATACTAGTCCTTACATTGGCCTTCATTGTCTGAATTTTGGAGAATACGGGTTCCCATTACAACCGTTTATTGCCGGAATTCTGAGAAATATTGGTCCTTCCACCGGTCTTCATTATCAGAATTATGAGGAATTTAGGTTCCTACCACCGGCCTTCATTGTCGGAATTTGGAGGACCTTCGTGCATCCAAGACCAAGGAGAAATCGAGCGGGAGGGCTCCTCTTGTGTGCGACGTCTAAAACCGACCAAGCAGAAGCGAGCGCAGGATATCCTGCTTGTGTCTGGAAAGAGCCGAGAGTTTCCTCTCATGTGAGAATAGGGACAAGCAATAGTGCAAGACCTGCACTCCCTCTTACGATCAAACTAGAGGGATTAGTGTCCTTGCGTGCACCTATACTGGCCGATTGAACAGGAGTCTGTTCAGGTGGAGTCAGATGACCTGGGAAGGAGAAGATCTGTGTGCCAAGTGCTGAGTCGCTTGAGACGTGTGTTTTAGCTCTTGTCCTTGAAGCTTGTTGCAACTGCCGCGCCTTCATTGTCGGCATTCCCTTGAGAATCGAAAGAGATTGACCCGAAGGATAATGAATCCATTTTTTTTGTTGTTGTTGCACCACCGGCCTTTATTGCCATTTTCGATATCTTTAGGGCTACTATTCAACACAACCTTCATTGCTACCCCACACCTTGCAGGCTTCATTGATATAGCCTTCATCGCTATCATTTGCCATTGTCACAATGTCTGAAGCTAATTCCTCCCAAAGTTTTAACAAAATAGAGGACTCTATGGTGCACCAAGGGACTTGTTACCTTTACCTCTTTGCAACCAATTCAAAGCTGGGAATGACATATCTATATTCTCCAGCTTGAGGAGGAGTATCAAAATCTCAGTCATCCCTTGGCACTTGATCCCACGATTAGGATGAGAATTCGTGGGAGGCTCACGTGGATCACGCCAATCTCCTTCTATATTTGGGTGGTTGATTTAGGAAGGATTATATTGAGGCAATTATGCATGATTTTGTAGTTATTATTTCTTTATTAAGATATCTTGTATATATCTATTAATAGGGATAATTTTGTATAATAATTAGAAGGCATTTTTCCCTTCTCAAATTCTATGAATTCTAATAGATAATATATATTTTTTGTAATATCTATATTCAATATAATTATATTGCATTAATGTTATATACTTGAAATAAAGTAGTATCTTACAATGTTGTATTTTAAATTGCCCAAAGAAGGGGATTGCCGCCCGTTACAAGGTGATCTCAATATGTCATTGATGTAGGACTAAATGCGTGGGTTGGACTTTTAAGTAGGAAATTACATGCTTATCACAGAGTAATCACAATTATCCAACCTCTAGCAATTTTAAAAGAAAGATTGAAAACAACAAAGAGATGAATAGATTAGGCAATCAGTTACACTATAATCGTTAGGAGCACAAAATAATCAATTCAAATCAAGCTTTGCAACATGGAAGTTTTCAAAAGAAATCCCAATGTTAACATTTAGACTAGTCACTATGAAAATCCCTCTCTCAACTCTTTGATAATTGGTGAGAACGGAAAAAGCTAACATAACCTTTATGATGCTACAATGAAGGGAAAACTTAGAAGAGAAAAGACTTGGAGCAAAGTACACCTTTATCAGGATTCAGAAACAAGTCACCACTGGACGAGAGGGTGCTGTTGGTCGATGGCGGTGACGAGGGAGAAGAGGATCCTCTCTACGTAGTCTTCAACGGATTGGTCGTTTTCAAAGTCGATGTCGAAGAATGGTTACCGGAGGATGTCGATGAACCCTTGATCGTCGAATATGAAGCCGTGTTCTTGTTCAAGGTCGGCCATTCATGAGTAATGATGCCGAAAGAGGTCTTGCTTCTTCTTCCTTAGGTGAAGTACCAAGCCTAGTAGAAGAGGCCTAGGGGAGGATGGGGAAACTTGGATGGTCGGCCAAGGCTAGGCGAAGGGTTGAATTTGATTTCAGATTTTGGGGGTTGACTAGGGAGGGAAAATAAATAAAAAAAAACTGAAATTTAATTGGAAAGTGCATTGGTGATCTTGAAATTTAAATTTTCAATCCAAAGAGAGAAAAGGAGGAGGTGGGGGCGGGGTGGCCCTTTGATGAGGGGTTGATTAGGTCTCCAAAGGGGGAAAGTGAGATAATGTAGGAGAGAGAGGAGGGAGGGAGGGAGAAGTTTGAATTTAAATCTCCCCTAATTGAGGTTAGGGGGGGGGGGGGGGGGGGGGGGGACCCACAAGGGGGGGGGGGGGGGGGGGGGGGGACACCATAATGGGAGGGGAATTGATTGAGAGCATTAATGGGCAATAATTAATTGGAGGAGAGAAGGGTGGCGCCGGCGGCTAGCGTAGAGGTGGGATTTGATTTGGGGAATTAAGGCTTGCTATATTTGGAATCTTAAAATATGAAAGTGCATTTAAATCAAATTCTATTTAAAATTCAAATAACGCATAATTGGGGAAGGTTTCCTAATATAGTTCAAGTTAATTTAGGAAAGGGATTTCAAATTCAAAAGTATTTAAATTTGAAATCTTTTGACCTTCCAAATTCACAAGAATTTAAATTAGGAAAGTAATGAATGTTAGATTTTGAAATTTTGGGAGCCAAGGGAAGGACGGGATGGTGGCCGGCGGCTAGGAAAGTAGTGGGGCCAGTGGTGGGGTGGTGGAAGAGTTCGGTCAACGGTTGGGGGAAAGGGGGAGGCTGGCGGTTTGGTGGGGTGGTAGCCGGCCTAGGGATTGGGGTTGGGGTTTGGCTGAGAGGGAGATAGGGAGGTGGATACCGGCGGTCTGGAGAAGGGGAGGGAGGCCGGTGGCTAGGGGAAGGGAGGAAGGAGAACCATGAGCCTGGACGATTTCTGCGGCTGATGGATAATGTGTTGCCCTTGCCTAGGGTCTACACCAAGGTTCTCACAATAACTCTCAAAACTCACAAAGGAATACAAGTGTAGAAAATATCATAATAATCAATTAATCATCATTGCCCTCCCTAAAGAGGAGGGACTATAAATAGTCAAATACAATAGTAAAAATAAAAGGACAAAAGTGCCCCCTGTGGTTACATGAACCTACTCCCTCAAGTAAGGCTAAAAATGAAAAGGTACACTAATAAATCAAATACAAATAACATCTCAAAAATAAAGTGGTGTAATCATGGCCGTAGATCTTTGGCCTCTCATCTGGTAAACTCTCCACTGTCGGATGTCCTTATCTCTGAGTTTTTTTTTCTGCCTTCACTATGTATTTGGCTCCTATGATATGACCATTACTTTTTATAAGAAGAACAGGGTATTCAATCTCTACCCTCTTTTATAGAAAAAGGTCAACTACTATGTTTTGTGTACTTATCACTAACAAATGATACTATATCCAGATCAAGATCTTATATCAGATGAACTTTATAATTGATAAGATTTACTACTCCACTAATTTCATGTTCAATCATAATTTATTAGATTTTATAACTTTAGAGATTTGGAATGATGCTATATCCAGATTAAGATCTATATAATTTGTAACCCATGTGGTTGGGAAACAAACTAAAAATCTGTCACAGAATTATTGTTCAGGAAACATTGCTTTTGAAACAAGCAGTCTGATTTAGGGGGGCAAATGGTTGAATCGAGCTGATCCACTCTTGGCGTAGGCTCAACTCAAACTTATTTAAATTGGGCTCAACTCGAGAGCGTGACCTTGAGTTAAGCTAAATAGTGAGCCTTGAACTCATTCTCTTTAGATTCCTTTGAGCTCAACAAGATGTGAAGCATGTTGGCAACATTGGTGCCTGGGTAGAGGTCAAGGTGAGGACAAGTTGGACATCCGCCTCATAAAGGAGGGGCGATGATGATATTGGTGGTGTTGTCGTGAATCCCATGGTTGAGACTTTTATCCAATTTATCCCATTGAGGAAAAACAGGTGATGAGGTGGAAAGGCTAACAGCCACGACACTAGACAAGACTTGGGAGAGAGTTTATGGCATATCGAGGTTTACAAATATATCTTGATTTAGCATTTTATATATAAGAGTTCACTTGTTTATGACTCATATTAGCTAGTGGCTTGTCAAGGCAGTTTTGCGAGTCCATTAATGAGCTAAGTTTGAACTTAGAAGATGATTCATCTCACCTAAAATTGTAATCTCATATAGCATGTTTCAAGTCTTATGAATATTTATTGTTGACTTGACAGAAGCAGAAGTATCTCATCTAATATGTTTCAAGTCGTAGCTAGGTTACTTGTTGTGGCAATTTTGTGAGTCCATTAATGAACTAAGCTTGAACTTTCTCAAAAGATGGCTTTTCTTTCCTAAAATTGTAATCTCATCTAATTTGCTTCAATTCTTTTGAATATTTATTGTTGACTTGATTTGTTATGTCATGTTGATAAACAGAAGTCTAATAGCTATAACTTGGTGTACATTGAGTTATTAACCGTCTTGTTATTTTGATTGGACATTGATGATTCATGCTTTGTCAGTTGACAAAATAGTGTGAATTTAATGCTATCTTATTTATGAAGAGTAAAAACTCAAAATAGTCCACCGACTATCAATAAATATTTAATTTAGTCCCAGAGTTTTGCATTGCTCCATTTTGGTCCCTCAACTATTAGAAATTACTCAATTTGGTCCCTGACCGTTTAAATTAATGGAGAGAGCAGGAGAGATTTGTTTCTTTGGGGGTATTCAGGTAAAATACTTGCTCACGCTTCTCGCTATAAGCCCTTGAGACACCCTTTATTTAATTCTTTTAGAAATAAATTAATTACAAGAGTTATTTAAACATATTTACTATATAGCTAGTTAGAGAAAGACATTTATATTAAATATTTTAGGTTTATGATATAATACATTTAAATTATGAGAGAATATTTAAAATATTAAAAAGTAAAGAATATTTATAATATAATCTCATATTCACTAGTAATACGTAAAATATTCTTTATATTTAACTTTGGAGTTAACTTTAACTCTTATTTTAGGCATTGAGACTAAATTAGTTACATTTTTAGTAATTGAGAGACTAAATTGGGACTATGCGAAACTCTAGAACTAAATTGGACATTTATCAATAGTCGGATGACTATTTTGAACTTTTACTCTATTTAGGAATTAATATGCCTATTACAAGAGGCTTTCACTGGTATAAGATTTAGGGTGTGATTAATGTACTCAAACCTTTTCATGCATTGTGTAGAAATTGTTGCTGTAATTCAAACTTGTGACTTCTATGTTACAATGAAGGCAACTTAATTGCTGCTCCAGGCCTAACGTCATCTTATTCCATGAGTTTCCTGGTTTAATTAAAGCTTCGAACAGCTTGATAATGTAAAATATATATTAAGATAATGTCGGTATTGGAAAACCAACATAGTTTTTAATTAATTCTTAAGAGTTAAGTCAAAGATATTTGTATTTGGTGGTCAAAGGTTGTGATAGATTATGCGAGATAGTTTTTAGCAATGTTTATTTTCAATTGGTTGGCCTATTTGTTGTAGTTGCTGAACCAATCAAGCCATCTTATTACAGGCTTTCAAAGTGCAAAGCACAATGTGATGCGTAAGTTATTTTTTGCTTTAATGTACAAAGTGTAAAGAGAAGTTGCACTTGTATTAACTAGTGTGCTCATAATATTTATATTATATAATTTTGTAATTGCTAATATTTTATTTTAAAAAGAGAGGAGCATCTAGGGCTGCAAACAAACCAAGCAAACCAAGCGTTCGACGAGCTAATTGTTGTTCGGTTCGATTAAAGCTTGTTCATGATTGTTTAATTAATTAAACAAACAAATTGAATAATTTTTTAAATACTCGATTCTTAAATAAACAACATTGAACAACAATGTGTTCAGCTCATTTATGCTCACGAACAATATCATTTAAAGCTCGTGAACAAGCTTGGCAAGAAGCTCGAAAGAAGCTTTTATTTTATTTTATACCTTCAATAGAATGAATTTGTTTATAAACAAGAGACATTTTTTCATGTTTGCTAGATTATTTGTTTAAAATGCTCATGAACAAATATAAGTTGAATTATAGATCATTTATTCTTGAACGTGCTCGTTTGATAGCTCAAAAACACTAATTAGATATGTTCATGAATTGGCTCATTTGATAGCTCAAGAATATTCGTTAGATATGTTCGTGAATGAGTTTGTTTGATAGTTTAAAAAACTTCTCTAGATATGTCAGCAAACATGTTGGATGTAATTGTTTATTAGAAGTCTCGATAAGGCTCGTTTGTTAAGTTAATGAACATCTAAAAGTAGAGCTCATTTATAGCTTGATAATGTTCATTTGTTTAAAGCTCGATAAACGTGAAATGAATCGAACATAAACCAAACATGAACACTTATTAATTTTAACGAACCAAGCTTGAACACAAACAAAAAATTCGAATCGATCTCAAACCAAACTTGAACAAGTTGATAATAAACAAACTCAAGCATGAACACGCACATACTCAGCTCTGCTTGGTTTGTTTGTAGTCTTAGGAGCACTCATCACTTATAAAGTTAAACTTAGAAAGATTGTAAAATCATTCCAAGTAAAAGTTTATGTACCCAACATCGGTTATTGATTTTGGACTTTAAGATGAATGAGTGGAATATGAAAAATAAAATAAATTATTGACCTATAATTAGATGAGAGCATTTAAAGACGACTAATAAAAATATTTTCTAGAGTAAGATTCAAGATCTCAAAAATTGGATTGTTCATTTTAGACGCTAATGTTGTGTGAGAAAAAGTAGCCGGTGATATTAAGAAGGTTGTAAAATATGTGCTTGGAGAATCAAAAGGGAAAGCTCATAATTGTAAAAATAGTTGGTGTGGATTCTAAATGTGCAAGAAGAAATAAAAAAAATAAGAAATTTATTATAAAAATTGATTTAAATAAAAGCTTGAAATATCAAGAAATATATAGAGAGGATCATATGGACTCTAAGAAAGCTATATTGATGCAAATAATTTTATTTTTAGTGATTTATATACTAGATTAATACTAAGGAGGGTGTAAGATATATGTATATGTTAGCCAAACAAAGAGATAGAAGTAAGGATCTAGTTCAAGTGAAGTGCTTTAAGAATGAAGATAAATAAAGTGTTTTCTTTAGAAGGGAATATTCAATATAGGTGGATAAGATATTTTCATATGATTTTCAATGAAGACTATGGGAGTATTATTGATTTTAGTGACCTTAGCATCCTAAATGAAAAATAATTTTTTTTTATTTTTGTCGTTGTATTAATAAAATTGAAGTCAAAGAAACTTTAAAGAAAATGAAAAACGGAAAAGCAGTGAGACCTAATGATATTTCAATAGATGTATGAAGATTCTTAGGAGATCAAGGAATTTTTTAGCTTACTATACTTTTTAATATTATTTTGAAGACTAAAAAGATGCTAGATGAGTGCATAAGTGATAGGAAATACTTGAGTTCACAAGCAACCCTAATGAGAATACTTCAGTTTGCAAGCAAACTTAACAATAATCGATAAAATACTAAAATCAACAAGAAAAATAGAAGAATTTGGGTGGAAGCAATCAAAATCATTAGATTTTATAGAAATTAAAGCGAAGCAAGAACGAAACAAAGATACAATTGGTCCTCAATTCAAGAGGAGGATCATTCTCTCCCAATCTCTAGATGAGAAGCCCAGAGCCCAAGACACCAAAGAGCACTCCAAAAGAAAACCCTAACCCTAATCCCTCTTCCTATACTTAAAGCATACAATTAATTATTTGGAGCCAAATTACTCCCTTGCCTTGCCGCCCCCTCATTTGCCTCCAATTCTTTTTAATTTGAATCCCTAGTGGGCCCCACTCCTTCCTCTCTCCTTATGCTGCAGCCCCTCCTCCCGTAGCAAAGAACCGGCCTCTTTAAAGAGGCCGGTTGGGGTTGGGCCGGTCCACTAGGGATCAGTCTAACAATAAGAAGTGGGTTGATTCCTATTTTTAAGAATAACGGTGATGTGCAAGAGTACAAATTATAGGTGCATTAAGTTAATGCGTCATACATTAAAATTATGAGAGTAATCGATGTGCTACTAATGTTTCTGAAAATCAGTTTGGATTCATGCTGGGTAGGACTATTATGAAAGCTATCTATTTGTTGTGAGGTTTGATGGAGAAGTATAGATAGAGTAAGGTGGATCTTCATTTTATATTTATTGATTTAGAAAAAAAGTATATAATGAAGTTCCAAGAAAAGTGCTTCAGAGAGTTCTAGAAAAGAAAGTAGTTAATAATTCCTATATTCAAGTCATTAAGGATATGAGTTAATAATGCTTATATTCAAGCCATTAAGAATATGTATGGAGGAGCTGTTATTTGTGTTCAAACACAAGTTGATACATAAAGGATCAGCTTTAACTCCATATCTTTTTGCAGTAGTCATGGACACTCTTATATTCAAATTCAAAATTGCCAGAAATCGTGTTATGTTATTATAGCTTTTGCATATTTGACTCGGCTTTGATCGAATCACAAGTTTTTTTTTTTTAATCTCATAAAAAATTCCAAGGTTCAATACAAAGAGATCATATGGTTTATAAAATTACAATTCATTATTTGAATGCTTAATTGTTTTCATTTGCAACATTGCCAGGTTGATGGATTAGTAACACTAATGGAAAGTGAGCACATTGGACCCTTCAACCTTGGAAATCCCGGGGAATTCACCATGTTGGAGCTAGCTGAGGTTTACTAATGCTTAAAATTAATAAAAACTTTTGTGCTTGTTTTCCCCTTTTCTTTTGTTCCAAAAGACCATTCCTTTGTTTAGGTGGTAAAAGAGACTGTCGATCCAAGCGCAACCATTGATTTCAAACCTAACACAGCAGATGACCCTCACATGAGGAAACCAGATATCACCAAGGCAATGGAGTTTCTGAATTGGGCGCCGAAGATCTCTCTCAGGGAAGGCCTGCCCCTAATGGTAAATGATTTCCGAAAACGGATTTTGGACGAGCAGAAATAACAGCATCTGGAATTCCTCTGTTCAACAGTTCAGCTACATCAAGCTCTGCATTACTGCAGTAAGTGAACAATGGTTGAACAGTATATGTGTTCGGCAACTTGTACTCAACTCAGTTGCAAATTTCTTGCTTGCGCTATGAAGATTCATATCATGTTATTTAGATATATATCTGATGCATCCCTTTTTGGTTATCAGGGAAATCATATCCCCACAAAGTTCAATGCAACAATTGAAGAGCTAAGTTCTATTCTTTTGACAAGAAAAATAAGGCGCTAAACTGATACAAATGGATTAACTGTAAAATAATGTAACTTTGGGCTAATTATTTTCAGCTAAAGTCGAAAGGATTAAATATAGACTCATCACAACGAGAAATTATTATGTGCGGGCACCGGATCGTTCGGAAGCGAATTAGAGTTCGCCACATCACCTAGTGCACAACGGGTACATTGACATGGTACACAGTAAAGGGGTGATGTGGCGTGTTTTGATTTGACTCCGGATGACGTCCGTATTTGTACAATATTAAACAATATTTAAAAAAAAAACAAATAGAAATTGATTCTAAATAGATCCTAAAACAATAGCTCCATAATATCATAGATAGAATACATAAAAGCTCAAATTAACTATTCCACATGACACATTTTTTCTATACAATGTTTAGAGAATAATATAATATAAATATTTCATATGTAGTGTTTCTCTAGAAAATTTTTTTTATATAATTTATATAAGAATATTGTTTTGTTTATAGAATGTTGAGTTTCTCAAAAAATTTAGAGTCCATTTGAGATGGCTATAATTTTTTTTTATTAAGGCGATTGTAAAATTATTATGCGCAATCATGCGGAAAATAGTTTTTTTAAAGCTGTTATAAAAAATAGATTCTTAAAAAAATAAAATAGATTCTTATTGATTTATAAAATAACTTTTTAATATAAAAGTCTGTATTGAAAAATTACTTTAAAAAATAATAAAAAATCTGTCCAAAATGAAAACAAAATCTCATTTAAGACATTCCAAAATCAAGCTTTAAAGGCATGAAACAAAAATACGTAACTCATATTTGTATGTTATCAACTAAGATGTATTGAATTTGAGTGGTGCATATATTATATGTGTGAGAATTTTTTTTAATTGGTTGTTGACCTAAATGTTAAAAAAAAAAAAAAAAACTCACATGATTTTTAATTATTTATTTGCTGCTCGGCCCGTCTCGGCCCGTGACTGCTTCCGCGTCTGGAAGAAACTGGAAGCTTCCAAGTCGACTACTGATGCTGTCCACCAAAGCCCAGAAGGTGAAAGACTACTCGAGAAGGTGCCGCTTTCTTCCTCGAGAAGGTGCCGCTTCATTCTCTTCTATAAATACTCATTTCCTTCTTCCCCCTCTATCATTCCAACATCGAGCTGAAACAATTATCAAATCTTAAGCCCTTTGCATATTTTACTCCAATTCAATCAATGTCGATCATTCGCAGAAGCAACGTCTTCGACCCCTCCTCCTTCGACATCTGGAACCCATTCGAAGGTGTCAACTCCTTCTTCGACAACGCCCTCTCCGCTCCAGGCTCCAATTACGCGAACGAGGCGTCGGCCTTCGCCAACACACGCATCGACTGGAAGGAGACGCCGGAGGCCCACATATTCAAGGCCGATCTCCCCGGCGTAAAAAAAGAGGAGGTTAAGGTCGAAGTCGTGGAAGGCGGAGTCCTTCAGATCAGCGGCGAGCGGAAAAAGGAACAGGAGGAGAAAACCGATCGCTGGCATCGCATCGAGCGCAACAGCGGTAAGTTCCTTCGCCGATTCCGACTTCCTGAGAACGTGAAGGTGGATCAGGTGAAAGCGTCCATCGAGAATGGCGTGCTTAGTGTTTTCGTGCCCAAGGAGGAGGTCAAGAAGCCTGAGGTGAAGTCTATTGAGATTTCTGGAGAGTAGAAATGGAGCAAGCTGGTTTGTGTCTCGAATTGCTGCTGCTTTTTGCTTGATTTGTTTTCTGCTAGAGTCATATGTGTGCTGAGTTTTATGAACTGCTGTGTGTGATATAGTTTTCCTTTTGCGATCGGTCCAAAGTGTCTGCTGCTTTTGGTATTGTAGATGTTTTAAGCAGTGATGATTTTTCATGGAGGTTGAATTTCTGTAATGTTTTGTCTTCCAATATCAGTAGTAGTAAAATAAAGATGCTGTTGCCATATGTCGATGAAACATTTTGGTCAACCAAAAGATGGATCAACTAATATTGATGATCAAATCTGTTTTTTAGTACAATATTTATACGAGAAAAATTTTGATCGTCTGTTGGTTGGAGAGTTTCAGGGGGGACTGATTTTGGTTATTTTTATGATTTGATATTAATTATGAGGTAATGAAAATAATGGAGGAAAAGTGCTAAAATTTTTTAATGATCAACGTTTGAAATAATTAAGTTGAGCAAATTTATTGTGTTATTTAAATGCTAATGGAAGCGGAGGCGCGTAGACGAGGAAATTACATTTTAGTTACAGCGCTGAAATCATTTAATTGTTCCTTTGAGATAAATTGTTCGCCCACAAGAATTTTAGCAACCAGATACATACATAGATATGAAGGGAACGCGAAGAACTTATCTATACAAGAAATATCAGGAATTGACGACGACGGTAAGGTGAGAAACTCTTCAGGATTCTACTTTAGAGACCTGATAGCTGCAGGCATTTCATTTGTGCTTGGAGGTTCATCGGAACAGTTGAGAGGAGCGAATGGTTGAGCGGCGGCGGTAGATTCGATGTCAAGATGAGCGAATGCCCGCTGAATGCAGCTCCCAGACGGACGGAAAGAGGAATAACGCAGTGAGTTCGTCGAAGAGGTGCGCTAGGGCTGGAATAGAGGAAATTTAATAATTTATTTATTTTTAGCAGCATTAGAGATATGTTTATCGATAACATTGGTTTAGATAATAATTGCTGCAAAAATTTCATATTTTTTAGGACACATAATAATTGATATATTCTCAAAAAATTATCTTAATCAAGCACGAATCTCGAGGCAGAATCGAACAGGAAAATTCAAAAATTGAATTCAGGAGCATTTGTACTCCGATTTCAGCGAGCTTACAGTCAAACTGAGCGTCTCGAAAATATGAACCCAACGACACGTAATTCAACTCAATTCGAGTCCAAATGAATCTGAATCGAAGACTCGAAGTGCTGTTGGAAGGTTTGAATCACAATTTGGGTTACCAAACGGTTTTCGATTTTAACGAGCTTATACTCGAATCGAACGGCTCGACGAGACGAATCCAACGAGTCCAAGATCGCCGAATTCCAATATCACTAAGGCCTTCAAATATCTAACGAATGGTGCACGATCGAAGGATTAAATATCGGCCGTCCATTCGACCACTCCCTATAAACCCCTTATCTCACAATTATTTACAAGCCATGCCACTCCAGAAAAATTATAAATAGAACCCTCATTCTTCACAAGAGGACTCAAGTGAGAAGAGAGAGAAGAAGAGAAGAGAGGAAGGAGGAGAATGAACTCCTCCTCGACCACAGTCGGAGTTCTTTCCGCCGCTTGAATACGTCGGAATTCTGCCGGAGACGCCGGAATTCTGCAAAACTTTGTAATTTTATCTCAATTTAGAGGAAACTGATTGTAATTTGATTGTCCTGGCTTGTGGGACGAATCAATCTCTGTACTTCAAACAAACACTAGTGTAATTACTTCAACTGGGCGTGGCCCCGTCATTTTTTCCATCTTTCGGGTTTTCCACGTAAAAATCCTGGTGTTATTTTTCTTTCTTGTTTGTGTGCAGAATATTTATACAACGCTCGGACGTAAAATTTCAAACTCTACCGCCACGTATATTCTAGCCCGCAACAATAATAATTCTAAAACTCGTGCTAGATGTGATCTAGATTGAGAGCCAACATAATAGAGAAACTTTGAGAATAGTTTGCCAATGGCCTCCGTAATAGATTTGGGAATGATAATGCCTCTAATCTAATAAGTCATATTATTCATAATAGTAAATTTGATAAATTACAACTTACTTGGAAAGGAAAGTAATATAGCCTTCCATCTGGATAGGTAGTAACTTTTTCAATCAGGAGAGAGAAATTATGTGAATTTGAAGAGCGTGAGAGATGTTAGAAGAAATGTGATCAAGAGGAGAGAAAAGAGGAGAACTTTTTTGCAAGTTACGGTGCAAACCCAAGTAGTTGGAAAAGGTATTGAGAATCCTAATGAGACATTCATAGTTTCATGTTTCATCTTTACCAAAGATGAAAGCCTTCAAATTTAATCTGATGCAATGGGGTTGTCAATAATGCAAGAAAATGAGTTCATAATGATGCATAAAAGGTATGAACTAAGGGGGCAATCTTGCTCGAGCCCAGAAGAGTTAAAAAAATCCTTGAAGAGCCCCATTAATGCAGATGGAGAAGTGAATGTCATTAATACAGGCTTTGATCTACTTAACGAAAATAGGTGGAAATCCCTTTTGAGTCATTAATACTACAGTAAGTGAACAATGGTTGACAAGCAGCTGTGTTGGGCAACTTGTGCTCAACTCAGTTGCAAATTTCTTGCTTGCGCTATAAAGATTCATATCATATTATTTAGATATATATCTGATGTATTCCTTTTTGGTTATGAGGGAAATCATATACCCACAAAGTTCAATGCAACAATTGAAGAGCTAAGTTCTATTCTTTTGACAAGAAAAATAAGGCGCTAAACTGAAACAAATGGATTAAATGAAAAATAATGTAAGTTTGGACTAATTATTTTCAGCTAAAGTCTAAAGCATTAAATACAGAGTCATCGCAATGCGAAGTTACTATGTGGGGGCACCGGATCGTTCGGAGGCGGATTAGAGCTCGTCACGGTACTTAGTGCACAATGGGTATACTGACGTGGTACACAGTAAAGAGGTGACGTGGCTTGCTCTGATTCGACACTTGATGGCGTCCGTATCCGCACAGAATTATTTCACCGTCACAATGACAAGTACAAACATCTAAAAAAAAAATTCCAATGTGAGCTATGCTCACAGTAGTTTAGTTGTTTTACAGTTTACAAATCAATTCATCTGATGTACACTGGGACCAAAACATATAGTGGCAGTTCAGATTGTTTTTTATTTTAAAATAAAATAGACTATTTTTAGTTTCTTAAAAACATAAATTTCTCTAGTGGACACGTCGGCAAAGCAGCAAACTGCAGGACGTTACCCCATGATCTCCTCCATGTAGAAACTGTCTCAACTCATATAAAAACAAGAAAAAGAATGAATGGGAGTTTTTCCATGCGAACGGATGCTCAGAGGAATTGGGTTTTGGCTCTCTGCTCTGGTTTTCAGTTTCCTCCCTAGTAAGAAGAGATCCATTGCTCTTGGTTCTCTCTGCTTCAATCCACAGGCTGAGGACAGCAGCAACCCACGACAGCACAAGCCCTCACGCGACCTTGGCTTCCCTCCTCCGGCCTCGACTCCGATTTACGCAAGCAAAGCCGCCGAGCCACCCGAGGCTTTCTCCCTCCACCAGTGTCCGACTTCAAGCAAGGTCGAAGGCTTTGATTCAACCTATCCTGTGTGTCTGCCTCTTCCCCGATCCAACTAAGCCGGTGCCTGTAATTTCCGCTGCTTGAAATGGTGAATATAATAGAGGGGAGAAGGTTATTAATAGTAATTAGTAATTAACAAATTACTATTAAACATTATCTATTATTTAATATATATAAACAATACATATTATATATATACAACAATTACACGCGTCGCCGTCAACAATCGAAGACCAAATCTCCTCGCCGTTGATTCGCTTCGGTCGAGTCGAGCCACTCCTTACCGCCCTGCGCCAGGGAGGGGACGCCGGAAGGCTGCTGAAATTTCCTCAAAAATTCATTACTTAGCCAAAATTCTAAAAATGCAAATTTTGACAATCTCCGGCAAACGATCATCGCCAATCAAAGCTTCTGAAGATCAAATTTCCTCGCCGTTGATTTGCTTCGGTCGAGTCAAGCCACTCCTTACCTCCCGGCGCCGCTGCCAAAATTTCCTCTAAATTTTTGGACTTAGAAGGATTTAAAAAAAAAATGAATCTAATTTAGAACTAATTATGTTAATTAATTGGATAATGATTTCAAAAATAAACTAAAATGAATTAACTAATCTAAACCTTAACCTTTAAATTAATTTGGTAATTAACTTACTTAATAACTAATTACTGAATTTCCATGGATGGCATTATACATAAAATCCCATATGGTAAAGAGATATCCAGTAAAGAATGCAACTTCTTGCACTAGAGAGCACACTAAAAATGACAGAGAAAATAGATTGGATGCCAAAGAAATTCAAAAGAAAAATCATAGATCGGATACCAAAGAAATTCAGAAAAAAAATCAATTTTCGATTGCTTAAAAAAAAATACAGTTGGTCGCAAGAAATTGAGCAAAAATGCTGCTCCTAGTGTGCTCTACACAGAAGCTGGTTTCTGTGATGAAGCTAGGAAAAATCTTGTTGAGTTTCTTCGTATTGATAATGTAAATGAATCATTGCCTTCTATTCAGGTATCAAAATCCTTGGGTAGAATACTTTCTTTTCCTGGATTTAACTCTCTAAGACATAATCTGGCAAGAGAGAAGGATACCAAGGAAGCCGAGTCTCTTCAGGAAAACACTTCTAAATATCGCCCAAAAAAAAAAAAAAAAAAAACCACCTAGCTATTTTCAATGAAAGCCGTAAGTCCAACCTTTAGGGATAATATCTAGGAAGCAACCTAATTGTATACTCCTAAATGGGCATCTTAGTCTATAAGGCTAAGTTATAAGACCCACTAATGGGCTACTTCTAAGTGAAGCAGTAAGACCAGCGCATTAGGAAACTTCTAGATGAACGACCCTAAAACCCAAACCATAAATCCCTTTGGGCATCTTAGTCTATAGGATTAAGTTGTAAGACCCGCCATTTGGGCTAATTCTAAGCGAAGCAGTAAGACCCACGTGTTAGGGAACTTCTAAATGAACGAACCTATAACCAAAATAATTAAACAACTCGGGCCACTTAGCTTATAGGGCTAGGTCGTAAGATCCATAATTAGGCAACTTCTAAGGAAGCAATAAGTCCTTACCCAAATCAAATCACACGGGCAACTCATTATTGGAGCCGTAAGCCCAAAACTAAAGAAATTAATGGGCAACTTCTAAGGAA